GTACAAAAAACTCTTAAAACAACCTCTTTACTTGTCTGGCTAGCAAGGACCAAAATGAATATTATTAAATTTATTCTTTATTAAAGTATTTTTGACCTCAGTATCTTTTACCATAAACTTTTCTTTCTAAATCATATAAATCTGTTTAACCAGTGACCCAACAAAATGGGGTTACTTCCGCCCGGAAATTAAGAGTAAGCTCGACTATGGCTCTTGAAACTGCATAGGAGCGAATAGCATCTGTGCTATCTGTTTATAGTCAAATTTTTGCCGAGGCCGGTTTCAAAAGCTGTCCACAGCATCTGTCAATCTCTTTAGTCGGGTTTGCTTAACTTTCTTGAACTCTCCCAACCCCTCCTCGTGTTTAGATGACAGTATGTAAACACGGAAAAAGGTTTTTACAGCTAAAATAAAATAGTGAAGCAGAAAAGTTTTAACGGCGACGTTATCTATGCGTCTGTCCCACAAAAGATGATAACCAAAGAGAGAGCCAATCAAAACGCACCGCTTGAGAGACTTCTTCCGTGCTGTTTTGCCTTGTAAGTTTGTTTTTGAATTTTCCTCGGGAAGACGGTATTTCTTAACCACAACGTCGTCTGTTCTACCTTAGGTCATCTTCGCTCTACGGAACCCAGCCGCTACCATGCCCCGAGCCAACAACGAGGACTAAACAAGAAAAAAAAATGTTGACGTTCCGCCCGATATGGGACTTGAACCCATGACCCTCAGATTAAAAGTCTGATGCTCTACCGACTGAGCTAACCAGGCGACTCATATGTGTTTCTCCTTTGTGACGTCTGATCAAAAGCCTGATTCAAGATTAGTCATTTTCCAGCTACCCCAACTCTCAACAAGAACTTTTTTGAGAACTCAGTTACAGAGTATAAGTTGCTGTGGTCGGACCTTGACCACGGATCATAAAGTACGATCATTAGGCAAATTCTTAGAGGTGTAAACTGAGGCAAGACCACTGTACGGGAAATACGAGCCCGCCTCATAATTCTGGTCCTTATCTAACTGGTTTGACATTATTTCATGCTTATATTAGGAGAAAATTTATAGCAAATTAATAACCTCTGCCTGGCTATATCTTATAAAGAAATACGGTTTTATCTACCACAGGTCAATAAAATATTTGCTTTGCATGCTTGTAAATAATGCTGCGGTCATGTTGAGGGATACCCGCGGATTCTCTACATCATTTCCGTCTTGAAAAATCTATATTGAGGCTATGATGCGTCGAGAAAACTTTACATCAGGATTAACATTTTTCTCTGTAACGGTTTTTCTTATCACAGCAGGTGTGGTCCGTTAGCTCAGTGGGCAGAGCGCGGTGCTGATAACGCCGAGGTCGTGAGTTCAAGCCTCACACGGACCATTTCCGCATCCTTTTATCACATGTGAATCTGTCTTAATTTTTTTTGTTGAAGTTTAGCCCTCTGACATACGGCATCAGTTTTCTGCGACCTTATCTAAAGGAAACCTCGAATTTACATGTGCAGGGCATTGCTGTTATTAATGTATTCCCCAATAAAAATGCCCTAAGTATGAAGACCAGGAATTCACATCAACATTCGCTCCGGCATTTTTTGTTCTCTTTGATATGGGCTGCAAACATTACAAAATCAAAGATTCCTTAAGTATGTACCTGGATAGCGGTCGCATTGTGTTACTCATGCAGTGATATAAGCTAGCAGATCGACATTTCTTGTCATGCAAAATATGACTGAGCACCCTAAGGGGCCGAATAATGTCAGGAGTTCATTAGTCAGGAGTTCGTTTCAAACCAATGACCAATCTGGAACTTTTAAATGCGCTCGCTCACGATGCAAAACTTGTCCTTTCATTCATAACGTAGAGAAAATATCGGGACCCAAGAGATCCATTAAGATCATTGATCACTTTACGTGTACCTCCGCCAGTGTTATTTACTGCATAACTTGCTCTTATTGCAATAAGTTATACATCGTCGAAACAGGAAGACGACCAGGTGACCGATTCCGAGAACACCTTCGCGACGTAGAAAGAAATGACAAGGACGCATCCAAACCAGTCGCTAGACACTTTAATCTTCCTAATCATTCTAAACAGCATATGGCAGTTTGCGGCCTTTCCTTACATCTAGACAGTTCGGAAAGCCGTAAAACACTAGAACAAAAATTTCTCTTCCAAATCGGCACACTTAATCCCCACGAAATCAACGAGCGCTTTTCATTCAACTAATTTATTCCTGTTTTCTCGTCACCATATTCCCATCAATGGCGTAGCTCCACTTTCTGCATATAAACCCACACACAACCCACAATTCCTCCAATCGCTCTGACGAAGGGCTAACGCTCGAAATGTCAGCTTTTTACTCTTTACGGTGGCTAATTTACGTATTCAACCCAGTTGTTAACACTAAATTATAATGTGTTATTTGCCTCTCTGAGGTAAGGTAGAATCAGGATAATCAATTTTTCCTTTTTTGTTGTTTTTTTCAATTTATCAGTAACCCTAAATTAATAATAACTTTTTCCTGGTCCTGCAGACCACAAGCTGTTTCGAAACACTTGCGAAAAGTGATAACCGTGATAAGGATCAATCGGGCAGTTTTTCTTGTTACAGTCTGCTGCCAAACGAGCCCTTTGGAGACCACAACTAAGTTTTATTTAGATATTAGGTCTCTTCAGTCAAGTAGAGGTTCCATTTAAAATGCTAGAATGACTCCGACGATCGTACCATGGTGCGACTTTGCAGAAGTTTGTTAAAAACAAAACTCTGCCCCGTGTGAGGATCGAACTCACGACCTTCAGATTTCTAAATCGTATTATGAGACTGACGCGCTGCCTTCTGCGCTAACGAGGCACCTCAATTAGACGAGGTGGTGAGGTAAAATAAATTATAAAAATTAACGCTCACGATGCCTATTTTAATATACAAATCCTCTTATCGATAAGATTTGATATTATAGTTCGCGAAAAGCTTTTTTGACAACCATTTAATCAAGCTCCCCCATTGAAATTGGTAGAATATTTTGAGACGATAATGGAATGATGGCATCACTAAGATAATTGTGACTGTTAGTATTGTTATGATTATCGTCATAATTATTTTTTTTTTTATTAAATCAAAATGTAAAATAAAGACTGTTGTTTTTCAGACTGGGTGAGCTTTTATTCGCGGACGGTCTGTGTCAAATCGACTAAATTAGGCGTGCGGTAATGGCTGGCTAGTGAGAAAGCGCTGAATGGATTGTTTACAATGGAGGCGGCAACTGTTAATCTTTTTTGCCGGTAAAAAGCAATCATAGTTCGAAAGGAAGAATTATTGAACTTAATCCTTCTCTATTAGAAACAATCAAGTGCCTCATTTGAATACTAGGCGTAATTTAATTTCGATTTAAAGAAGCTTCTAGGCGTGCTTAAAGCCACAAGTTTAGTAACACTGTAAGCCCACCTGGTGTGTTTTTAATAAAAAACTGACAAACTGTCTCGTTGCTGACGGAAAAAAGCCGCTCTTTTCAGCCAAAGCTGCCTATTTGTCCTATCACCAGAGCGCTTCTCTGATTGGTTGTCGAAGAAATATTAACATCACTTGAACATGTGATAATCTTACTTTCAATTGAGCACCTTTTAATTTTATCCATGTATTCAAGTCCTTTGGATCTTCGATCAGTTGTCCTGTGTTTCGATGACAGACCAAATTTGGATAGCAAGGAGCTTCAGTGAAAGAATGATTAAGTTAGGAAAAACAATCTTTGAAATAGTCGTAAAATAGTGAAAGGTGGGGCAAGATTTCCGCTCGGCCCTATACCTCATTATGCATACAGTGTTGGATAGATTACCTTATTTGGGATTACGGCTCTTCTTAGGATATATATAGTATGGGGTAACACGGAAATCTACTCAAAGGCAATGCTTTTTAATGGCAAACAGACATAACTAAGAATTCCTAGGATCAATTTTCTTGTATCGACATAACTATCAAGCAAATGTCTTTCATTCTTTGTGTCAATCTATTTCCTCTTGTCTCATTAAACCTGAACGAAACTAAAATCACCTTTAGACAAATATATTCACGAGCGATCGGCTTGTTAATAAAGGCGGCTCTTTTAGTTATCTTCTGATGTTTATTCATAAATCTCATCTTACATGCATGACAATGGAATGATTTTACTTTAAATTTCTGCTTACCTCTGAAGATCACGCTGAATAAAACTCTGTTTTCATTGCATTATTTCCCTTCCCTTTGCGACAGGATGTTTTAGTGTCATAGAGAAACATAAGCGAGGAAAAGTTTATTTTGGAATTATATCAGCTGGCGACGTTTTGCCTGTACGTGCGCCTCGGACATGATATATTTTCAAAACATGAAAACGTGCCCTCAGTGCCGTCTTAAATAGGATGATGAATTTGCATGTTTCAGGTTTTCTCCTTTTTTCGCCCATTGAAATACTAATACTTTTAAGAACTCCTGATGTATTTTGAGCGTGAATAGAAGTATACTTTGTGCCGCGCAAACAGAATAAATAAGTAGCGGAAATGTCTTTTTTACGAGTCGAATATGAGACGGTTATTAACTTCAGATGAGTGAAAAAGAAAAATCTCATAAAATAAGTATTACAATAGAGGCCTCCAAGTTATGCAGTTTAGCATGTTTTTAATGTCAAGTGACAACTCAATATTTTGTTTCTCCGTACAGGATAGATTCTTTGAAAAAGTACTCGGTGCGTTTTTAACAGAAATCATTATATTTATACAAGGAACCTCTTTTAGCTTCCTTATTTACAAACATCATCGAGATACTCCAATTAGTTGCATTTTCTTTTTCTCTAATGAGAGTGATACACAAAATGCTTCAAAATACAAATAGCTTTTACTCAGATACGTTCACTACCAACAACTGATTCTACTCTGATGCATCAAGATGCAAACTCGCTAAATGTACCGAAAACCCGCGCCTTTAAGTGGTTTCGGTATAAACAGCTTTTCGATTATTCGTCAGAGAACAATAGTACCTTAAAATCTCTTGTTTAAAACTCGAAGAAATTGTCTTTGATAATGCAAATTGTCAGAGGAGTCACAGACTGCTTTCTTTCTGAGTTTGTGACTCATGATTCCTCGGTTTGTTAGATCACCAAGCCCACACTTGCGTGAACGAAGCTCTTGTGAACTATTACCCGTCTTTGCGGGATTCTGCGTAATTGTTTCCGTTGAAAAGCCCGGCATTTCCTCACCGAAGGCAAACGCATTCTTAGGTTTCGGGGAATCGGGACTTTCCTTTAAATCGTTCCCTCCCAGAATGTTTCGCCCAAAATTAGGAATGCTTCTACTTCTTTTCATCCCGTCGTCCGCTTGGTAGAGCGCATTAAGGGTGCTATCAGATCCAAACATGGCACTATTTCTTGTCAATCTGCTAAATAAACCTTTGCCGGATGATTTCGGTCTCTGTTTCTGCTCATTTTCCGTTGTGAGGTTGTAGCTGTAATGTACAATTCGGTTTTCCCCATCACCAACCTGATTATCCATTTCAAGTGTCCTTCAAGTCCTCTCTTAGTTTCGCTTAACAAACGTAACTGGATTCTAGTATGCGATTCTGGTTCAATACGGTTTCTCCAATCGAAAACAAACTGACCCGGCTTCTCCTCGAGACTACTTCGGTAAAAGTCAGTTAAATCACTGAGTAATCATCCCTTCTGCGTCAACAATACATTTGTTTGGACCGCGCTTGAAAAAATAGTGGTAAAGCTATCACCTCATCTCCAGGAAATAGATTCAAATCATATTCATTACGAATCGAACTAGCCTATTTGAAACTTGCTTGCGTCATCACGGTTGTTATTATAACTTACTTAAACGCGTATGTCATTAAACCACTCGTTTGCCTCAATTTTGCATTTCGGGCTCTCAGTATTTAGATATTTAAAAGAAAATGGATTATCTCCTATTATCGTAATGGACTGATTCCAAGACACTCTTTGTATTTAGTCATAAATGTGTCGTGAAACCGATCGCAAATAGGAAATATTATTGTCTTGTACCATTCGCACGCACTTGTATTCGAGAAGTCCTCAGTAAATGTAAATTGCGCGATGGATCTTAATTTTACTCCTACGATTATCGTTAATAAATGATGCAGTTTTAATGCATTGGTTAACCATTAGATAATAGTAATACTAAGACGTCAATCTGTAAATAAAACTGTGCGTTTTCTCATGCAATTCTCAAACCCTCGCAATTCTTCACGATTCGTCTTCATCGCTCGTAATACATCGACAAAACATTAATTTGAATAACAAAAGTGGAGAAAGTGGTGCAAAACAAAGTTAATGGTATTTCTCAAGCGGGAATGAGGAATTTGCTCCTTGTTTTTAGTGATCATCACCATTAAATTCGTAACCATGGAGTAAAATTCTACACATTTTGATCCGAATCTTTGGCGTAACCTCACAAAGGATGCTATTAAAAGGTAACAGAGATGCATGTTTGGTTTGTTCGCGCATAAAATCAAAACAGCAAATAAACCATGACGCTTCTGGAAATAGTATATTCCTGCGCATAGTTAAAAATGGTTTACGGATTAACGGAACACTGCATTAGAAAGAGTTCTAACCACGAAAGAGACAGTATGAGAGATTTTAGTTGGGGTCGCGCTTGTCTTGGTGGAAGATATCGATGTTATCCCCTGCCATCCCCACCTTTGAAAACACTCTCACGCCTCTGCCAGGTTTGACAACAAGTTAATCTTTACCCTTTCGTTAATCTTTACCCTGAACGAATTTTTTTGAGCTATTAACTGCCGTTAAAGCCTCTAATGAGCGATCTTCGAAATTAAAAGTGGAGAAGTCTATTTTCATCGGAAGTGAAATACTTTGTCCCCTATATTGGGCTGTTATCATTACAGGTAGTTGACACTGATGGAAATGCCTTTGGGGGAGTGAGTCTATTTTGGTGAAGGTGATGCCTTAGTGAAATTTCCGCATGATTGTTTGCAAGAGAATTGTTTGATACTTCAAATACATCCACTCTAATTCCCTTTAGGCCACTATGCCCCAGTCTCCCAGTGTATTGGATGATCCCACCAAATTGCCTAAAGAGTCAAATAAACTTCACAGAAAATAAAACATTTATGATTTCTCCAGCTCATGTACTCAAATTAAGTATCTGAATTTATTCTTATCCCAAAGAAACCCAAATAATGTGGGAGAGAAAAGATGAGAGATATTATCAGTGTCTTGTCACCAACCAAAATTGTGAATTCTAAATAGATTTCTCTACACTTGGTGGGGAAGTTACATGTGGGATCAAATTTTCAAATAACATTTAAGTAATTATGCAGTTTATTTTCAGTTACAAAAATAATCCCAAAATGCATAACCTCAGTGCTTAGGTACAGGAAAGACAAAAGAAATTAATTTAAAAAATCTGAGGAACTGAGAAAAACATCTAACTTGGAGATAAATTGATGCATCAGCTGAAATTATATTCATCAAATTAATCACATTTATTGTAAATATTTTATGTCTTCAATAAAAATCATAACCAAATTACATGACAATACTTACTCAAAAAGCCCCACGGAAAAAAAATTAGAGTCACTGTTCAAATATAATTATGTGCATACATTTAAAAGTGCAAAGCTTTGAAAACATACTGCTTTGACTATGGTTATTGAAGCTACAGTATTTGTATTTGTTTATGGTGTACATTGAGTTCTTTTGCGATTTTCATCTGCTGCCTTGTAATCCCAACTTATTCCTCATTTTTCTGGCTCATCTACCCCAGCTTGGTTCATCAGGTCTCCAATGTTCTTCTCCAAATCATCGATTCGTGTACTCATGTCGTCGAGTACCCTTAGTCAAGGAAAAACAAGTGAAACTTTGTGAAATCTTCTATTCTCACAAAATAATTCCCCTCAGGCAGCTACCTATTTATTCTTACCAACTAATTGGGGGAATTAGGAAAAATATCATTATCTGGCCAATTTGTGGGTGTCTTCTTATTAGTGTATTGACTTTGTTGCACTATACAAAGGAATACTTTAATATCATGGATGATTTGATGTTTAAATTGAAAAAGAGAGGCTATTCCCACCATTAACATATTTTGAACATATAAAGTTTTTCTCCATGCACTGAATAGCAGATATTGAGTATGAAATAGCTTTCAGTACAATGTCATCTTCTCAAGCACCAGAGTAAACCTTTTAACCCTCAAAAGTGATTCACAGGTATCCACATATCATCTGGCAACAGGTAATGAGAATGATGCTCAAACTTATAACGTACAGGTTGATATCTTGACCTAACACCAAATTCCCGTAACTCATTTACAAGGAAATATGTAGCTGCTAGAGGGAAGAATTAACAATCTGATCTTGGGAGTTAAAGGGTTAACTAGAAACTAGATGTTCATGATGCAACCAGTTTAATGAAAACAGGGGATTGTAAAACAGGCTTAAATTTAACTTATCTTCAGCTACTATCAACACTGAAAACAGAGACTAAGTCAGTTTTTCAGTTGGTTCATTACTGAACCATCCCTTAAATGAATACAACACCATATGTCACTCTCTGGCCCAAGGTTTAACTCATATGGTTATTAACAGTGTAACAATATAAGATCCAGCTTGACAGTTCAATAAGAGTACAAATAACCAATTACACAGTGCACTGTAGAGGAATTTAACAGAGGTTTGTACTCAAAATATATTTTTTTATAGAAGCCATTGCGATGCAGCTTTACGCCCTCGTGAGACATTGACCGGTTTGGTAATAGAATAACAAATTTTCACAACATTCCAGAATCACCCATAAATATCCAATGGACCTTCCACATAAACAACGGGCCTTTTTCCCATTTTCGGATTTAAAAAAAATATTTAAATAATAGGAAAGAGGAGCGTTTGGATATAAGATAGACCCTGTGTAATTTACCGACAGAATAATAAGAGAATTTGCCGATGTCAATTACGTTTGGACATTTCTTAGTTGATAGCATATTAAAATTACAGTCGATAGATGTATTGCTTAAATGTCAAATGTCGTCAACTTGCAGCAGTGAAATAACCTGAGAGTGTATACACCGATAATAAACTCTAGTAAAGGATATTTCTTGTGATGATCTGGTCTGACATCTGCTGAAACTTGTCTTGCTATGAATTAGAAACAACAAGTTTTACAACATACAATTTATAGACGCAGACATTTCGAAACCAAAATAAAAGCTAGTAACTGGATGAGCACTAAAAACTTACACATACTTACCATTTGCTGAAGCAAGGTTTGTACCTATAAATGAAGGAAAAAGAAACAAGAGAGACAAGAAAGTAACAAGTACATTGTCGTTTAAATCCAATGATAAAATTCATACATATCACAATCGGGAAAAATCGGGAATTGCAATAGGAAGTATGTCGCTAAAAAATGATCATAACCACAAACGACGAATAAAGACAAGAACACACAAAACTAGAGAATGTTTAAAAGTAGAATATGCCGAATGGTACAAATCCAGTCAAATCTTGAACACTTTGTGGGTCAGTATCTTCAATTTTCACCTTCGTCTCAGTATCAGCCATGTTTAAACGATGTTCGACGCTTTCTGAGAAAGACGCCCCGCCAAGCGGAAATTGTACCTAAGAACCAGGCCTCCTCTTAATTAACAAAACAAACATGGCGGCAGAATTTGATGAAAGCGTAGTTTGAGATTATGTCGCAGCATGAAAAGCACCTCAGTGCGTATTTGAAATCCAAACGCTCTGGATCAACATCGTCAGGTGCTGCAAAAGATAGGTAAGACTTGGATTTCAAAAGGTAACGATTAAGAGTTCTTTGCGTCAGTTACTCTGTAGTCTGAACGTTACCCGAGCAACGACGTGATAAAGTATGCACCTAAACTTTTTCTTCAAGGCCAATAAGGCATTAACCTGCAGAAAAAACTCGCTCCTCATTTGAACCCTATCAAATGAACGATGATCACTTTTTATTGATTCTTCTCATTGCACACTGGTACAGTCGTCAATTTAAAATGCACAGGGTTAACTTAGGGCTGAAAAATTTGTGAACTATTTCAAATCTTTAGCCTGGAACGATGAAATTGAGCGCTCTCACCTCTATTCCATGATTCCTCCCTCCTCCTTAGATTTACAGAGGAGAAAAGAGGTGAAGGGGTGAGCTGTCAATAAAGTCATGATCTTGGTTGAAGGAAGTAGGATAGCTTCTTAGCCACAGTACACGGTTTAATTAGAAGTTTCACTAAAAGCTTGTTACTAGCAGTCCACCACCGCCCATAAAACCTCTTACCATCATCTGTTTAGCCTCCAAGTGGGCTCTCATTCTTGGGTAAAGGGGGTAAGTTTCTAAAGAAACTGTTTTGCTGCATCAGTTGGAGAGTATGACAAGGTTATTTGCATTACCATATGAGTTTATTAGCCTCTGTTAAGAGTTTCAAAGCTGTCATTTTGAGCCTTAGCCCTTCATCAGAGCAAAACTCTGACATGGGCCAACGTCCGTGATCATCAAAACCTCAGCTTTGAAACTCTTAACTCACAAATATCAACTCATTGGATTATACCAAATGATCTCCTGCATGGGTTTTGCTTTGTGGCCCCTTTTCAGTTTGGTCACCGAGTACATCTAATGCATCGGCATCTGGAAAAAGTTATCAGAACCCCTTGTGTAATTTACCCTCTGTCCCAACTGGTATGTATCTTTGAAAATTCCAGTCATGATGGATTACCAGAGAAGAATATAATCAGTTATTAAGTTCATCTTATGTTGGAACATGGCTGTACAAGTCATCCTTCCCTACAATTAGCAAAACTAATGAGTTGAAAATTCTATTACCCTCTCATCTTATTAATCTCAAATATTGTGTTTTGAATTCAATATTAAGTTACTTTGTAGAATGTTTAAAAAAAAAGTTGGGTGTATTTTTATACACTGGAACCTTGATTATCCAGACTCATTGGTAGTTGACAAAATAGTCCAGATAATCGAGGGTCCAGATAATCAAGAATATGAATATTAATGAGGATAAAAAACTGATTAAATTAAGAAAGTGACATTTAATTGTGAAACAAAACATTTACAAGTCATTTTGAAAGAAATATGGTCTACCTCTACAGGTGTGTATTAACAATAAAAATTAATGAAAAATGTTTTTTCATTGGCCTTAAAATGTTGAAGTAAGTCAATTTGTCTTAAAGAAGAACATCTTGAAATCAGCGTGGAATCTCACTTAGCAACAAGCAACTCTAAGCCAATCAGACCTCATTCAAATGTTCTTCATTAGTTATGAAACATATGAGTTCTGCTTTTGCTTTTTGAAAGCAAAACAAACTTGCCTTTACTTCACTTTTCAGTGCTGTAGTTTTAAAAAGAATATGGCAATGGATGTTGATCATGACTAACAAATATTCATGACAAAATTGGGAGCAGAGAAAAAGTCTGGATAATCAAGCTCTGATTGTATACTCCACAATGATGTATAAATTTATTCTGATTTTGTAGGAATGCCCACACTGGGAAAAAACCATCAACAAAGCAATTAGGAAAATCACAGCCATCTGCTGATTTGAAACTGAAGAGAGGATTGGACCTTACCAGGTTTCTTCTTTATATAATTAATCTTTACAACACAAGAAGCTCAGTTACAGTGTCAAATTGATGTTGCTGATTCCACAACTGTTCACTCATTTGTTTCTAAGGATTCCAGAGGAAGTCATCTTAAAGATATTCAAATACTTGAGTCCCTCTGAACTGCTGGTATGTGCTCAGGTGTGTCACAAATGGTCTGCAGTTTCACAAGACAGGTATGTTTGCACATGGACAAGTGAGTTACCATCATTCAGTAATTAAGAAGTAATGAATTCCCTACCTAATGTTGATAAAATGTCAGTTACATGTAGCAGCTGGATAAAAAACCACTAATTCTCTATTAACATAGAGCAATTATTACCAAAGGAATGTATTTATAACATTTAGCCATGTTCTTTACATGTAGTATCAGAGGAGATCTTTGATCCATGTGTAAAGAGACAGGTTACAACATCAGCTTTGACTCATGTCATAAATTACAAAAGGCTTGTTGTTTGTCTGATATACCCTGTAAAATGATGATGACGATGGCAGGTTCCTTGAGTCCAAGGATCAGCAGGAAGGTCATCCCTGTTGATATACCCTCTGGTGACTGTGATAGCTGATCCTTGATCTGCACACTCTGCCGCACCTTGGGCATGGGTGTTCTTGGGCAAGGGGGGCTCAGGGCTGCTGTTGCCTTTCTTTTCTTCCATTTCTCCTCTGCAGCACCTCTTAGGGCCATCTCCAAGGCCACAGCACCTCACCTTGACATCGCTGTCCAGATTTCCCTCTCCTTTGAGTTTCTTCCCAATCCTTTTCTGGGATCCCATCATACTGTAAAGTATTTTGGCAAAAACAACCCTTACCTTAGCATCTCTTAACTCTGATGATGACCACTTCCCAGTTTTTCCTGAAACTTCATCAACAGACAACAGTCTCTTTCAGGACCAGGGTTCACCTAGGCTATACTTAACTATTCCACACAACTCTCATAGCTGTTAAAGTTTATACTGCATTAAATTTTTTGGAGACCTTATTTGATCAAGCTCCACCAAAGATTCTATGTACATTAATCACTCCTCATGTTCCATGGCAAGATTGCTTTTGCCATGATCAGTAAATACAATTTTTTAATTAGTATGAAGTTAGTTTGTGTAAAAACCTTTTATGCAGTTTTTGCTATCAATTGAAATGTAACATTATTTGATTTTATCAATTTATTTGCCTTCAATTTCTTTCAAATCATACATTCACCTTTACAAATTGATGTGGTTTTCATAAGATCTAAAAAGATATTACAACAAACCTTGTTTTCATGTCAATAGTCACTGACTTTGAAGATGAAAAGTTTCCTTTTAGGTTGTTGAAATGTGAGTCAATGTCAGCAAAATGTCATTCTCAGTACTACTTTTACTTTAATTTAGACAATCAAATGTTACTCTTGGATTCCATTAGTTCTGTAAACCTTTGTTTGGAGTTCCAAATACATCATTTTGTTCTTTTTTTCTTATATTGTAGCTGTTTGTGGGAGCCACTGCTTCCTTATCTTCCAAAGCGAGTCAGAGATAATTTAACCTTCAAAGAAACAAAAGAGGAAGGTTTTGACTGGAAGCGTGAAGTAATCAAAAGGTGTCACAAAGATTTCTGTCAATTTCTTGTGCTGCTTGTTAGGACTAAACTGAGTCAGTTATGGTATCCATTACACTGCTAATTGAATTTTTTGTACTCATGCAATGCAGATGTATACGTGCAAGGAATGAGGAGATGCTCAGAAAGCGAGGAGTTTCACCGTACACTGGCTTACAGAAAGATGCGTTTCATCCCCTTAGGTTTGTTTTTAAACAAGAGTAAAAAGTTAAAAGATAATACAAAGTGGTTAATATCGAAAATTCGACTCTTTACAGTAAGCGTTTGAAAGTAAGCTAGCATCAAAATGAACTTAACACGAGGCTAGCCCCACTTCCCACCTCACGTAAATGAAATTTCTGTACACGCATAAGATGTCAACAACTCTATTTTTTGTTACCCAGGTTTACTGACATTAGATGGAAGCTTTGTGTTACAGACACCTCTGGTAAGGAATACTGGCGGTCGTCCGACTGCTGCACTCTTTTCCAGTCTTCACTCTGTGTCCGCTGGTATTCCCTAAATCTACCACCTCTCTCGAGACTGAAGACACTTCAGGTGTTTTCTTTTGTGCCAGTTTTCTTTAACAGAAGTTGGAAGCCTCACTATGAAAGGTGATCACAGTCGCTCGTAGGGGTAAAAAGGGTTTTCTTTTTTAATACATGATTGAATGGTCAATTAGGCATCCGTACGACAATCACTTTATCACTCGGAAACTCTCGGCTTTTTTTTAATTTTTTTTTACATTTATCTTTTTGGTAATAAGGAGGAGAGCTTTCACTGAAAGATGTCATAACATAGGAAGTGTGAAGTAAGGGAGAATGCTCTTCTCGTCTAAATAAATAAATTATCAGGAAATCAAAATTTAACCTATGGATTCTGCGTAGTAGCCAGAGAATTCTCTCTGATTTTCGATGGTTAACGCATTACTTTGCAACACAGTTAATGGAACGACCACAAAAGCAAACTGTATAGTCTAGTCTTGTTTGTAAATTGGAACAATCAGATCATGGTTTCATCTCTTGTAGGCCTTTTTTTCATAGATGTGGAAATTTGATTATTTTAAAAGCGGCTTATTTGTGATGTCATTCTCCTCAAGGATATTGAAAACATCTTCACTTTCACATCAAACCTTTTTTTCCTTTTTCAGTGCCACTACAAGATCTCTTGTCCTCCAATTTGATCTTCGCTCTAAAGGTGAGAAGCAACGTCTTCATGAGATATTTTAAACTAAGCAACAGTATCCGTGACCATTTAGTGCAGTAACTACTTTTTTGTGGACAACCTAATAATAACAAAAAGAAAAAGCTTTATACTTAATTTCCCGTATAAGAATTTATTCTGCTTTTTTTTTAAATTGAAAACTGGTCCTTCTAAGTCTCAGACTGTTTTATAGGCGTGTTGCTGTTGTTTTTTGATCAGGCTCCAGAATAGCTCTTTCACAAGCCACAGCCGTCAGTGGAGCTGGGATGATAACAGCACATGTGATATGTTCCTCCGTTTTAGCAGCTTGCTGGAGCGCCTCTTGGAAAGTAAGTCTTCTCTCCTCATAGGAGATAGCGCTCATACTTCACCTGAAAAGGTGTAGAATCATTGATTTGCTACGAGTATGGGTTAAGAATGTTTGCATCACCATGTGTTGCAAGAAGTTATGTGATAGTCACACTCCAGTTGCTCCGAAAGCAACTTATTGAAACAAATTTAATTTTTTTTTTTTGCATTGACGGTTTCTTTTTTTGTTTGTTTATTTATTTTTTTTACATCTTACAGGATGGTGGGGAACTCGCTTTTCTTACACTTTGCCTTCATCAGCACAATCTGACTAAAAAAGTTCTTCTGGGTTCGCATTGCAGGTTTGCAATAAATAATGTCCTTTTATTTCCAAATTACATGTACTCTTATGTGTTTAGAGCTTGCCAAACCCGCCATAATTTTGAGGCATAGCATAGTGGTCAAGTGATAAATTGTCTCTTCCTCTGTGGTAGTTAGTACTTTGGACTTCTTGACCCAGCATTCTTCAATCGAGCTTTACAAGCCACTTGACAATTACATTCGCGTCTCAACCTATCCTCGTATCCAGAGGTAGTGATAATGCTCCTCTGGGACGATTTAAAGCCCATGCAGAATAGGCAGCGGGGGGCGTTTTCTGCCCTTTGATGTTCATAGGTGGAGAGTAGCAGAGAGAAATTATCTCAGGAGCAATATTGCAGGGCAGTCAGTACGTGTACGTTCACATTGACTGAATCTCTCTCGGGAGTGTTCGAAGACATCATAAAGACATCATAAACGAATGAAACAGAAGGCGATGTTTAAAAATAAATGACACAAGAATACTTGAGAACAGAAATTTCTGTTACTTCGAGCTGGAGTCGAAAGAACGATTAAGGTTTTACAGGTCTCGCTTTTGTTCACTGATCAGCTGAAAACACGCCATTTACTCGACTATCTGAGACCGGTACCCTGTCAATCGTGTCGCATTTGGCATCGATATTTTTCAGACACTTGTACAAAAACAATTCATGTGATTTTTCCTGTTAGAACCTTCATACCGTCAGCCCACGTGCCTGTTCCTGATGACATAGACCCAAAGTATGGTAAGATCACACCTGCATGAATAAATTTCTGTTTTTTTTTACCCTTTAACTCCCATGAGTGACCAAGACAGAATTTCTCTTTACAATATCAATACAATATCAAGCAGACCAATGATGAGAATATAGAAAAATTTCAATTAACGGATTATTAGTTGATCCAATACCAAATTTTCAAAATCAACATCATTAGATTTGTATGGCAGACAGTAGAGAGAATTACCTATGAGATCTTGGAAGTAAAAGGGTTAAAAGGAAAACGTAATCTGAAAGATGCATCTCGATGTTACACACATCTTTTTTCCGTTAACATGAGTTTTGGAAAAACTATTTCTCATACTTGTAATAACCTCAAGAAGTATGCATGTATAATTTAGAATTAGGATTCATCATTAACAAAGAGGAAAAGTGTAAACTGCAAGCATGCCAAATGTGTAAGCGTTAGATTTACCCAATGACTCGATTCTCGATGGGAATTTGGTTTTTCCGAGTGATACGACCATATAAGTCGAGAGAGAGAGAGTACAATTAAAGGCTCAATTTCCTTGGAATAGTTATGTCAAAATTGTTGGCTGTTTCAAGCAGATCGCTAGTGTATCAAGGAGGATTTGTTTAACAGTAAGAATCATAGCTGAGCAAGAAGAGACCACAACGCCATTTCGTTCGTGGTTAGTTAACAAAATCGCCCGCTTGGTCTTAGAACGCGGCGTCACGCAAAGCGTTTTCTGATTGGAGAGAAACTGTGTTGCGTGACTGCGAAACTAAGTAGCTGTTGCAAAGGAACCTGGCCTTGCACGTGTACTGACAATATGACATCTTTCTAATCAGGACTTCATGGATATTCTGCCACAATAGAACTGAGAAATCACAAAGCGACTTTCTGGGGAAGGCAGTACAGGGAACTCTACCAACGTGAGCAACTACACCGTAGAAAATACAAATGCATAGTTAAGATTGTTAAAATTGTTGGAGACCAGAATCGTTTAACAAATGATACAAGCATACTCAGTAAACAAGGAGGTCCGAGTTCTTCGAATTGGAGCTGTTGTTGATCCCAAGAAAAGTTAATTTTTTTAACCCCTGTTAACAGCGCTCGAAATAAATTTTCTCTCTAGTCCAGCTGTCCGTCACTGATGATTTGGTTTTTATCAACTGAGTTACTAATGTAAATTGGCCTAAAGCTAAAGTTTGGAGCGAATGACGAAGTGCTAGTGCGAGAAACTCTTTACGGTGGCCAATTAAGGTTATCAACTCAGTTGATAAATCATAATCATCTTATTATACCTCCCACCGACCCAGCGATACAATTTCTTTGGAAACTTATCACCTTTATTCACCTGTTCTTCACTGAGTTGTTTCCTCTCTCGGAAAAACTGACGCACGCGGCATGTTTAGTCACATTAGCAAACGCTCCACTTAAAATACGTGAAAGTATGAAAGAACAGTTTTCTTAAGTGGCTTAATGGTTCCGTTTTATTGTTTTTTTCTTTAGGCAATTTTTCTCTAAAAATGGTTTGAATCCTGTTCCATAACTAATTATTCTTGTGTTTGAAACAGAATACTTGGCTGATTCTTACGTGTCCCTTGGAGGTGGCAGCCACGAACACGGTTCATTTTCAAGGAAGCTTTCACTTCCTTGGAAAACAGAATTATTCAAAAACGTCTTACCCGTGAGTGCTGAAGGCAAAGATTTTTATTTCTTCTTCAAAGAGACCTTGCACGCTAGATCGAGACGAAACACGCTTCTTGTTCGCTATCTAGAAGCGCGCCATTTTGTCTGTTTTCTTGTAGTAAATTTGATTAATTAATCACCAGTGACCCGCACAGTGACCCGCCCTTCCTGTGCTTGTTATCACGTTTCTTCACGTTTATGAGACTAGAACTGATCCATGATGTTGCTCCTTCACTTTTTATGAGTTATGCTGTTTTGAAACCCTTTGTCTAGAGATAACCTTATTTCCTTTTATTCTAGGATATGTGTTTCCTAGATGTGACTGTTCTACATGATAGGAAGCCTTTCTGGTGTTTCAGGTAAGCGAATCAGAGAATCACACCTGTTAAACGCAAAACACGCAATCAAAACGTAACCCACGCAAATCAAATACAAGATAATGATTCAAATACATGTTTAGTTAGTCAAATGCAATGCTAACGCGTCGAAGTTATGTAACACAAGTTAAACACAAGACACAAGTCACCCGTGTCAAACGCAATGAACGTTGAACACAGATTGCGTCGACTGAAGGCAAACTACACGCGCACGAGTCAAACGTACACACATGCGTCGAAAGATTCTTGTAGCAAGCTGATCCCTTCGGCTTATTTCGCTGCCGACAAGATTTTTACTGTGTTGTTCAGACTTCAAAACTGATGCATTTACTCTGAGATTGTGGAGTGAAGTATATCTGCCAACGTTTTCCATGAACTCATTTTGCAGCTCGCCTGTAAAAGTTCTTATCAACAAAGTATTAGATGGTAAGTCTCTTCACTTACGTATGACGGCAGGTCACAAAGGTTTTTGACTTTGGTCACTGGTATGGAATTATAGACCCGATTTACGAACACTTTAACTGCAGGCGTGAACAGCAAAACGTACCATCTCTTAATAACAAGGTAATTTGGTATTATCGACTGAGTTTCAAGCGTTAGCCCTACGTCATTCGCTCTAACGAAGGGCGAACACTCGAAAAGTCAGCTTTGAAACTCTTAACGGTGGTCAATTTACGTCGTCGACTCGGTTGATAAAACCAAATTACCTTGTACTCTCCCGCTGACGCAGCACCACAGTTTCTGTAGAAAATTACCCCCTTCATTCATTTCTTATTAAATCCACCAGGAAAAAGAGAGGCATGACTCGAATAGAGAACCAGTGACTGCCCTGTTAAATTTATTCAATACTTATTTTTCTCGCAGGTGATTTCACTTCAGAGGGAGAAAAACAGTTTATCGAATTCAGTGATGAACATGGTTCTTTAAGGATGGATTTTCTCTGGGTGAGTGTTTCGAGTTGTCTATATTAGCTGTAGAGATATACTGTTGCTGATTGTGAATTTACGCTCCTTTAGATCGAAGATGAGGAACAAACGCTTGTTACTAACGTTGAGCTACGTGTCTTGAAGTCTTTTGTAAACTTCTGGTTCAACACGGCCTATTGAAGTCAAGTAGTCTCGACCAGTCCCTACCCCGCAACTCAACACCAGTCTTCCTTGTCAATTTAGAGGAGAACATAAAGACCTAAAGAGAGGATGGTGATGTTTATCGAATCAGTAATGGCGCAGTTTGTGTCTTCTTGATCAAAGATTGGACCCCCTATCATACATTTCTGGATCTGCCTGGGGTATCCTATGCTGTCGCTAACGTGCCGCTCATCAGTTAGAATCCCAACTGGTATTTCTATCAAAGCTATTGAGGCATCATTGGAAATGTCAATTAACCCTTCTAATAGTGTTTTACTGCAAGTATCTACGTTTTCAAATATTTTTTTTTTGTTTTTGTTTGAGTTTTGGAAAATACTGATTTTATTTATTGGTTCTCTATGAGCTGATACTCAGCGAGTAAATTAACCAGTCAGAACACGAAATTTTCAATTTGGGTTTTTTTAGGGGTTTGTTGAAGGGGTTTTTTATAAAAAGGAAATAAGCACACAGATTTACATTACATTTTGGGTGACGGATTCCCAATATTTTTCTTTTTAGGTCAATAAATATTTTATGACACCCCTCGTTTTCTCTTAATCAAACGTTAACCCAGTGATAAGGTGGTCTGTCTTAATGAGGTCTACGTAAGTTCCATATCATCTGCCCCTTAGACGAGTAAAATAAATTTCGCCCAAAAGCCACAGTTCATATAATCGCTTAGTTAGGTTGAAAGAATTAAAATAACTGAAAATTCCATAATTTGCGATTATTTTCAGTAGTTATAATTACTACAAAGCCTTAAAAATGAATCAATGGGGCAGAGTTGTGAAAAAATCCGAACATTAATCGATAAAAGAATCGTTACTGAATGCCACATTATGATTGCAAAAGTAAAATCCTTACGTTGGGTGTACTCATTGTAAGCTTGGAATTCCAAAACGAAGCAAACATATGGATATGTGAAATTTTGTTGATGCTGAAAATCATTCACAGGTCGTTATCAACAGCTGTTCTTCGAACATTTTGTCAATTAGTATGTGATGTTGTAAATGACAGCATTTTAATTATGCACAAAGAAACAACAAACACAGAAGGAAACTTTGAATCAAGGATAAAATAGCAGTGAAGCATAATGCATCCTCGGATCGGAAAATATCAATGGATCTTTCTCAACCAATAAATTTTCTTTCTATGCTATCTTTTTCACTTTGGGATCTATAGAGAAACCAAGCAAGACTAAGGAAAAATAATTAAAGGGGTAAGTTTCTAATGAAACGATGAGGGGTATTGTGAGAGGATTTGGTTTTATCAACTAAGTTGATGGCGTAAATCGGCCATCAAAAAGAGACTCTAAAGCTGACGTTTCGAGCTTTAGCCGCCCTTCGTTGGAGCGAATGCGAAGGGCAAAAGCTCTAAAACCTCTACGGAGGCCAATTTACACTGTAGACTCAGTTAATAAAACTAGATTACTTAGAAAAAGAGACCCTACTTAATGAAGATATGCAAACTTTTCCAGAAAGTTCGACGGCTTCACAGCTGGCATCGTTGCTCTGTTGGCACGGCGTATAAACATCCTGCAGGGGATCCCTTAAGAATATCTAGACGAATCAGATTCTTGTGCTAACAAGAACACGTTTTTACACAACTCTTTACCCTTGAGTGTTGAAGGACAGAAAATTGTATCAAAAGGATCAAGGAATCAGCTCGCTTACCATGAATGCGTTAGTGTTTGTCTCCTCGGCATTTTTTCACTTTTTTCACGCATCAAATTTTAGATCGAAACTTTGCAAACGCAGCCCAATCAGGTCTTCAGCGCAAAACGAACGAAAATTTAACTTTTGCACTTTTCAATGATCATTTATTTCACTTTCTTGATGTTCCCAAAATCGCGGAAACCTTTGTGCAAACCACAAAACAGTGTCTACTGCAATGCATCAAGAACCGTCTGTGTCTTCCACAAATGTTGCAGCGGTTCCTCAGCCAAACGGACATGTATCGTGTGAGTTACTTTCCATCGAAAAGTACAATGCATCTGAAAATTTCGTAAGAAGTTTTACTTCTCATCACTACAGCATAATGGTGAGTTTGAAGGGCAATAATCGTTTTTTAGCACATGGCATAGGAAAACGTGATCGTGAAATGAGGAAATGAATGTCATTTTCATTCTTTCACTGAATCCAAAGTGGTGTATGAGCGCGGTTTCTGGATGACGAATCTTCAGTTTGTTTGAAAGCTTTCGTAATGCTTGGCTTAGATCCAATAGTGAAAGCTATACTTGAAGAAAAGTAACATTACAACCAACCGGTGAAACGTTTCGACCTCAGTTCTTTCTGTTAGATAACGTGACTTTTAAAATGCTTAAAGTTTACTGATTTAATGTTAAATTAGTGTGACTAACTGTTTGAACTATATTTTGATCTGTTTTCTTTCTGCGTGACTTCTACAGTAATTATCATTTAGACAGTTTGACTTACGAGTACTTACAATTTTACCTCGACCATAATTTGACCTCCATGACATAATTCACTTCAGGGGGTCTCGCTGTCCCTTAATGAGGGCTTGCGTTTTTAAAAAAATTACGTGTATGTGTAGAAATTGTTCCTAAGAGGCAATCTGCCATCCAAAAAACTAAGCAAAAGTAAGTTTTCACAATTTTCTCATTGTGAATCGAAAGATAATAAAAAATCAATTCTCACTGCCTTAGTTTGTATCTTAACATTGACTGGTGTACCCTGCACCTGCGATCCGAAAAATACAAGTTTGAGGCAACGACAAAGATAGGGTTTGCTTGTTTTTGTTTTTGTTTTTTTTTTCTAATTTTCAGAGTCCTTTTGAAAGTTCCCCCTGCCAGAACGGTGGCTCATGCCATGCTATATACGAAACATACGATTACAGATGCAAGTGCAAACAAGACTACTTTGGAACAGACTGTGAAAGGCGTAAGTAATTTCCAGCCTGTTAAAATCATTCGTAGAGTCGATTATTTTGCAAATTTTTTCAATTTGAATCGCTGTCTGTTTTTCTTGTAGAGAAAGCATTGTCTTGTAAGGAGCGGTTTTACCAAGGGTGAGTGCATTTGTCGAATATTACCCAGGGCCCGGTTGTTCAAAACCGCGATTAAACTAATCACCGATTAGGCCTAATCGGCGATTAAATTTCTTAATCGTGGGTTAGTTAATCGTTGGTTAAAAAACGGTTGTTCAAAGGGAGATTACTCGGTCGATTTACTAATCCGCGATTAAGCATAAAATGAATTATATTAATTAATTATAATTTATTTTGTGCCAGTTTACGTCATAAAATTGCCGGAAATTTATTTTTGTCAATATGGCTTCTCCAGCGAAGAAAGTGCGGAAAGCAAACTTTTCACCCGCTGAAATTTCCGTTTTAACGGAAAAATTTGAAGAAAATATGGACATTCTTCAAAGTAAATTTACCAACAGTATAACAAATGCAAAAAAAAACCAGATTTGGGAAGAAATCTCGGAGGCGGTAAACGCCGTCGGTGTGACAGCAAGATCAACGCAGGCCGGAAGTACGAGACAAGTGGAAAAACCTCCAGAGTCACGCAAAAAGAGAATTCAGTTCCTTTAAAGTTAACAGAAGAAGACAGGTGGTGTTATGCTCCCCGAACCCATCAGAAGCCAGTTTAAAATAATAAACATGTTCAGTGACACACCGTCATTTACTGGGTTACAGGGGTTTGAAACAGGTAAGTTTATAAATGGAAACATTATTGTAATACCTCTCAATGTCCATACCTTGCATAAAATGTATACTTCGCTAACAAACACAAAGCAAAGTGAAAATTAACGGACTTTAGACTTTTGTTTCTTTCTTATTTTCTTTTACATGTACTCCCATGTAAACAAAAAAACAAATGGCGCCGAAAAGTCTGCCTCGGCACACTCTTCTCTTCTCGGCTTCAAATACAATCTTCGGCCAGCGGCCAACTCTAATCAATTAAATATGGCTGCCTTTTAGAAAGGCAGTCAAGTGCAGTTCAAAACACTGCATTTCAACAGATTGTGGTGCTTCGTTATCTAATAAGACTGGCTGGTCCGTAGGTCCAGAAACTCTTGTTCCATAGAAATTCAGATCTATAATAATTTCAGACTGCCAGGTATCTAGTTTTTTGAAATCACTTCCTGGTAGTCAGGTATCAAGACCCAGTGGGTGGGGGGAGGTGCAGGTTACTCTCCGATAGGGTCTATTAAGGTATGTATGTGCGCCTAAGGCGTATGACTTTTCAGCCTCTTTAGCCATAAATAGGGTATCGATTTAAGCCATTTTGATCATTATAGGGTCTGTTTTTTGCTCTCTAGTCCTGAATTTGGCATGTTTTTCAGAAGAAGCTACTTGTTTATCATTATTGATAAGACTGATCAATGAAAGCCCTTCATGATACCTTTAACATTGAACTGAACAAGGAACTAAGTATAAGGCAAGTTTGAAACAAAGTATTGATTTAGGGTCAGGTCATAAATAGGGTATTGAAAATCACAGATTTTGGTCATAAATAGGGTAAGGGTTTTGCAGAGTGGTCTGCACACCCCCACCCAATTGTTCTAGAGTACCCTGGATCTAGAGACAGTGTATTAAAATAACATACTTAAGATGCTCTTAACAGTCAGTGAATTATTATATAAATAAAACAAGAAAAGAGTGGTTAAGTTATTTGTTAATATTATATATATCTTTATATATACAATAATAAAATGTCAACCTTTTACAAGCAGCAAAAGAAGTATTTTATTTTTGTATAATAATTTTTGCTTTGATTATATAGTAAACAAGAATGATTTATGCACCTAAGTCGTACCACTTGTATTGATTTCATTGTGAAGAATGTTGGAAATGTTGTACTCTGCTGTCACTTTGAAGCTGGAATAACCCCCTGTCCCTTGGTTGTGTTGAACACAAAACATAAATGTAATTTTATTCTTTTTTTGTAAACCATGTAGATTACAACAACAATTGGGCATGACCTTGAAAACTTCATTGAAAAAGTTGAGTCTTGATGCTCAAAATGCCAACTTAGTAATTCTTAGTATGGCGGCGAGTTTATTTTTCAGGTATCTTCACCATAAATAATATTGTTGCAAATTGCAGACAAAATCCCCAGTTTGGATATGAGATATTGCAAATTATATTTTTAGGTAATTTTGATGTGGGAAAAGATGATGGGTAATACATTGAAGTGAAACTGATTTAAGGGAGAAGAACCATTGCAAGCTAAGCCTATTTTAAGAAGGAAAAAATATGCAGACTGGAACTGTCAAAAACAATTTCACATCCCAAAAATAAAAAACTTGAATGAGCAAGGAAAACTGAAAATTCTCCACCCAATTATTTTTCTTTGGTACATTACTTATGATACATTTGGTCAAAAGGATGGCATCTAGCTGAAATAGGTTTGAGTAATGTGATTTCTGACAGCTTGTCCTTGATTAGGACCACAGTACACATAATCCTCATTTGCTTCCCCACCAACATCTCCATCCTCCATTGGCTCACTGAGGAAAATTGCGATATTGTGCAAAACAGCACATGCACCAATGATGATGCACACTTTTTCTGGAGCCATACGAATTTCAGAATGGAGAACATGAAAGCGACGTTTCCAGCGGCCAAAAGTTTGTTCAATGATTACCCTTGTTTTACAATGAGCATCATTGTAAGCAACTTGAGCTGGGGTGCTTGGGTTGATATACGGGGTCATCATAAATGGGCGCAATGCATACCCACTGTCCCCGAGGAGAATTCCATCATCCAGTGAGTGATGATTTTCCTCTATGTAGCTACATAGATTTGAGGACCTGAACATGAAGCTGTCATGTGTACTTCCTGGCCATCGAGCTACAATGTTAGTAAACAAACCTGAAATAAAGGCAAACAATGATATCATGTAAGGTAATCTGCAAAGGGATTTTACTTCAATGGTGAAACGTTCACTGCAGCCAATCAGTGTGAATGTGACAAAATTTTCAAGTCTACTCAGTGTAGATCACTTAATTGTGTCCATCCCCTGCTGCTATTGAGTAATCTTACTTGAAGGGACAGGTATAGTTGACTGTGTGTTACATGACGGTTAAGACGTTATCTGAAAATGCAACAGGCTACCAAGATGTAAGAAATGATTTTAAAAGCATCGATTACCTTCGTGGTTACATATGCCTTGGACATTGATAGAGTGGAAACCTTTACGGTTCACATAGCTGTTCTCGTTCTTGTTGGGCGCTTGGATTCGGATATGCGTGCCATCGACGCATCCGATCACGCAGGGAAATCGTCCTCGCTGGTAAAAGGCAGTTTTTAAACTGCCCAGCTCTTGCTGTTGTCTTGGCCACTTGACATACTCTTGTTGTCTAGCAACAAGTGCCAGGGATACATTTGCCACCACTCGTGACACTGTCGACTTGTCAACACCAACGGTGTCTCCCACCACTTGAAGGAAGCTGCCACTTGCGTAGAAGCGCAAAGCAATGAGGACTTGTTGGAGAGCGGAGAGAGGATGATTGCGGTTGGTTTTACGACGAAGATTATCTGCCAAAAGGTCGGTAATATACTCTATAGACTCCTTTCCAAAGCGATACCTTGCTCTTAATTCTTCGTCTGTATATCCATCTATCGTGAAACCGATGCTCCTAAACTCTCTTTGCTTCCGTTTTCTTCGCCCATCAACACCAACACAACCATACAACAAGTCAGCCATGTTGTGATTTTTATTTTTTAATCTGCCGATTAAGGATTTAATCCACCTAGCGAGCAGGGTTAGATTTAACCCTTGGTTTGATCGAAGGTTAGGAATAATCGGGCTTTGAACAACAGAAACTAATCGGCGACTTAAATTTAATCGGCGATTAGCCTATTTAATCGTGGATTAGCGCTAATCGCAGTTTTGAACAACCGGGCCCAGGTGCATAAAGTGATTTTTTTTTTGCGTCATTCTCTCAACCAATCCGAAATATAAAAAACTAAGACCTAAGACTCACGGTCTCCCACTGTTGGGGCCGGCCATGTGCCTTTTCCTTCAGTTTATCTAGCTTTGGTTTTCCTTCAATTCAGGGAATAAAAGGAAAAATGTGCTATTTAATAAAACCATAGCTTTGCAAAGCGTTTTCTTCCTACCAGGAGCCGTTCTCTATATTTTTTTTGTTTTCGAACCGGTGATCTGGCTTAAAGACAAGCACAGTTAAGGGCTGATATGTTTCTATACTAGTTATCATGGTTGTATTCTTTTTATGTCAAAGATATTTCGCGTATATTAGCAAACAAATATTTTTTTAAAGAAAGATGTTTTTCGTCTTGTCCATGAGGAATCGAACCTCAAACCTTCGGATTCCGCGCTCCGATGCTCTACCTCTGAGCCACAGAGACTCCGCGGTGAGCGAGGTCTATTACGACGTTCATATGACACTCGTCCTGCATACTGCTAGGATCAGCAATGTCGATAGCGTAATGTTTGTACATAGAAATAAGAGAGATGGTAAATTTTGAGCTCGGTAAAGAAATAAAGAGAGTGGGACAAAATAATTATTTTTTTACTTTCATAATTCATCATATTTTTTTTGCAATTCTCTCTTAAGATTCCATAAGAGCGGTGTGTATCCGCTAAGTATGGTGAAGTCCCGGTGTATTGTCACATGACCCTGCCAGCTTGTGGTGAAGGCCAATGGACATCAGTGATGAAAATTGATGGAGCAAAGGTACTAGAAAAGCAGAAGATCTCATTGAGAAATTAAATGCTGTAAATGAAATCTTCTACGGAACCTGGAATTTACTTGTTCCCATTTTCGCCATTACTCCTTAGTTGTGCTGAATAAAATTTAACCTCTTTTCCTTTTTTTTCTGTCAAGGACACTTTCATATATGATTCACCATTATGGAATAACATGGAAAGCATCGATATTCCCGGCGGAAACACAGGGTTCGACTATCAGCAAACCAAGCTGCCGACTTTCTGGAATATGCCCTTGACTCAGATCTGTCTTGGAATGAAAGTTAAGGACGAAGATAGGTTTATCACAATCAATCTGACGGCCAGTTCGCTGCATTCGATATTTTCCACTGCTCAATACTTGCCAACATCATTGGGTCGAAATGTTTGGAAAAAGGTAGTGGGTCCTCAGGCTTCACTGCAGCATTTGTGCAACAAAGAGGGTTTTAACGTGGTGTGTTCAGGTGCCATTAAAACGAGAATCGGTATCATTACGGATGACGTGCTGATGGTCTCTCCGTTTACTTGCGTAGGCTGTGACTCGGCTATTACGTTTGGAGGCGATGATTTTCAAGTGTGTGGGAATAATGGCTATAAGGATATCTCTGCCATGGGGTATATTCTGATAAAATAAAAAATCCCGCTGTATGTGAAACCAAGAAGCACCTTTGGGAGGTTAATCTGTTGTGCCATATTGATATGTTTATAGACATCTCTGTGAGCATCATATATTTGTAAGTGAACAGCTTGAATTTAAGAGCGAAGCACTACAAAGCTACGCAATTTGCCGGTCGTAAATTCTAGTAAACAACAATTCAAGTAGGGTAAATCTACCACACGGATCTCATAAATGCAAGAAATTTGTAAGTTTTTCGGTTCGTTTTTCGAACGATTGATATTATTATATTTATAAAGTGTTGATATTTCCTAAAAGAATTTTGTTCAATAGAAGATTGTAATTTAATTTAATCTAATTAAATTTAATTTTAAAACCGTTCAATTTCAGAATTTATGATTTTCAACACAAACTTACGCAATTTTCTAGCCGTTAGTTCTAAAAAACAATGATTCAAGCATGCTGAATCTACTACATAGTCTCGTACATGCAAGAAATTCGTTCGTTATTCGCTTCTTAGCAGAAAATTTACAATTCTCTTAATCAAGATCTGGTCACGAAATATATCTTGGTCGTTTTTGCCTCGTCATTTATTGATAGTTTTCGGGTATAACACGATTACCCGGCAGACCCGACCCAATTATAATAAACTCTCTTTTTCGTGCACACCTTGTGTCTGCATGCTCTGCTATAAAAGAATTGGTTCATGCTTTAGCTGAGCGATCGAGTTATGGATGCACTTGGGAGGTTTGGAGAGCACTCAAGAAGCTAGAGTTGTTCGCGGCTGCGCCTGGAGTAACTCTTACGCTTCTCTCATTACTGGAACGACTCTTGCTTAATTTACTCCTTGCTCAAAATCGTGGTATTAGGCTGGCGACTTTATTACTACTGCTGAAAAAAAATTGCTTTGTAGAAATCAGTATTATATTGTCTGAATTGGAATTGCATGAGAATTTCCTGTTCGTATGAGGCTGTGTTCTCAGCTCACAATTATAATTTGTTCGTTTCCTCTTCCGCTTGCATAATGTGCGTGGTATTTTCCTTTTTGAAATTGTTTTTCCTCTTTTAGTGATGTTTGTTTATGTTATTTCTAGCAAATGACCACATCAACCCACCAGCAGCTGCTGTGATGCCACACGACCAAGGAGTCTGGTTATTAAGTGGTCGAGTGTTCGTCTTTTTGTGTGAGTAGGAGAATCAATGACTTTGTGGCAAGTGTGTTTCGTGTTTGCTGCTTTATCGAAACATTCTTGGGATAGCAAAAAATTTATAAATGCAACTGGAGAGAACCTGAGAGGGAACCTTCTCGAGAGAGAGCTCCAATATGTGGCCCAAATTCATGATAAACTACAAGACGCTGTTGGATGCAACGATGTTGCAGTTCTCAACGTGGCGTTTGATAGCGAAAGGTGGAAAAACGAATCTCTTATTGCAGTCAAAGTCGCCAATCTCTTGACTTCTCTCTGGTCTGTGAAATCGTCCGCTTCTGCCGAATCTGTTGTTGAGAATGACATTTTACTGTTTCAAATGGTTCGCTACAACGTCCGTTTCTCTCCATCTGTTTTCGGATCAGCTGTATGTTTCGCGCCAAACTTGTACAAGGACTATGAAAGGTTTTGTCCTTATGCGTTCAGGGACAAGAAATTGAACGGAAGCATTCATGTTACAGATCTTGGGCAAACGGATTACGATTACACTACGAGCCCAAACGCTATTTGGTGGCCTGCAATCACACAAAAAACCAGAAAAAAGAGGTCAACAGATTGGATGAAAGTGACCGACTTTTATTCAGTAGGAAGCGCGAATGGAATTTTCGAGAATGAAACCCGCAACCGATTACTTGTGACATACGAAGATGGTTTGTGGACTAGGCCGTATTTCGATTGTTTTGGTGGCAAAGAGTGGATGATAACCTATCTTGCTCCAGTTTTAAACGAAACCAACGAATTTTTGTAAGTTTGGTTTTTGTTCAATAATTTTGCCTCCATCTCTTATTCATCTATAATCATCGTTGTTTAATTGTTTTTTTTTTATTCTTAGCCAAGTGCATTGGCTGGGTCTCATGGTATAGGATGAGTGCGCTATCATTTGAGTACACTATCCTAAAGAGCAGTTTTCTGTGAAACGATAACAAAGTGTTGTTAAAAAGTAAATCAACTGAATCTAAGAATAACAATCGATCCTCTTCCAGGTGAGAATAGTCTTGTAAAGAACTCTTGACGATGGCAGAGACTGACGTTTTTTTCGACAGGTTGTCGCGGCATATGCCACTACTACTGACCACAGTCCTTTCCCGGACTTCTCCAAGGCGGAGATTATCATAACACGATCAAAACTGTCTTAAACTTGAGTGAAGTCTTGACTTCGCCAGAAGTAATAAATTCGTCAACTGACTCCATTTCGGTTTGCCTGGCACACGCGCTTCTCAATAGTCCCGCGCGCGTAGTAAGTAAAAAGTCGTAGAGGAAGTTATTCATTTAAAATATGCGTAAAATCGGCATTCAGAAAAAAAGAATCGCGACTCAAAATTTAAACATTGAAATATGAATGAAATTATACAAAACTATTATTTCGCAATCATTTTCTCAAATAAACAGCCTATCGTATCAATTTTTATGTCAAACTTTTCCAGCCGGTTTCAATTATTCAACCTTTACATCATCTTGTTGAGTTTTTGACCGTGAGAAAAGAGCAAATTTCTAATTTTCCATGAATTATTTAGGCAGAGACTTCGCCGGGGTCGCAAAACGTTTTTTCTAGCGTAACGATTTCACGTCATACGTAAGTCTGAAAGAAAAATATGCGGATATCAAGGGAAAAGTCCAAAATATATCATATAAATAGCCTGAATGGTAGCATATTGTGAGCACAAAACAACCCTCACATTTGTTCCGGATAACCCTGTTGTTTTTAGAAATCGGTCGTTTTTAGGAGACCAATCAATATAAAACCGGTTGAAAAACCGCAAACAAACCTGCCAGTTAAATAAAAGATCAATGAAGAAGAATGGGGCGGAAAACAAGCTGTTTGTCATATTGCACTTTCTTTTTCTCCGACAGTTATTGTTTGCTTCCTTGCATGCAAATATTTCAAAATATTTGAGTTGTAGTTAATGAAAACTGCAACATTTTTATCGGGCTTAATGAAACTGAGCGGCCTAATGGTGTTTTTGCTGGGGGGAGGTTTTAGCTGTAGTAATTACGCAGTCGTTGACCATATGCAATTTTTGTGGGGAAACTTAGAACATGGGCAGCTTACAGAAAAATTGTAGTCTAATCAACTGAGTTGATCATGTAAATTGCCGTTGTGAAGAGTTTCTAAAGCTTATCTTTCGAGCGTCGGCCCTTCGTCAGAAAGAAAGACTGAGGGCTATCGTTTGAAAAGTTAATTTTAAAAACTCGCCACGGTGGCCAATTTATATTAACAAGTCAGTTAACAAACCAAATTATATTGAATTTTAACTAAGTGAAATAAATTAACTATGTAACTAATTGCATTCAAATAAGTCATTTCTGCCGTTCGAAGTTGACTACTAAAGGGCCAACAGAATAGAAGCAAAATGCCGATCAATATTTTTGCGAAACAAATAATGTTTCCCGCGTACGAGACTAATGTTTCAACATCTTTCATTATATCAGCGAATAAGCTTAAGATTCAACACCTTTTTATTTGGCATTTGATTCTGAACAGCTGCAGAACTGCTTGTATTGGCTCGATACAGGACATTTGACGCATATGAGCCTTCAACACCCTTTTATTTTGCATTTGATTCTGAACAGCTGCAGAACTGCTTGTATTGGCTCTATACAGGACATTTGACGCATATGAGCCTGGTCAGTATGTTACCGGCTCGGTAACAATCTCGTGCAAGAGCTTCCGTTACCCAATACAGCGGTCAAGGGTCAGGCATGCGCAAGGGAATCAATTTTGGCCGGCTGTGCGGCAATTTCCCGCGTAAAATTTCAGGGAAAACATAAAAAAATAACCGCTGTCTTGCAAAACATGCACAAATATTCAAACGTTTGTAGAAATCTGCACAGGGAGACAAAAAGTATGGGAAAGGAAAACTTGGGAGTTCCGAACACTAAAAATGATTGATTACAGGTATCCAAATACTCTGGATGCGAGATTGGTTCACAAACGAGTTTGAAGAGCATTCGACGGCGGGATCAGAATTAGCGGAAGTTCAAAGTTTCATAAAGGATTCAGACCTTTTTGGTCTTAAAGGCGTGAAAATTGTTAAAAATTGATCTTTCTTAAGATTAAGGGTTGCTGAGAAGGTGGGAACAGCTTCACGTTCTGCAGTCCTGGAAATAAGACTTGGCCGAACATTTTTTTTCTTTTTTGCTTCTTCAGAGCTTTAGTAAGCGTGGACATTTCTCTTGAGGATATAGATATCGACCAGTGCGATGCCCCAGACTCCGCTGAACAGCAGAGCTCAGAAGAGACTGGTGACCAAGCCAAACCAAACCACTTAAGCACATTCATGGGAACTCACAGGTGCAAAAAGAGCACAAAGGCAAGTTATACAGACTAAGAAACATCAAATTCATGCAGATTTAATTCCATAACAAACTTAAAGGAAACCATCCCTGCCCCCTCTCCGTACCACCCTTTAATCCGGAATAGCTATCTTTTTGCAGTGTGTACCAGTCCCTTTCCAAGGATTCAAACGCGGCACCTATCGCTGTACTTGCAAACGAGGCTACTATTTTCCAGACCCCACAGCAACTCGGAAATACTTTCCCGGGCAGATCCTGGAGGAAGAGTACGACAAGATGCTGAGAGGCGAATCGAACCTTTATGAGCACCACTTTGGGTGCCTTGCTTGTAATGAGGGCTGTGAGGAATGTGTGGATGGCAGCGCATGCGTGTATGATGTGTATACAAAGCTGAGATATTCTCTCCTTGTAATTAACTGCCTCTTTGTCGTCATTTCGTTAGCCCTCGCAGCATTGGTGTTCAAACTTTGGCAGAATAAGGTAAAGAAAGGGTAAGACCAGAACAGTTTGGGTTCGCAATGCTCGTCACTGAAGTACTGATTTCCAGGCCTCTGACTCTGACCCTTTTCTTTTTTTGCATAGCAAGTTACGTTATGCATCCCTTTTTACCATGTTTTAGAGGAGAGCACATCTTTAAATAAAATACCACAATTATAAAACTCCACACCGTGTTACCGTCCCAAAACCTAAAAGTCATATACCACTGTCCATGGGAAACGTTCTAAAGTTAATGAACGCCGCTGTGTTTGATCGAGTAAGTACGGAAACCAGATGCTTGAAAGTTGTTTCTTAGAATATGATTAGTCACCTGGTTGTATCTGCTCTGGGCTATGATCAAATGTCTCTAACCAAATCTTGACAGAAATTGTGCATTTTTATTATGATGTATGAAATGAATGAGTTCACGGGCAGCTTTCTTTTCAGTGACATTTTCTTTCCGTCTGTTAGATATTCAAAGCTTCCTGTCCACGTTTTCTTGAAGTCATTATCTGCGGAGCGATAATGATGTATGTAAAGGTACGTGATTTGACTTGATCAATCAGTTATTGACTGCACAACTAATTTTAATGAATGAATGTCTCTGTGATAAGTAGACTTTTAATGAGTCAATTTTTTACCCGTAGTTTTTAGTCTTTTTGAGAGCCTCTGTATGATGAAAGATAAACTATAACTTAGACAATGGTTAACAATTATTCACAGAAATGGAGGTGAATACCGATGGATATTTACTGAGCCGCGATAGAAACCGAAAAAATAGTTTAGTTCTGTCAATATACCGAAAAATGGTGAGAAATTGAACTATTGACGCGAGATTTTGTCTCTTCGGCTGCTCGGAGGTGAATAGTACTTGCTAATCTCTTCCGAACTAGCCAATCAGCGCGCAAAAAGCACTATTTACCTACGTTGTATATATGAATTGTTGATAATGGTTACATAGCGTACACGGGTGGGGCAATTCGATCGCGAAGGCCCTTCAAAAATAAATAAGCCACCTGGAAAAGCACCGGACTGCTGAGCGGGAGGTCCAGAGTTCGAGTTGCGCGATGACTTTGTTAGTTTGTAATTAAACCACGTTGGGAAAAAATTGTTCCTCTTAGAAGACATTAAACACAGCTTGAAACAACTCTGAAATTTTTTGCGCTCGATCCACTCGGCCGTTTTGTCACGTCGGCTCCCGTAAATCCTCACCAAAAAACGTTAGGAAAATAATTCAAAGGTAAGACCCATCATCCCAGTTCAGCTGTTGATGCATGTCCCTTTCATGATTTAAGCTTATCGTATCGTTCCCTAAACCTTCCGAAGTGCGCTGCATATTGTCACCTTGGTTACATCACCTGGGTTTCGCTTTGGTATATGGTTCTCTGGCTCTGAAGACATGGAGGTAAGAAGCCTGTTGTAGGCCCTCAGTTAGTAAAGGGGAGGAAAATTGTAAACGGAGTGTAATGGTGACAGGGCGAAAATGAGGGAGGTCTAGGTTGGGTCGCGTAATGAACGCGACTCGATCCAAACCTCCGTAGTCTTTCACTCCTCTGCTACTATCACATTAAGTTTTACTTGCTAAACGCCTGAGAGGCTGAGAGGCAAGTTTAAAAAGGTCAGCTTAGTAAATGATCACTGTAAAAATGATACTTTTCACGAACCAACCATCTTAAATTCCCTGACGATCATCCGCTCATCTAACCCTGTGACCCCAGTTCAGGTTTTCGGACCTTCAATAATAGACGTGAAACAGCCCGCCCGTCAGAACTACCACTGTAAAAAAAAAAACAAACAAACAAACAAACAAAACACTCATACTAGCAGTTGATCGATTGTAACAGTGGTAATTCACTCCAGGAAGTTCAAGTTTTCCTCGAGATGCAACTACTCTTGTCCTTGAAGGGGGAATTATTATGATTACGATTGGTAATCTTAAGCTTAAAGGATTAATGATTCTTATTCAATAGTAACCATGCATTTCCCTTCCTTTTTTCTTTCGTTTTTCCTTCACTCCAGAGTGGTGTTAATTTTCCGCGTGCGCTCCGCTCGTAAGTTGGCTATTACAGACAGTGTGTTGCTGAGGAGATTGGCAGTTATTGTATTGCTGTATACAAGTTACTTGACCGTTTGGATGGTGATACAGCCACCTTCCATCGAATCAAGTATTACCGCTGATAAACTCAAATATGACAGATGCTCGACAAGCTCGTTTAGTCACATGATCTTAGCAGGTAAACAAAACATCCTAAATCACGTAAGTGCCTATCAGTGCTACTCATTGTGGCCGGATACCTAAATACATGGATGTCTTAAATGAAGCAAAATCAATCTGTGTCCAGGGAAGATGAGAAATCTTTAGGGTATCTCTCTCCCTAAGAAATGTGTTTACCGCGTAATAAGCGCGCTGGAATCTGGGTAGGAAATCCCTGGTTCGAGCAAAGCCTGGTCCCTGCATTATTTTTTTCGGTAAGTACCCTTATTCTCATGGTGCCATAAAGCATTTCTCCACTCAGGACTTGCGACAAGATGATTGGGATGAATGCGATGCGATGAATTAGCATTCTATTGAAAAAGAGTCATGATACTTCGATGGACTGACTATCAGAGACCGTGGTACACAAGCTATGTTATAGCATACTTCAGAAGATCCATAAATAATTCCTGGAAATTTTAAAGCTTTCCCTAGTACACAAAGAATTAGTCAAAATTTGCATGTTTTTACACTTCTCTTCTTCTGATAATGTTTTATTGAGTATATTTGTCATAAGTACGATCTGGTAAAACACTTTTTCCTGGAACAATTCCAATAGAGCAAGTTCCGTTGATTATTTCTTTCTTTCCCTCAGCTGACTTCGTAGTCCTTGCTTGGGGAATGTGGCTCAGTTTCAAAGTGAGAAAAGTACCACAAGTTTACAATGAAAGTAAATTCATCGGCTATGCCATATACAACGCCACGTTTATAATCTGCTTCATCAACGTGTTGAGGTAACGCAAAATCATTCTCAGGCTCCTGAGTTTCCAACCTCATTGGTCTTTTTTCCTCGAACAAAATAGCCCAGAATCGGGCATTTTTGTGATATTAGGCTTGTGCAGTCATACAAACAATGAGTGCTTAACCCTTTGACTCCTAAGTGTTATTAACATCTAACCTCTCCTTACAACATCACCCCTGAATCAAACATTGAGAACATGAGAATAAAGGAATTGATCACCTGCGAAAGATGCTCATGATTTTACAACAAATTCTCCTTGACTGCACCCTAGGAAATGGGTAACCGGTCGTTTCGCCTACGGGTCGTTTCGCCTACCGTCTGTTCGCCAACTTCTAGAGTCGGTTCGCCTACCTCCAATATGTCAGTTCGCCTACGATTCATATGTCAAAGCTTAAAAACTGAATTGTTTAAAAGTCCCTGTTGAACCTCGCAGAAAACTGAGTATTAAGATGAAATAAACCCCCGTTCACGGTCTTTGTGTTTACTTGTGACTCGAGCGGTCTATACTAAAGGAGGTGGGACTCTATGCATTACTGTTTTGACTGTTAGTTCGTGCGCTTTCATGCAATCCACAAACTTAGCTATATAGATGAAAAAATGTATATATAACAGGTAAGGCGTTATTTGTGTATACTTGTGACTTAAGCGGCCCATAATGTATATTATAAAAGGTAAGGCGTTATTTGTGCAGACTTGTGACTTAAGCGGCCCATAATGTATATTATAAAAGGTAAGGCGTTATTTGTGCAGACTTGTGACTTAAGCGGCCCATACTAAAGAAGGTCAGACTTTTCATTAACATATCATTCAAAAGGAAAAGGTACTTAAGAAATTAGTTTGTTCCCACTTTACTTCCCGGTTCAATGTTTATATCGATGTTGCGATTTGTTCTATCATGAACTTTATAAATTAGTGTTTTGTTAGTTCGTGCGCTTTCACGCGATCCGCAAACTTAGCTGGATGAAAAAAGTAATGCACCTGCTGCCAATTCAACATCAATTTTTGTTTCAGTTGAATCAACTGTTTTATACAATGATTGTCATACAACGGAGTTTAAGACGTAGGCAAACTGAGATATTGGACTTAGGCGAATCGACTCAAGACGTAGGCGAACAGACGGTAGGCGAAACGATCCGTAGGCGAAACGACCCGAAGGCGAAAAGACCGTTATTTAGGAAACGTATAGAGAACAGCATGGAGAATATGGATACTGATTTTAGAGTACAGTGTAAAGGGTTAAGGAGCTAAGTTGTTGAAACACGAGGGAATAAATAGTATATAGTGCTCATAAACCGTCTTAGCACTAGACAATGGAAAAGAAAGCACCCAGTCTCTCAACCAATCAAAGCTAACAACTGATTCCACGGGTCTTCTCGTCCGCGAGCGAACATTTTAGAATCAGCGAAGTCTGTCTCTTTCCTTTTTTTAAGTCATTTTTCATACGCTACTTTTAATTATAGTTCAAGCTGTTCAATAATCGAGTGAGCTTTTTCAATATCATGCAAATGTAGCTTCATAAACAAACTCTCCAAGTGGATGCAATTTCGCGTCGTGACCGAAAATGGCTCGAATCTAACTTCTCGATTCAGATCAGAATCAGCCTCTTTAATACCAATCAAAAAGTTCGTTTCAGAATAGAAGGCACCGCCCTCTCCCACTTCCCTTCTCTAATGAACGTTCCCCTCCTAAGGTTCCTGGCAGCAGAATCTTATATTTATCTCTTTTAGTGTTGTGCTAAGTAGCGGCTCATCTCCTAACGTGATGTACGCCATGGACTTTATAAACATCAACATTAGTGCCTCTGTCACGCTGATGCTTTTGTTTTCCCACAAGGTACGACTAAATGGGTTGATTGCCGTATTACCTTACAGCAACACCTAGTTCATTAAGAAAGTGTTGACGCTATAGAAACACAATCTTTTTATGGTTAAAAGGATACGATAAAAAGATTATAAGACCTCTCTCTAAAATGTGAAAATGATGTAACAGTACTAGACCTCTGCTAATCTCCTTCGCAGCCTTTCTTTGGTCTCGTCACGCAACACCCTCTCTCAACCGAGAGAGAGACAGAGACAGACAGAGACAGACAGACAGACAGATAGACAGAGAGAGAGAGAGAGAGAGAAAGAGAGAGAAAGAGGGTGCTGCGTGACAAGACCAAACAATGGCTGCGAAGGAGACTAAAAGTTTGCAGGCCTCCATTTATCACTGTCACACAAGAGTAAGGCACACATGTCACTAGAGGACTGTAGGCGTGACCATCAAAGTAATGTAATCTTCCCTATCCCGAAACACGGAGAGCTGCGAGAACGCAATGTTTTTTATATCTTACATGTAACATGAAGACGTGCATGTATAAACATTAGCCTCTAATTAGCGCGAAAACATGTACAGATATTTGTCCGCGATGCGAACAGCGTAAAATCAGAAAACTGTTATGGACTTAAGTTTTCATGAAAATTGAGGAATTTTCTTGGATATCACCCAGTTTCAGCTGAGGAATATATGTCATATGCTGTGTTTAGACCAATCGCACGTAAGCAAAAATATTTGATGGATCATAAGTTCTAATGATTTTATCTATAATATTCTTTGCAGATTTTTTTAGCTTTGGCCTTGAGAAGTAACAACCAACGCACCTCTCCTCAGGAGAATAAGTTATCAGTTCGTTCCAGAGGGGAGACATTTGCTAAGGAACTTGACACAACTATACTCGGTGGAGAAAATGACGAACTCAAGGTTGGCGTCGCTTGATAAGTCAGTTATTTGATCACAAGCAACTCATTGCGCGGCTAAATTCTAAAATACCTCGGCCTTGGGGGACTTGGAGATACCACAATTGTCTTCACGGGCTTGTATCTGGTATATCTTTAGTCAGTGACACTTAACTTCGGTGCTGCAGAGCTCGAGGCCTTACTTTTCCATCCTTTCTTTCTCCCTCTCCCTTACGTTTTTCTATTTTTCTCTGTATGTCTCTCATTCCGGCTTTCTTCTTCATTTCTATCTTTCTTACTTTGTCTATTGGTTCATTTATTTATTTATTTATTCATTTTTGATATTGTTTTGCTTGCTAGCTTGTCTTCTTGACTTGCGTCACGGACCTCGCCGAAAAGGAGGCGCTGCTCGTAGTCGAATAAGTTTTCTAATATCTTGTCCAGTATGAATTTTTACAGTTAGTCTATAAAGATTGGCTGTGATCATTATTTGCTGGCATTTACCTCCATTTGGCAAAGCTTGCACTTGTCGCACAAACACTCCTACACTTACAACTGATAATTAACCATTTTCTTTTGCTTTTCCTCAGCGGGAAGTACGAAGACTTGCTTCCAAAGTTGCACTTCTTCAATCTCAGTTGATGACCGAGCGAAACAGACACGTAACGAAGATTGGGTCTAGCTAAAAGGCTAAGTGTCAGACTTGCAGCCAATTTGTCGTGAATGAGTGACTTCCGAGTTCTTAAGTTTAATAGAATTAAGATTTCATAGCTCTCTTTAAAAATCATCAAAACATTGACGGTCATAATCTCTTCCTGTACAGAATTGGATTCTCTCAGTTTGTTCATGAACTACTATAGTTTGTAAACCTGTGCAGCAGTAAATGCTGTTTGAAGCGCATTCATTTTGTTTTATTTGCTAATCGTTTGACTCCTGAAGAACAGAAACCTACCGCTGCCACTGCGCATTTCCTGCCATTCTTTAGCCCAGGGCCACTCGTTTCACTTACCGTTACGAGTTTCTTTAGCCACGTGACCAAGAAGAACGAGGACTCTGAGAAATGAGCATTCTTCAGCATTGGAGATATTCTTAAACCGAATCTATCAAAATTGTTCGATCTTTTCTTGATCTTTGTTTTGATTCCATCTTATTTTATTGGATCTCATTACTGTTTGCTGTCTCCTTCAAAAATTTAAGGCAATTTTGGTCGGCGTAAACTGATCATTTATCATTAATTATAAGTAATATTATTTTGTAATGAAACTAAGCACCGGTGTAATGTTAAACCAAGCTTTTCAATAAAGAAAAATAAAAATATTACTCAATTAATCTGTTAATTTTTTTCGCTTACGTCCATTATCATTTTTACTATTTCCATTTTACATGTTATTCTACACTACAAGAAACATTTTAACAGCCAACCGTGAAAAACAGAATGTTACTTTATCGGTGAGATATGTGATATCCATTAGTTAATCAATAGTACATACGAGGAAATAACAATTATTCTTAGCATATAAGTGACGCATAATTTTAGAAACCTTAGGTGTGGTGGGATTTTTTTTTTTTGGAGCATCGTCCGTGACTAACCTTTCCGGTAGGGCAAGTAGTAAATTCGTTTGTCGTTTCAATTAGGTGATTAACGGAAATAACTCTGTAAACAGCCTACGACCAACGTCAATCGCTGTTGTTTAACAGTCCGCCCAAACAGAGGAAATAACTCCTCCTAAATATGGCATTCATCCCAAGAGTTTTGAAATCAAAGGAAGTTTTATGGTTCTATGGTTTAATTTTTTTATACACCGACAGACTGAATTTCCTAGAATAGCTTATGACAATGTTGTGAAACCTAAACACGTTTTTTTTTTTTTCGCCAAGAACTTCTTTTGTGGCACTCAGTACACATTTCTACCTTTTTCCACAGGCTTGTCAATAGGGAAAAGCTTATTCATTATTTATCGCGTATCATCTTGTTAGTTTTTTTTTCCCCTTTCTTTACGGAAAGCAATAAATCACGTTCCCAAGTTATTTAGAGAGTGAAACGTGACCTACTTTGTTTAGAAAAGAAAACGTACGTCTAAAAATACTTGTCGCTGATTGTCAGCTAATGCATCTGTCCATCCTGGGCGTGTAGGCGTGTTTTTTAACATCCCCGATTTAGAGTAATTGAAAACGAAATGAAGATCATATGTCCAACGTATCTATTTTAAGTCTCATTAAGCATTTATCAAATCGAAGTAATTCGCAACAAAGACACAAGAGGACAAACAGTTTGTGCGGGGGAGTTGGCAATACGTAGACCGGTAATAGTGGGCCAGGGTTAGGTACAATTTACGGAACGGCGAAAATATCGCAAAAAAATATATTTGTGCTTTTGTTCGCGTGGGATCTCCCTATCGCAGATATGTCGTGTTTTGTTGAAAGTGAAATGGGATCCTTCTCCACGAGAGAGACGTAAAAAATATATGTATCCAATACACCTTCCAATGATATAGACAAGATGGAAACTCCTAAACAATTTGATGATCATATCACGATCACCTGTGATTCTTTTCTGCGACACCAAGACACGACACGAGATAAGAAATTCGGAAATTTCTCTATATCATGGGGGCGTTTTATTTTAGGATATAAAATATTTTTTTTGCAATTCTCTCTTAAGATTCCATAAGAGCGGCGTGTATCCGCTAAGTATGGACGTTGGTGAAGTCCCGGTGTATTGTCACATGACCCTGCCAGCTTGTGGTGAAGGCCAATGGACATCAGTGATGAAGATTGATGGAGCAAAGGTACTAGAAAAGCAGAAGATCTCATTGAGAAATTAAATGTTGTAAATTAAATCCTCTACGGAACCTGGAATTTACTTGTTCCCATTTTCGCCATTACTCCTTAGTTGTGCTGAATAAAATTGAACCTCTTTTCCTTTTTTTTCTGTCAAGGACACTTTCATATATGATTCACCATTATGGAATAACATGGAAAGCATCGATATTCCCGGCGGAAGCACAGGGTTCGACTATCAGCAAACCAAGCTGCCGACTTTCTGGAATACGCCCTTGACTCAGATCTGTCTTGGAATGAAAGTTAAGGACGAAGATAGGTTTATCACAATCAATCTGACGGCCAGTTCGCTGCATTCGATATTTTCCACTGCTCAATACTTGCCAACATCATTGGGTCGAAATGTTTGGAAAAAGGTAGTGGGTCCTCAGGCTTCACTGCAGCATTTGTGCAACAAAGAGGGTTTTAACGTGGTGTGTTCAGGTGCCATTAAAACGAGAATCGGTATCATTACGGATGACGTGCTGATGGTCTCTCCGTTTACTTGCGTAGGCTGTGACTCGGCTATTACGTTTGGAGGCGATGATTTTCAAGTGTGTGGGAATAATGGCTATAAGGATATCTCTGCCATGGGATATATTCTGATACAATAAAAAATCCCGCTGTATGTGAAACCAAGAGGCACCTTTGGGAGGTTAATCCGTTGTGTCATATTAATATATTTTTAGGCATCTCTGTGAGCATCATTTGTTTGTAAGTGGACAGCTTGAATGCAACACAAAGCTACGCAATTTTACGGTCGTAAATTCTAGTAAACAACAATTCGATTCAAGCAGGGTAAATCTACCACACGGATCTCGTAAATGCAACAAATTTGTAAGTTTTTCGGTTCGTTTTTCGAACGATTGATACTATTATATTTATACAGTGTTGATATTTCCTAAAAGAATTTTGTTCAATGGAAGATTTTAATTTAATTTGATCTAATTAAATTTAAATTTAAAACCGTTCAATTTCAGAATTTTTATGATTTTCAACACAAATCTACGCAATTTTCTAGCCTTTAGTTCTAGTAAACAATGATTCAAGCATGCTGAGTCTATTACATGGTCTCGTACATGCAAGAAATTCGTTCGTTATTCGCTTCTTAGCAGAAAATTTACAATAATTAATTAATAAAGATTTGGTCACGAAATATATCTTTGTCGTTTTTGCCTTGTCATTTATTGATAGTTTTCGGGTATAACACGATTACCCGGCAGACCCGACCCAATTATAATAAACCCTCTTTTTCGTGCACAACTTGTGTCTGCATGCTCTGCTATAAAAGAATTAGCTCACGCTTTAGCTGTGCGTCTATCGGCTGCGCCTGGAGTAACTCTTATGCATCTCTCATTACTGGAACGACTCTTGCTCAATTTACTCCTTGCTTAAAATCGTGGTATTAGGCGGGAGACCTTATTACTACTGCTGAAAAAATTGCATCGTAGAAATCAATATCATATTGTCGGAATTAGAATTGCATGAGAATTTCCTGTTCATATGAGGCTGTTTTGTCAGCTCACAATTATAATTTGTTCGTTTCCTCTTTCGCTTGCATAACGTGCATGGTATTTTCCTTTTTGATATTACTTTTCCTCTTTTAGTGAGGTTTGTTTATGTTATTTCTAGCAAATGACCTCATCAACCCGCCAGCAGCTGCTGTGATGCCACATGAGCGAGGGGTCCAGGTAATAAAAAACGAATTTACCTTCATCACCAGTCTAGGAGAACTTTGTGAGTGTTCGTCTTTTTGCGTGAATAGGAGAATCGATGAAGTTGTGGCAAGTGTGTTTCGTGTTTGCAGCATTATCGATACATTCTTGGGATAGCATAACATATGTAAATGCAACTGGAGAGAACCTGAGAGGGAATCTTCTCGAGAGAGAGCTGCAATATGTGGCCCAAATTCACGATAAACTAAAAGACACTGCTGGATGTAACGATGTTGCAGTGCTCAACATGTCTTTTGATAGCGAGAGGTGGAAAAACGAAGCTCTTATGGCAGTCAACGTCGCCAACCTCCTGACTTCTCTCTGGTCTGTGAATTCGTCCGCTATTGCCGAATCTATTGTTGAGAATGACATTTTGCTGTATCAAATGGTTCGCTACATCGTCCGTTTCTCACCATCTGTTTTCGGATCAGTTGTATGTTTCGAGCCAAACTTGTACAAGGACTACGAAAGGTTTTGTCCTTACGCGTTCAAGGACAAGAAATTGAACGGAAGCATTCATGTTACAGATCTTGCGCGAACGGCAGATTACGATTACTCTTCGAGCCCAAACGCTATTTGGTGGACTGGAATCAGACGGAAAACCAGAAACAAGACGTCAACAGATTGGATGAAAGAGACCGATTTTTATTCAGTAGGAAGCGCGAATGGAATTGTCGAGAATGAAACCCCCGACCGATTACTTGTGACATACGAAGATGGTTTGTGGACTAAGCCGTATTTCGATTGTTTTGGTGGCAAAGTGTGGATGATAACCTATCTTGCTCCAGTTTTAAACGAAACCAGCGAATTTTTGTAAGTTTTGGTTTTTGTTGAATAATTTTGCCTCCATCTCCTATTAACCTCATCATCGTTGTTCAATTGTTTTCTTAATTCTTGGCCAAGTGCATTGGCTGGGTCTCATGGTATAAGATGAGTGCGCTATCATTTGAGTACACTATCCTAAAGAGCAGTTTTCTGTGAAACGATAACAAAGTATTGTTAAAAAGTAAATTAACCGAATCTAAGAATAACAATCGATACTCGTCCAGGTGAGAATAGTCTTGTAAAGAACTCTTGACGATGGCAAAGACTTGGTTGTCGCGGCATATGTCACTATTACTGACCACAGTCCTTTCCCGGACTTCTCCGAGGCGGACGATTATCATAACACGATCAAAACTGTCTTAAACTTGAGTAAAGTCATTGCTTTCGCAAGAAGTAATAAATTCGCCAACTGACTCCATTTCGGTTTGCTTGGGACACGCGCTTCTCAATAGTCCCGCGTGCGTAGTAAGTAAAAAGTCGTAGAGGAAGTTCTTCATTTAAAATGTGCGTAAAATCGGCATTCAGAAAAAAAGAATCGCGACTCAAAATTTAAACGTTGAAATATGAATGAAATTATACAAAACTATTATTTCGCAATCATTTTCTCAAATAAAGAGCCTATCGTATTAACTTGTATGTCAAGCTTTTCCAGCCGGTTTCAATTATTCAACCTTTACATTATTTTGTTGAGTTTTTGACCGTGAGAAAAGAGAAAATTTCTAATTTTCCATGAATTATTTAGGCAGAGACTTCGCCGGGGTTGCAAAACGTTTTTTTCTAGCGTAACGATTTCACGTCATACATACGTCTGAAAGAAAAATATGCGGATATTAGAAATCGGTCGTTTTTAGGAGACCAATCAATATAGAACCGGTTGAAAAAACCGCAAACAAACCAGCTAGTTAAATAAAAAATTAATGAAGAAGAATGGGGTGGAAAACAAGCTGTTTGCTATATCGCACTTTCTTTTTCTCAGACGGTTATTGTTTGCTTCATTACATTGCATACAAATATTTTAAAGATTTGAGTTGTAGTTAATGAAAACTGCAACATTTTTATCAGGCTTAATGAAACTGAGCGGCCTAATGGTGTTTTTGCCGTGGGAGTTTTAGCTGTAGTAATTACGCAGTCACTATTCATATGCAATTTTTGTGAGAAAACTTAGTACATAGGCAGCTTACAGGAAAGTGTGGTCTAATCAACTGAGTTGATAATGTAAATTGCCGTTGTGAAGAGTTTCCAACGCTTATCTTTCGAGCGTTAGCCCTTTGTCAGAACGAAAGACTGAGGGCTATCGTTTGAAAAGTTAGATTTAAAAACTCTTAACGGTGGCCAATTTATATCAACAAGTCAGTTAACAAACCAAATTATCTTGAATTTTAATTGCGTGAAAAAAATTAAGTATGAAACTAATTTCATTCAAATTAGTCATTTTTGCCGTCCGAAGTTGACTACTAAAGGCCAACAGAATGGAAGCAAAATGCCGAGCAATATTTTTGCGAATCAAATCGTGTTTCCCGCGTACGAGACTAATGTTTCAACATCTTTCTTTATACCAGCGAACGAGCTTAAGATTAAACACCTTTTTATTTTGCATCTGTTTCTGAACAGCTCCAAAACTGCTTGTATTGGCTCTATACAGGACATTTGACGCATATGAGTATGGTCAGTATGTTACCAGCTCGGTAGCAATCTCGTGCAAGAGCTTCCGTTACCCAATACAGCGGTCAAGGGTCAGGCATGCGCAAGGGGATCGATTTTGGTCGGCTGTATGGCAATTTCCCGCGTAAAATTTCAGGGAAAACATGAAAAATAACCGCTCTCTTGCAAAACATGCACAAATATTCAAATGTTTGCAGAAATCTGGACAGGGAGACAAAAAGTACGGGAAAAGAAAAACTGGGAGTTCAGAACACTAAAAATAATTGATTCTGAAGTATGCTATAACATAGCTTGTGTACCATGGTCTCTGATAGTCAGTCCATCGAAGTATCATGACTCTTTTTCAATAGAATGCTAATTCATCAGTTCACAAACTTTGAAGAGTTTGAAGAGCATTCGACGGCGGGATCAGAATTAGCGGTAGTTCAAAGTTTCACAAAGGATTCAGACCTTTTTGGTCTTAAAAGCGTGAAAATTGTTAACAATTGATCTTTCTTAAGATTAAGGGTTGCTGAGAAGGTGGGAACAGCTTCACGTTCTGCAGTCCTGGAAATAAGACTTGGCTGAACATTTTTTGTTATTGTTGTTGTTTTTTTTTTTTGCTTCTTCAGAGGTACAGTAAGCGTGGATATTTCTCTTGAGGATGTAGATATCGATCAGTGCGATGCCCCAGACTCCGCTGAACAGCAGAGCTCAAAAGAGACTGGTGACCAAGCCAAACCAAACCACTTAAGCACATTCATGGGAACTCACAGGTGCAAAAAGAGCACAAAGGCAAGTTATACAGACTAAGAAACATCAAATTCATGCAGATTTAATTCCATAATAAACTTAAAGGAAACCATCCCTGCCCCCTCTCCGTACCACCCTTTAATCCGGAATAGCTATCTTTTTGCAGTGTGTACCAGTCCCTTTCCAAGGATTCAAACGCGGCACCTATCGCTGTACTTGCAAACGAGGCTACTATTTTCCAGACCCCACAGCAGCTCGGAAATACTTTCCCGGGCAGGTCCTGGAGGAAGAATACGACAAGATGCTGAGAGGCGAATCGAACCTTTATGAGCACCACTTTGAGTGCCTTGCTTGTAATGAGGGCTGTGAGGAATGTGTGGATGGCAGCGCATGCGTGCATGATGTGTATACAAAGCTGAGATATTCTCTCCTTGTAATTAACTGCCTCTATGTCGTCATTTCGCTAGTCTTCGCAGCGTTGGTGTTCAAACTTTGGCAGAATAAGGTAAAGAAAGGGCAAGACCAGAACAGTTTGGGTTCGTAATGCTCGTCACTGAAGTACTGGTTTCCAGGCCTCTGACTCTGACCCTTTTCTTTTTTTTTGCACGCAAGTTACGTTATGCAACCCTTTTTAATATGTTTTAGAGGAGAGCACATCTTTAAATAAAATACCACAATTATAAAACTCCACACCGTGTTACTGTCCCAAAACCTAAAAGTCATACACCCGGCATTGTCCATGGGAAACGTTCAAAAGTTAATGAAAGCTGCTGTGTTTGATCGAGTAAGTACGGAAACCAGATACTTGACAGTTGTTTCTTAGAATAAGATTAGTCTCCTGGTTGTACTTGCTCTGGGCTAAGATCAAATGTCTCTGACCAAATCTTGACAGAAATTGTGCATTTCTATTATGATGTATGAAATGAATGAGTTCGTTGGCAGCTTTCTTTTCAGTGACATTTTCTTTCCGTCTGTTAGATATTCAAAGCTTCCAGTCCACGTTTTCTTGAAGTCATTATCTGCGGAGCAATAATGATGTATGTAAAGGTACGTGATTTGACTTCATCAATCAGTTATTTACTGCACAACTAATTGTAATGAATGAATATCTCTGTGATGAGTAGACTTTTAATGAGTCAATTTTTTACCCATAGTTTTTGGTCTTTTTGAGAGCCACGGTATAATGAAAGATAAAATATAACTTAGACAATGGTTAACAATTATTCACAGAAATGGAGGTGAATACCGGTGGATATTTATTGAGCCGCGACAGAAACCGAAAAATAGTTTGGTTTTGTCAATATACCGAAAAATGGTCAGAAATTAAACTCTTGACGCGAGATTTTGTCTCTTCGGCTGCTCAGCGGTGAATAGTACTTGCTAATCTCTTCCGAACTAACCAATCAGCGCGCGCGAAAAGCACTATTTACCTGCGTTGTATATATGAATTGTTGATAATGGTTACCTAGCGTACACGAGTGGGACAATTCGATCGCGAAGGCCCCTCAAAAATAAATAAGCCACCTGGAAAAGCATCGGACTGCTGAGCGGGAGGTCAAGAGTTGCGCGATGACTTTGTTAGTTTGTGATTAAACCACGTTGGGAAAAAATTTTTCCTCTTAGAAGACATTAAACACAGCTCAAAACAAATCTGAAATTTTCTACACTCGATCCACTTGGCCGTTTGTCACGTCGGCTCCCGTAAATCCTTACCACACAACGTTAGGAAAATAATCCAAAGGTAAGACCCATCATCCCAGTTCAGCTGTTGATGCATGTCCCTTTCATGATTTAAGCTTATCGTATCGTTCCCTAAACCTTCCGAAGTGCGCTGCATATTGTCACCTTGGTTACATCACCTGGGTTTCGCTTTGGTATATGGTTCTCTGGCTCTGAAGACATGGAGGTAAGAAGCCTGTTGTAGGCCCTCAGTTAGTAAAGGGGAGGAAAATTGTAAACGGAGTGTAATGGTGACAGGGCGAAAATGAGGGAGGTCTGGGTCGGGTAGCGTAATGAACGCGACTCGATCCAAACCCCCGTAGTCTTTCACTCCTCAGTTCAGGTTTTCGGACCTTCAATAATAGACGTGAAACAGCCCGCCGGTCAGAACTACCACTGTAAAAAAACAAACAAACAAAACACTCATACTAGCAGTTGATCGATCGTCACAGTGGTAATTCACTCCAGGAAGTTCAAGTTTTCCTCGAGATGCAACCAATCTTGTCCTTGTAGGGGGGAATTATTATGATTACGATTGGTAATCTTAAGCTTAAAGGATCAATGATTCTTATTCAATAGTAACCATGCATTTCCCTTCCTTTTTCTTTCGCTTTTCCTCCACTCCAGAGTGGTGTTAATTTTCCGCGTGTGCTCCGCTCGTAAGTTGGCTATAAAAGACAGTGTGTTGCTAAGGAGATTGGCAGTTATTGTATTGCTGTATACAAGTTTCTTGACCGTTTGGATGGTGATACAGCCACCTTCCATCGAATCAAGTATTACCGCTGATAAACTCAAATACGACAGATGCTCGACAAGCTCGTTTAGTCACATGATCTTAGCAGGTAAACAAAACATCCTAAATCACGTAAGTGCCTATCAGTGCTACTCATTGTGGCCGGATACCTAAATACATGGATGTCTTAAATGAAGCAAAATCAATCTGTGTCCAGGGAAGATGAGAAATCTTTAGGGTATCCCTCTCCCTAAGAAATGTGTTTACCGCGTAATAAGCGCGCTAGACTCTGGGTAGGAAATCCCTGGTTCGAGCAAAGCCTGGTCCATGCATTATTTTTTTCGGTAAGTACCCTTATTCTCATGGTGCCATAAAGCATTTCTCCACTCAGGACTTGCGACAAGATGATTGGGATGAATGCGATGCGATGAATTAGCATTCTATTGAAAAAGAGTCATGATACTTCGATGGACTGACTATCAGAGACCATGGTACACAAGCTATGTTATAGCATACTTCAGAAGATCCATAAATAATTCCTGGAGATTTTAAAGCTTTCCCTAGTAAACAAAGAATTAGTCAAAATTTGCATGTTTTTACACTTCTCTACTTCTGATAATGTTTTATTGAGTATATTTGTCATAATTACGATCTAGTAAAGCACTTTTTCCTGGAACAATTCCAATAGAGCAAGTTCCGTTACAACAATTTTTGATTATTTCTTTCTTTCCCTCAGCTGACTTCGTAGTCCTTGCTTGGGGAATGTGGCTCAGTTTCAAAGTGAGAAAAGTACCACAAGTTTACAATGAAAGTAAATTCATCGGCTATGCCATATACAACGCCACGTTTATAATCTGCTTCATCAACGTGTTGAGGTAACGCAAAATCATTCTCAGGCTCCTGAGTTTCCAACCTCGTTGGTCTTTTTTCCTCGAATAAAATAGCCCACAATCGGGCATTTTTGTGATATTAGGCTTGGGCAGTCATACAAACAATGAGTGCTTAACCCTTTGACTCCTAAATTTTAGCTGATGACCTCTATTACATAACTGAACAATCCGACTAAAAAAATGTAAGCAAACGCGATCCGATAGTGTAAAACACAAAAATACGAAACCTAACACCCCCAAAAAAGAAAGTTGCAATGAGTAACATATTTCATCAACTTTATCAAATCGTTTCAGGCATTTCTAATGTTAATTAGGTTCAACACGCTGGTATATCTCGTAACCTAGATCAAGGGTTTTTTTCCTTGTTCAAATGTCACCTTTGGGTTACATGGCAGAAGACTGAATACCAGGCCCCCGAGCCGTCTGTGCAGTGTTCTCAGTTTCTTCCTCTCCTCTTTGCGTAACGATCATTTTGTAGAACAATCGAATGCTTTTAACATCTAATTTCTTCTTACAACATCACCCCTGAATCAAACATTAAGGACATGAGAATAAAGGAATTGATCACCTGCGAAAGATGCTCATGATTTTACAACAAATTCTCCTTGACTGCACCCTAGGAAATGGGTAACCGGTCGTTTCGCCTACGGGTCGTTTCGCCTACTGTCTGTTCGCCAACGTCTAGAGTCGGTTCGCCTACCTCCAATATGTCAGTTCGCCTACGATTCATATGTCAAAGCTTAAAAACTGAATTGTTTTAAAGTTCTTGTTGAACCTCGCCGAAAACTGAGTATTAAGATGAAATAAACCCCCGTTCACGGTCTTTGTGTTTAATTGTGACTCGAGCGGCCTATGCTAAAGGAAGTGGGACTCTATTAATTAATGTTTTGGCTGTTAGTTCGTGCGCTTTCATGCAATCCGTAAACTTAGATACATAGATGAAAAAATGTATATGTAACAGGTAAGGCGTTATTTGTGCAGACTTGTGATTTAAGCAGCCCATACTAAAGAAGGTCAGACTTTTCATTAACATCTCATTCAAAAGGACAAGGTACTTAAGAAATTAGTTTGTTCCCACTTTACTTCCTGGTTCAATGTTTATATTGATGTTGCGATTTGTTCTATCATGAACTTTATAAATTAGTGTTTTGTTAGTTCGTGCGCTTTCACGCGATCCGCAAACTTAGCTGGACATGCTAGCTCATTTAACAGAGGATTATTATCGAAACATCAACGCGGCAATCAACGGTGTCATCAAAGCTATAATCATCGATCCGATTTACTACAACTTGATTCTTTCAATGCAAACTTGATAGCATAGTATAGAAACATCATTTCTTTATCTCTTCCCTCTATTAGGTAATGAAGAAAGTAATGCACCTGCTGCCAATTCAACATCAATTTTTGTTTCAGTTGAATCAACTGTTTTATACAATGATTGTTTTACAACGGAGTTTAAGACGTAGGCAAACTGAGATATTAGACTTAGGCGAATCGACTCAAGACGTAGGCGAACAGACGGTAGGCGAAACGATCCGTAGGCGAAACGACCCGAAGGCAAAAAGACCGTTATTTAGGAAACGTATAGAGAACAGCATGGAGAATATGGATACTGATTTTAGAGTGTAAAGGGTTAAGGAGCTAAGTTGTTGAAACACGAGGGAATAAATAGTATATAGTGCTCATAAACCGTCTTAGCACTAGACAATGGAAAAGAAAGCACCCAGTCTCTCAACCTCTCATCCAGACCTTATTGGCTCAGCTTTAACAGTGTTGTACGACATGTTATTAGTTCCCTCTCCGATGGAAATGCAATGCCTAAAGCTAGCAACTGATTCCACGGGTCTTCTCGTCCGCGAGCAAACATTTTACAATCAGCGAAGTCTGTCTCTTTCCTTTTTTTTAGTCATTTTTCATACGCTACTTTTAATTATAGTTCAAGCTGTTCAATAATCGAGTGAGCTTTTTCAATATCATGCAAATGTAGCTTCAAATCTACAAGTGGATGCAATTTCGCGTCGTGACCGAAAATGGCTCGAATCTAACTTCTCGATTCAGATCAGAATCAGCCTCTTTAATACCAATCAAAAAGTTCGTTTCAGAATAGAAGGCACCGCCCTCTCTCACTTCCCTTCTCTAATGAACGTTCCCCTCCCAAGTTTCCTGGCAGCAGAATCTTATATTTATCTTTTTTAGTGTTGTGCTAAGTAGCGGCTCATCTCCTGACGTGATGTACGCCATGGACTTTATAAACATCAACATTAGTGCCTCTGTCACGCTGATGCTTTTGTTTTCCCACAAGGTACGACTAAATGGGTTGGTTGCCGTATTACCTTACAGCAACACCTAGTTCATTAAGAAAGTGTTGACGCTATAGAAACACAATCTTTTTATGTTTAAAAGGATACGATAAAAAGATGATAAGACCTCTCTCCATATGTGAAAATGATGTAACAGTACTAGACCTCTGCTAATCTCCTTCGCAGCCTTTCTTTGGTCTCGTCACGCAACACCCTCTCTCAACCGAGAGAGAGATAGAGAGAGACAGAGACGGACAGACAGATAGACAGACAGAGAGAGAGAGAGAGAGAGAGAGAGAGAGAGAGAGAGAGAGAGAGAGAGAGAGAAAGAGGGTGCTGCGTGACAAGACCAAACAATGGCTGCGAAGGAGACTAAAATTTTGCAGGCCTCCATTTATCACTGTCACACAAGAGTAAGGCACACATGTCACTAGAGGACTGTAGGCGTGACCATCAAAGTAATGTAATCTTCCCTATCCCGAAACACGGAGAGCTGCGAGAACGCAATGTTTTTTTTATATCTTACATGTAACATGAAGACGTCCATGTATAAACATTAGCCTCTAATTAGCGCGAAAACATGTACAGATATTTGTCCGCGATGCGAACAGCGTAAAATCAAAAAACTGTTATGGACTTAAGTTTTCATGAAAATTGAGGAATTTTCTTGGATATCACCCAGTTTTAGCTGAGGAATATATGTCATATGCTGTGTTTAGACCAATCGCGCGTAAGCAAAAATATTTGATGGATCATAAGTTCTAATGATTTTATCTATAATATTCTTTGCAGATTTTTTTAGCTTTGGCCTTGAGAAGTAACAGCCACCGCACCTCTCCTCAGGAGAATAAGTTATCAGTTCGTTCCAGAGGGGAGACAATTGCTAAGGAACTTGACACAACTATACTCGGTGGAGAAAATGACGAACTTAAGGTTGGCGTCGCTTGATAAGTCAGTTATTTGATCACAAGCAACTCATTGCGCGGCTAAATTCTAAAATACCTCGGCCTTGGGGGACTTGGAGATACCACAATTGTCTTCACGGGCTTGTATCTAGTATATCTATAGTCAGTGACACTTAACTTCGGAGCTGCAGAGCTCGAAGCCTTACTCTTCTATCCTTTCTTTCTCCCTCTCCCTTACTTTTTTTCTCTTTTTCTCTGTATGTCTCTCATTCTGGCTTTCTTCTTCATTTCTATCTTTTTTACTTTGTCTATTGGTTCATTTATTTATTTATTTATTCATTTATTTTTGATATTGTTTTGCTTGCTTGTCTTCTTGATTTGCGTCACGGACCTCGCCGAAAAGGAGGCGCTGCTCGTAGTCGAATAAGTTTTCTAATATATTGTCTAGTTTGAATTTTTACAGTTAGTCTATAAAGATTGGCCGTGATCATTATTTGCTGGCATTTACCTCCATTTGGCAAAGCTTGCACTTGTCGCACAAACACTCCTACACTTACAACTGATAATTAACCATTTTCTTTTGCTTTTCCTCAGCGGGAAGTACGAAGACTTGCTTCGAAAGTTGCACTTCTTCAATCTCAGTTGATGACCGAGTGAAACAGACACGTAACGAAGATTGGGTCCAGCTAAAAGGCTAAGTGTCCGACTTGCAGCCAATTTGTCGTGAATGAGTGACTTGCGAGTTCTTAAGTTTAATAGAATTAAGATTTCATAGCTCTCTTTAAAAATCATCAAAACATTGACGGTCATAATCTCTTCCTGTACAGAATTGGATTCTCTCAGTTTGTTCATGGACGACTATAGTTTGTAAACCTGTGCAGCAGTAAATGCTGTTTGAAGCGCATTCATTTTGTTTTATTTTCTAATCGTTTGACTCCTGAAGAACAGAAACCTACCGCTGCCACTGCGCATTTCCTGCCATTCTTTAGCCCAGGGCCACTCGTTTCACTTACCGTTACGAGTTTCTTTAGCCACGTGACCAAGAAGAACGAGGACTCTGAGAAATGAGCATTCTTCAGCATTGAAGATATTCTTAAACCGAATCTATAAAATTTTTCGATCTTTTCTTGATCTTTGTTTTGATTCCATCTTATTTTATTGGATCTCATTACTGTTTGCTGTCTCCCTTTGGTCGGCGTAAACTGATCATTTATCATTAATTATAAGTAATATTATTTTGTAATGAAACTAAGCACCGGTGCGATGTTAAACCAAGCTTTTCAATAAAGAAAAATAAAAATATTACTCAATGCATCTGTTAATTTTTTTCGCTTACGTCCATTATCATTTTTAATATTTCCATTTTACATGTTATTCTACACTACAAGAAACATTTTAACAACCAACCGTGAAAAACAGAATGTTACTTTATCGGTGAGATATGTGATAGCCATTAGTTAATCAATAGTACATACGAGGAAATAACAATTATTCTTAGCATATAAGTGACGCATAATTTTAGAAACCTTAGGTGTGGTGGGATTTTTTTGTTTTTTTTGGAGCATCGTCCGTGACTAACCTTTCCGGTAGGGCAAGTAGTAAATTCGTTTGTCGTTTCAATTAGGTGATTGACGGAAATAACTCTGTAAACAGCCTACGACCAACGTCAATCGCTGTTTTTAACAGTCCGCCCAAACAGAGGAAATAACTCCTCCTAAATATGGCATTCATCCCAAGAGTTTTGAAATCAAAGGAAGTTTTATGGTTCTATGGTTTAATTTTTTATACACCGACAGACTAAATTTCCTAGAATAGCTTAGGACAATGTTGTGAAATCTAAACACGTTTTTTTTTTTTGTCAAGAACTTCTTTTGTGGCACTCAGTACACATTTCTACCTCTTTCCACAGGCTTGTCAATAGGGAAAAGCTTATTCATTATTTATCGCGTATCATCTTGTTAGTTTTTTTTTCCCTTTCTTTACGGAAAACAATAAATCACGTTCCCAAGTTATTTAGAGAGTGAAACGTGACCTACTTTGTTTAGAAAAGAAAACGTACGTCTTAAAATACTTGTCGCTGATTGTCAGCTGATGCATCTGTCCATCCTGGGTGTGTAGGCGTGTTTTTTAACATCCCCGATTTAGAGTAATTGAAAACGAAATGAAGATCATATGTCCAACGTATCTATTTTAAGTCTCATTAAGTTAGATCAAATCGAAGTAATTCGCAACAAAGACACAAGAGGACAAACAGTTTGTGCGGGGGAGTTGGCAGTACGTAGACCGGTAATAGTGGGCCAGGGTTAGGTACAATTTACGGAACGGCGAAAATATCTGAAAAAAAAATATTTGTGTTTTTGTTCGCGTGGGATCTCCCTATCGCAGATATGTCGTGTTTTGTTGAAAGTGAAATGGGATCCTTCTCCACGAGAGAGACGTAAAAAATATATGTATCCAATACACCTTCCAATGATACAGACAAGATGGAAACTCCAAAACAATTTGATGATAATATCACGATCACCTGTGATTCTTTTCTGAGACACCAAGATACGACACAAGATAAGAAATTCGGAAATTTCTCTATACCATGCGGGCGTTAAATAATGGCGACTTACATTATAAGAACGCCCATTTCCATTCCGATAACTCTGGTCGACACATATCTATATATTTTCAAAATTACTGAGTTAGTTCTCACACTTTTTGCAGGTTAGAAAGAGTACAAATGATAAAAAACGAGATTGCTGCAAATTATTTCATATATCTTATCAGCATGGCAAAAGAAGAAACGAAAACATAAGACGCACTAATCGACAAAAGGTCGCTTTTTCAGCAACCGACGTTGAAATAATTTTTTGCGGAAAGAAAGTTAGTTCATGTTATTTCTTATTTCCGTTTTCTTACTTTGGAATTTACCATCACTATAACTAAACGTTAAAGCTTTTCACTTGTGCAAATAAAAGAAACTTTTGTCGAAGCTGAAGCAGACGAATTTAAGACCCAATATTTCAGCTTTAAATTTGTCACGGAAAGATTATATTTCTAATTATGAAAAGTCTGCGTAATTCCTTAATATAGTTGCCAGGATGTCTTCAAGTAGTTTAACTTCAGAGACAAACAACACCAGTTTCATTTATCTAACTTTTTAACCACCAATTTTAATCAGCTTAGACCTTAAAAGAATCCAATTTTCGCTATGAAAGATATGACGACAAGAATTGTTTTTCTTCATCGACGTTTTATGATAAGTGAAAACAAGTTTCATTCTCCATGCATGTTACCGCAGAAACATATTTTGATACTTGCGTCAGAACGTATGGCAGCTTGATGGAGAAATTATTTTAAGCCTGCTTTATGATCATCCACCGATCATTTTGATAGCTACTGACGCACGAGATTTCCAAGCTGCACGTTTAATTTTTTTATGCCTCAATCAGTCGAAAAAAACCACCCTTCATTTTTTTTCTTGGGATTCGCGAGAGTGTCAAAAGATTTTAAACAGCATCAACTCAGAGGACTAAACTAGGCAAAAACATTGGAAAGTCTACCCCTTAAGTTAAAAAAAAAATTACAGTGATCTTTCCCAAAAGTGAGGCTTAAAAATTAATCAAGAGACAGGAACTACGTCAAAACACGATCTTGGAAGTCCATAGCGAACAATACTATGATCTGATTGTGACATACCTCCTAAAAAAAATGTATGGTTGTTCAATTTGTATTTTTACTTGGAATATTACATTAACAGACGAGTGGATCAAAGTGCTGTTATTAGTAATATCGCGTTAAGATAAAAAAAAAAAAAAGATTATAACAAGAATATATTGGATAATAGAAGAAGAAAAAAAGGATGAAAGAAATCGACCGCGGAATGCAAGCTGTCATTCAGTAGTCATGCGGGTAGGCATTGACAGTCTGAAATCTTTAACACATGCTCACTGATCATTGCTTACGACAAATTGGTTCCCAGAGCCACGCTTTTCACCTGCCCAGCGGAACAGTTGCTGACCGCTGGTCAATGAAACGAAGACTCCAGGAGAGAGATTGTTCTGATGATAAAGCTAAGCCTTTATCAAAAAGACCAAAACGTCAAAGGATTACAAATGAACCAAAATTATATCGTAAGACCAGACACAACACACGCACTCGCCAAATTCTGCCTTGATTTCAAAACTGGGAGGAAATTCGGAAAAGCTTTACATGAACCTATACCATACCACTCTAAAACAAACTCGTAGTTTCATGGGCAATCAAAATATTTTCGTTACTGTGTTCTTTATCCAAGAACTGTATGCATGATGAAGTATGGGAAATCTTGCCGAAAATCCTACAGTCTTGAGGTAACTGAGAGACTAAAAGACTTCGATCTACTAGATGATCAAACATGTAGCTTCCGAAATGCACAGAAACACGCGCCAAGTACTAAAAATGTATTTACCGGGTGAGGCCAAACTCTAGGAAGGGCGTCGTGAATTACCTTCGGTCTCTGAGAAAAACGTGGCAGCATGAATATTCATCCCTTGTTCCACATGTAACATACAATTACCCGACAGTGATTGATAATATATTTTAGTGCGATACCACCAACAAAGCTCGTGGGGAGAGCATTAAATTCTTTGCCTGTAATGGGGTCCATTATGTCCGGGCCGCTTTACGCAAAGAAGACTACAACCCACAAATGACGTCATTTGCAGTAGTTACAGTCACCACATGCTGAGGGAAAACAATTCCTATTTTGTATGGCACATAAATATATCCTTCATATGGACTGCGCGGGTGATGGAGATTATGTTTGTTTATATGTTTTTTTTTTCTTTTTTGCTCTGAATTTCTTTAAATAGCAAAGAATGCGTCTGTGAACAAAGAGCGAAGTACCAAGTCTATTCCAAACAACTCCTCCGTTATAGATGCCTACCGATTGTCCGATTCTTTGGTTGACGCGATAAGATGGACAAAAGTGCCCCTTTATTACTAATTGCCTTAAGTTAATTTCTCTCCCGTCAGACATCAATCATCTTTATAGCTCGGGGTCAATCTTTGAGAGGAACATTAGATGTAATGCTATTACGTAACATAAGACTCCAAAAATGCAACAAGTGTACCGCTTTTAATTGAGATTCATTTGCCGGTGGATAACTTCATCTGTTAAGGCGTGTAATGCTACATCCAGTTTTCAATCGAATAACTAAAAAGATATCTGTCCTTGAGATTGGATTTTATGTGCTTGTCAAAGTCAAGGGGAAGTAATGTCCCATTATTTTCTCTTGTCAAGGTTTAATTTATTTCGGTGTACTCACTTTAGCGTACGCAGTAAGCGAGGAACGAAAAGAGCTCGTTCTTGCAGAGGAGTGCAAGAGGAACACGTAGAAGACATGTGAACGCGTAGAAGACATGTGATCCCTGTTTCTTCAACGTTACGTGTATCCGCGACCACGAGAACATATGACTCCCATAGCTAAGAAGCAAGACTTGACCACAGGAATACTCACCATAAAATTTCAATTGCGAAATCTTAAACCTTCTGATTGCCGGTTGGAAAGAGACACGATTTACTATGTGGATGATCATCGACAATTACTCCTGAATATTTTTTACCATTTCCCTCGTCTTATTAAGACGAAAAAGGGGTTCAAAATCGATAGCATCAGCTGTTTTTTATTATTGTTATTTTTTATTTTGATAGCACTACGGTAGACATAGCGGTTCGCAAACAACAGCCACAGCCGCACCCTTCAAAGCCGACTCATTCCCCTCACTAGTTCGCGTCAAAAATATTATTTGTGATGAAACAATTTCTGTCAAAAATATTCTTTAGTTTGTTACGAAAACATCTCATATTTTGATCGGGACATTGGCGTGATGCTCAAAAAGTTTACCTATGTACTAAAAGTTCTGTAAGGAGTATTTTGGCCAAGACGTCACTTCACATCGCTTTCAGCCTAAAATTATACTTTGTATTTGACCTCTTGAAAACATATTTTCTGCTATAAACTGTATCCAATTATTTGATAAAGAATCTTAAGTGGTTTTTGCGTACTTTAGACTGGGACCATTTGAAAGCTACGCTGGATTAAAATAGATACATTGTGGTTTTGGAAATTTTCAGAATGGCTACGCCGATGGCAAGCTGCCACCAATTATGTCCCGACACCTCTTAAGCAAGTATAAACTTGAAAATCCGAACAGGGTGGTAATAATGATCCTCAAACTAGAAACCCAGTAATATTCTCTCTTGTAGCGTCAGTTCAAAATTAAACAACTTGTACTGCTGTAGACGTACACTGATCATTGATTACCAATATACCGTAAACCGACACATCATAATCCTATCATTATTTATAGTGGCTGACGGATTTGAGAAATTAATTTTTTAATCCACTTGACTCATTTCTTGCGGATCTTTGACAACACATTTTGCCCTCTATGCGGGTAAAAAGTCCGCAATTCGAAAAACCAATTCCTGTTTTTCTTTTCATGGGACGATGGAGCGTGGTGCCGGATTGATTCGAAACGAAAACGTGAATTAAACAAAATAGGAACAGGTATAGAAATTCCTGAGAAGGCGGAAAATCTCCTTCATCATGATGTTGCAAATATTGAGAGAGAGGAGAGAGAGCGGTTTGAAATTGGTTTAGTAATTTGATAAAGAGATTAAAAGTACGTCATACGACCTAAATGTGGGAAAGCCTCGGTCGTTGATATGTGTACTCTAGGAGATGACTCAAAAATTTCATTTATTTTCACAAAGCTCTAATACTCATTGTTGAGGCTTGTATTATCTCTTATGATACCTGTCTAATTTTGAGATATATATAGGACAAACCAATACAGAAACTCAAAAGAATTTACAATGATAAAGATTGACGTCATAACTGTTACACATGGATCGCTGAATGCTGACGTGCGATCAAGTTTTCAGGCTCCGAAGAGGGAGTTCAGTCGTGTTTTATCCGGCGAGAAAGGAGGGAAATGTTGTTTTTTAGTTAAAAAATAGCCGGGATAAAAAAAGGACTTATTTTCAAAAGCTTTTGTGTCAGTTTGAGGCCTGCGTAACATGAACAAAAGCAACGAGAACAAAGAGGCGTTTTTTTTACCGTGTGTAAATTTCCTTTCTGTTTTTCAATTACGACGGATTAAACGCTGGCACGCTCCCAGGAAACATTTAAGCGTAAACAAAACCAGGGGCATGTTCTTGGGTTTATAAACAACCTACATAAATTTCCGAATCTTTTTCGTTTGGGCTTAAAATAGCCTTAATCAACTCCCATAAAACTAAATATTAATGTCTTGACACACATACAGCAGAGGTTGTGACGATAGTTTATGACGGGTGCTATTCGAAAAAAAAATACAGGAAAAACTTATGAAACTTTGTGTATTTCTATTTATAATGTCAGACGTAAACTGAAAAAATCTTTAACTCTCCCTCAATGGTCGACTAAAGCCTTTAAATAAATCCATCTTTTTGTGACAATACGATACAGCCTGCTAAACAAAAGGGAAAAGTTTTGAAGAAACCGATGATTGGACTCAAAAACGAAGGGATCAATCAACTCTGAAAGCATCACGTTTGTTCTCGTAAGCAATTACCTCATAATAGTGTAATCAAACGCGCTAATGACGGAATTAAAACTGAATTTTTGGTCAGTACTTTACTTCTTTTATCATCTTCGCCGAGCTCAACTAGAAGATTCACGTCAGAACGACTAATAACACATGCTCTCTGTTATCAGATTGTCACATACTGATCACCACGCATGGGCAATCATTGTGACCTACGGAGCAACTTTATGATACTCACAATGATCATGTCTTTCACCTTGGGAGATGTTTTATTTTTTCTTCTTGAATATTTATTTGTCTGACAAGCCGTATTGCTTTAGAATCTATCACTCTAATTTTTTTTTCTTTTTTAACCAAGAGCTTGTGAGTGAAGACAATATGTTCACAACAATACGATACCGTTACAAATGAGTTAGTTTCTCGAAAAAACCAGAGTCATGAATACTTAAATGTACCCCAAGGCAGTCACGATTGTACGACAGTCAATCGTTGTCAGTCTTAGCTTCCTTCTAAACATCTCTCCTTTCAAAACTACTGATTTTGGTATTCAAAGTTCACTTATGAGATCCTTCCCCGATTCTGAATGATCAGATGTTTAATGGAAATAACAACCTTTTAAACAACTGCTGCGAAGATTCCTCCGACTGAGCACGCAAAAGCCGTTCAATTCGTATAAACAAGGTTTGATAGTTTCTGTTTTTTCTCATCGTTATTGTTTTTAAGTTCAACGGGTATTTGGATGTTTACTAATGTAATTTATGCTTTTCCACGTGAGCCTCAATTTATTTTTCTTTTCATTCATAGGAACATGTGTCTTCAGAGAAGATAATTGCAGTCTTAATTTCAGCGAATAATGATGTCGTTACGCTGTTTGCCAATAAGTTTACAAATGCAAATTGCGAAAAAAATCATGCATCCATGAACTAAACTTCTGTTATTAGACAGAATGAATCAGCGTATTTTCATTCCAAGTTTCTCTAGCCCATAAAAACAAGAAAAAAAAATAAACGTGATAATCTGACGCTAAACAAGATCTAGGTAACCCTAATTGCTCAGCAATTTAAAATAAAGGTGTTTTAAAAAAGAAGTGAGCTAAAACACGGATTTTAACGCGTGACGTCAAAGAACCCAGCCTACGAAACGGCGGTGGGCAGCTGGCGTATATTGACTCTCTGACAACAGATAAATGTTGAAACGAAATGCATGTCGAATTTCTGGAATGAGCCTTTAATCTCGCGCTTTCTTAAACAACATTCAACGCTTGTTGGTCCTCGCTGTCTGAATTCTGTTAAAATCCAAACAATTACCGTTTCGCTTTGTCAACAATTTCCTAAAATAGGGTCTACTGACTTATTTATATTCAAAACTGTCATTTCTCTCGATTGACACCCTTTAGGCTCACACAATAAGGATAAAAGAGATCCCCTAAGATAATCAATAAAATCTCTTATTGCCTAAGCCGGAAAATAACAACGGTTTGACGTCAATACCAGTTTGATTGACAGGAATTTGGATGCAATGGGAAAATAACCCCATTATGTGTTCGTTGGGTCGTGACTGAAACATGAATCAACCATCACAAACCATCAGGCCGAGGTCAATCTCGTTTCATCTCTCTACGAACTAGACGCAAATAAGCAAGTTTCTCGACTTTTCCATTACCGTTTGTACACAAACCAACACTGCTCAGCCAATAATCTCTCTGAGACCTCTGGACATCTTCTTTGAGAGCCTCTCGACACGAGCATGTGTTCATGGGATTGAATTTCCCAGCGCAATTAGTCTTGAGCGTAGAGACTGACAAAATACATTTGAGGCTGTTCACAGGTTACGGCGAGGTAATCTGGTGTGCTTAGTCAAAGACGCTGGTAGTGACAGACAAATATTCATGATCTCAGCGTTCCAGACACAGTAACTTCTCTCAAGGAAATGGTTTCAGTATTACCGCAGTTAACTATTGTGCCAGTAGAAAGCGGAATGAATTCTGTTAGCTCTGTGTTCATGCCGCAAAGAAACAGTTTTCGTCCAAAGAAAAAGTTAACAAGAATTGCCAACGGACTCAAAACCCAGGGAATAACAAATCAGTACAATTTACCTCCGCAACTATTTGTGACCTCGAAAACGGACAAAAAAAAGTTTTCCTCCGTTCCAAAGATAATAATTGATACGGTAGAAGATGACAAACCCTGGGAAAACAGGAACTCGCCGAGGTTACAGGCGCTACAGAGTTATACAAAGCCAGGACTTCATTGCAATGCAAGATTTCTTCATCCTTCGTATACAGTCTGCGCGGCCGTTTCCGCGAATGACCCTAGCGCTCTCAAAAATATTCTACTCTCGGGGTCCGTGAATATTGATCAGTTAACTTCGAGCGGGGCTTCGGCACTTCACGAGGCGGCTTATGACGGGAAAATAAGTTGCGTAAGCGCTTTAATTCAATGCGGAGCTGATGTGAACATTGTAGACAGCGAAGGATGGACACCGCTCCACGCCGCAGTTTGCGGGAGAAGTTTACAGTGCGTCGAGCTACTTATCGGTCGTGGCGCGAACGCCAAAGCGAAAACGGACGACGGACTAACACCGCTTGGAATCGCGTTACAACAAGGCGACAGAGACATGATTAAACTATTAACATCGCTTTCTAATCGGACGCAAACATCGAACAGACCGAGAAGGTACTCTTTCAAAGAAGCGAAAGCGCTGTTGTCATTTTCGCCTTCAAATGTTTAATTTAATGCGTGGGATGTCAGCAAAGGTTTCCGCAAGGATATCAAGAAAGCTCGATAATACCTTTATCTGAATGCTGTGAATTCAAAGAACTATGAAGGCCAATGACGAATTTTCCGTCTGACGTATTTACAGTTCCTATTTCTCTCTCTCTCGTCGCTTCCTTTTCTATATTAAATTACTCGCAAGAACAGCTTTAGTTGAAAAATGCAGAGCGTGTCATCCGCCGTTGAAAGTTAGATTTGCAGACGCTTATATTTAAGACTAAATTCAGCCATGATATTGTAGTCAAGAAGCTAAACAAATGCATAAACAAGAATATATTTTTCAGAGAGCCGGCTGGCCGGCGGTAAATATTTTTATAAGCTTGGAAAATATTACAGTGTGAATAGAGCAAAAAAAGCAAATAAAAGAAATTTAGCAGATAATGGAAACTTTATGTTGCATGGACTGTCCTCCTAGAATAGCCTTTTATTATCATCACTTTTTTTTGGTATCATACTTTATGTGGCAAATGAATGACGAATGACAGGAAATATATGTTGGTATTATGTTCTCTCCGAAAATATACTGAGTCCGGTATAAATAAACATTTCGAAATACTGTTTTATAACAATCGACGCAAACTGGAACCCACACACCGCAGGGTATATCCTGATTTTGAACCCTTCAAGTAGCTACTTTTTTCGCCTGCGTTTTAACATATTATTTCTTGATACGCAAGAGCATTCTTGAAAATACCGCTGATTTCTCTCAGATTTAGTAAAAAAAGGTAACAAAGTTTGAGAAGGGTAATTCCCCCATCCAAATAACAATGTTTCGCAGTTTTCATTTTCGAACTTTGTTTACCCAAAGATCTAAATACTAAATCTCTTTATACATTTTGGAAATTGCTTGTTAACCACTTTCCCATGAATAGGATGAGAATTATCTTTTTAGCGACAACAAATTCGAGTTGCAAATGGAAGACTACACTTAGTTGGGCTGAGGAAGAACACGTAAAAGCGCACGAAAACCAAGAAGTGACTTCCAGTAGAAAGTCGAAGGTCGACAGTTAAGGCGAGAAGCTGAAAAATGTTTGAACTGAGGCAATCATCAAAGAAAAAAAGATAAATCCATGATAAACGAAAAGAGTTGAGACAATTAACACGTGTTGCAAACACAAATTTCAATCAACTATTAGACGGGGATGTGGTGACGGAATAGCGAACCTTCGAGAATGAAGAACTTTTGAAACTGAACATATTTCACGACAAGGTGAGGTAAATAGTAAGCATATCAGTTCGAGTTGAATTCTTCAAAGGGCGGAGTGGATATAGAAAAAACTGCCTCAGAAAAGAGACACGCGGCCTAATTTTTTTTTTTATCTAGCAACATGTGACCTCGGTCAAAAGACTAAGTTTGTTCCCGCAAAGAAATGCAACCATCATTGACAATTTCGTCGTTCATCCTTCAAATTTTTGCGTCATATTTTGGCGTATTTGCGTCTCCTTGAACCAACACTTCATACTTTCCTTTGTATTGAAAGTTGCAAACTTGGTACGTTGCCATAAACAACCCCAGTTAAATATCGCACTACATGACGGAGCGCTTTCAACTACTGAAGAATTTGTTTGTATTTATGGTCGATAGTGCATGCACATTCCTTCTCTGCATCACTTAATTCTAGGAAAGGTCATAAAATGTGTTGTATATTTTAGATATATCATTAAATTGTTGCTATTTAATTTGAAGGCCAAATAAGAATTAGTTAACCTTGCTGCTAATTTTTAGTCCCAGTTATTGTGCTACTAGTAATGTCGAAAACGTCTGAGATGAGACGAAGGAGCTTGTGGCTATTATTGTAAATTGAAGTTCATAATTAAATCAGCGGTTTTCATTCTTGATATTTGTTCTTCAGTGTAAGTGCTGCTTTGCACGCTTCGAGTTAGATTGGTCCGACAGAGCGATGGATTTTAAGGAACAAAGGCGAAACTAATTCTCTCTAATTTTAGTCAAACAGATTGCACGTTTCAAGTTATCGTTGAAAGTTATTTTAGACATGAATTTGGAGCGTGTATTGAAATGGAAACCAGTCCAGTCAGTCAAAACGAATATCCAAAGCAGAAAAATATACTAACTGCTTAAACGTTTGTCATGTCGACCAATTTTCAAGGTAATTATACTTATCTGCGGTTCGTTGAAAAATTTGCGCCACCAAATAGTCGCGTCAAATGGGTTTTGATAACAACAGGTAGCATGCGGGCGTGCGTACGTGCGTAAAGCTAGAACTCCATTGCTGCAGCAACACATAATCGCTTTAATGGGCACGCATTTCACAGGCATTATGTAAGTGAAAACCTGCATTATGTACGTAAAACAATCTAGCCGGATATAAGGAAAGCTTGTGTCTGTAACAAACAACAAAAAAAAAGAAGCGCACGTTCAATTGTTTTTCGGCAGACGTAACCCCTTCTCGACTGTCTCTTTTGTTCCAACTTCGTTCGTGTCGCAAGTTTACGGAAAACGCTGCTGTGTAGTGTTCGCTTGCTGTCACGTTATGTTCATTTCGCGGATTTCTTTTTCTTTACCTAGGGTAAGAAGGACTAAAGCTATCCATACACTGTCCCATTTCTTATTCCTGCACACATACACTTGAGTCTAAGGACAATGTAACATACAAAAGAGGAAGTTGTTTAGGGCCCTTGAGTAACCTCGTCATTTCTTGTCACACGCCATTAAACACATGACTGTTTCAATATCTATTTTGCTTAAGCGAGGGTAGCCTCAGGGAATACGGCTCGTGCTGTGAAACAGTGCACGTTTATTAGATCTGAGCATCTTGAGAGTTTAAACAAATTAACGCAGTCTCTAGAGCAAAGAATATTTATCGGCTGAGCCTAGCAACACAGCATTCCCTTGTTACGACATTCACTGTATTAAACTATAATGCAATTAAACATCCTTTATTTGAAGTAAATCAATTTGAGGCGAACAAAGAATTTTCGTGCAGGAACAGTCAAAACTAAAATTGTGTTCAGATGTCCTTTCTTGTTACATACACTGTTGGAAACAGCACGTCCCCGAGGTATCTTTGGCGTAAAACCAATGTAACGACCGGAAGGCACGTCAGCCATAACGAAAAAATCAGTCATTTACAAAATAAAAAATTGCTTGAGGCTAGGGTCATCTAAGAAGTACACCAGCCAAGCAAATTGCGAAATATCTGAAAGACGTATCCTTTCCTCCCCTGTCCTCCCCTCCATTTCTTCTCGGTCGTCCTCCAGTGAACTTGAAAAATAAAACAGCTAATTTTGAGTAATAAACAAAAGCACAAAGTTAAAAATAGTAATTGGTATGATTCACAGAAAGCGCTGTAAGGCGACAAGAGATGAAACTAAGATCTAGTGGAAATAAACTGAGCCTCAGAGACAATAATTCGTCGAGTTAATAGCCTAGGGTAGTTATTTCGGCCTCACAAGGCCTAATCTATTTTAGACGTTCAGTCAGTAAAGTAAAGGGCGCGACAATAGCGGAACAGTGAAAGAACGAGGGAAGCCTGTGTCGGACCGCGCAAAGAACAACGCGACCCGATCAAAACTGAGAGGTCTGTTGCCTCGTGATCAGTTTTATACTGCGAAGATAAAATCCAACTACAAGAACTGTTATCTCCTTAAAACTTATAAAAGCAGATGTTTTAGGGAAGAGGAAAAAAGGACAAAGAATTTATATAATGACCCGGGGAGGGGCCAAGTTAAGAAAATTATCGCACGAGAAATTTCCAGAAGGAAAGGTTTCAGCGCATCGACCTTGGCGGGGAGTAATTCTAGGCGAGTCAGACAAAGACCGTGAAAAGAAAGCTCTTTTAATAGCAAAACAAATCAGAGATGAGCGGGTCCTGAATAGTTTAGTTTGTCGTCTTTTATGCCGGTAAAAAGTAAACAATATCTTATAATGATCTCAAACAAGATAATGGCCGTCATAAAGGATGGATTTCGTTATCGTATCTAACCTTAGTTTATAAATAAAATCGTATTTTTTTGCTAGATCGTCACAAGGTTATCATTAGATCAGATCTCTCTTCTGACCAGTGTAAATTTGTCAAGTTGTCTGGTTGTTAAAGTTCTTTTATCAGATGTATTAAACTTTCATTAATTGAGTTCTCTTCGTGATTCTAAGATGAATTGTGTTGGGATAAGCCGAAAATTTCAGCAAACTCGTAAACTCGCGTAGCAATGGATTGCGTTCGAGTCTGGTATCGGGACGTCTCTCCAATGAAAGCTTCTTCTAACTTTTTCCCGAGAGCCGGCCATGCTGACTTGTCTTACGTTGTGAACCGTTTTCTTTTTCTTCAGAGACCGCTCCTTACTAACCTTTTCCCATGTGTCTTTATGGTTAAGAATACATAGCTGTTCCAATGAAAGCTTAGTTTTAGAAAGATTCGCTTACAACGACAAAGTCTACGTGGTTCGGTAAACCCTAGAGAGATCTCGTAAAATATACATGGGGTCATTTACACCGTGATGATTTTCATAACTGCGCCAGACATCTAAAACATTCCCATCTACCATATGGACGAAGTAATTTCCACATACATCATAACTCAACAACATCAGTCACTAGGGTTTTAATAAAATGATTAGGCTGGATTACAATCAATTCATACCAAGTGACCTGGAGCCGCCAGGATGAAGTGACAATGAGCTTTTCAGTCAGCTTTTATCTGAACGTGAACGGAATCTGCGTTTCCAAATATGGCTGTGATTTCTCTGAAATGTTTTCTCTGGAGACAGTTTATCCAAGAGTTTAGGAAGTATCACATCTATATTGAGGTTGAATCTGGCCGAAGATGGCAGCCATTGGCACTTCCATTTCCCCTCCAGATGATCACAGGCGCTAACTCGCTCGCCACTCGTGGTGACAAAGGTTGGCTCCGACAAATTAGGAAGATCAGTCTTGTTAGACACGATGATGACTGGAATTCGACGATTTCTGTCGGCACAGCAGCTCTCTATCTCATCCATGAGTCTTTCCAGCTTTGTGAAGGACCCCGGCTTGTCCAGAGAATACACTAATATTGCAGCGTCGGATTTTTGGATAGCGATTCGCCTCATAGCAGGAAACTCGTAGGTTCCCGATGTATCGATGATGTGAATCTCACAGGTTTTGTTTCTGTAGGTCATCTGCTTCACGTAGAATTCTTCTACTGTAGGCACGTGTTCGTGAATAAATGCCTCCCCTACGATATGACGAATGATTGAGCTCTTCCCTACACCAGAATCTCCCAAAACAGCAACAGTAATTGTGTTAAGATAAATAGCTCGACGAAATTTATCCGCTTCCTCGAAGACACCGGAAGTCGATTTCGCCTTCTTCCGTAACATCCTGGATAGGAAAATTAAGGTCGTTTCTCTCGGAGTAGAACTTAAGAGTTACAATTAATCTCACCAAATCACTATCTAAGTGTTGAAAGTTAAAGCGGAATTCCCGTTTGCAAGACTTTTAGCAAGAATTATAACCACCAACGCTGATAACCTTGATCAGATCAATTGAGATAACTGGGTGTATTAGATTCCATCTCAAGCAAGAACGCATAACAGTTACACCCTAATGGGCAACTTGCCACTTACACTCGTGCTTTAACTTCCACGAGAGCCTTAACTTCCTTGAAGTGACCAACATGTATCTTCCCCTTACAAAATTAATTAATTTTCCTGAAAGCTAGTAATGAAAATGATCAACCTTGTCAACTAAACTGTGTTATATTCAGGTAAGAGAATATTCTCTTGATTCAGGTTGATATTTAACCAAATTTCCTCGAAAGATAACAGGGACAATTTCAGATACATATTAAATCTTGGTGGCCAACATGTGAAAATATCAAAGTCTTTATAACACACTTGTTGGTTGTTTGGTCACGCTTACTAAATTTTGAGAAGAAACTTGCCACTTACATACATACATATATATATATATATATACATTTTTTTTTTTCAAAAAAAAAAGCTTTTACTGTGTACTGTTCTGTTGTAAAGCACGCAGGAAGCGGCTAGACAACGAAAGAAGTGTAGGGAGAAACACGAGACTTAGACGAGTGTTTCTCCTCACTTCTTGAGTGAGGAGCCCACTGCCCGGAGCTTCCATCTTCCATACTTACCCTCGGAGTCAACCCTGTCCCGTATCTCCTTATTTATAGAAGCAACTCCCACGGGGTTTTTCGCGGGTGTTCACATAATAGCCAGTCATAAGAATGCTGTGGTCCTCTATTGTTTACGTCGCATGCAGGCCTTACAAAAGTATTTCAGTAATGGCAGGACCGAGCGAGCGTCAGTGTATTTTCGTGGGAAATTAAAGAGCTCCCCCCGCCCCCCACATATCTCAGTTCTAAAAATAAAAAGATACGGGACAGGGTTGACTCAAGGGTACAATTGGTATGGAGGCTCCGGGTCATGGGCTTCTGCATGAGTATATATAGTAGCACTACGATATCTAAAGTAATTTGCCGGAGCTTACGAGGTGATGGAAAAGCGACCACAGACTGGGACCGACCCCTTTCGGAGTAAGATGGCGAAAAATGGGTTGATGAACAACAGAAGGAAAAACATAAAGAAAAAAAATGGGGAAATGGGGCTCATCGACTTCCAGACAAGCCGTCGCTCAGTCTAGAGTATCATAATCTGAGGAATCTTTGAGAACTACTCCATTCATGTTTTATTTCTCATTGTTGATTATTGGGTCCACGTATGGACCGTCAAAAATTGCAAAGCCGGCTGTATTTCAAGCCGTCTTGCGGGGTATTGGGAAAAGTTTTCAATCAGCAATAACCGCGCCTCGGATAAACCTCACTGGCTACGGTAATGCCACTGCGCAAAGCTAATGATATAGAGGGTTCAGCGGTCATTAGATAAAATCCATAATGTTGTCCATATGGGATTTATAGTTACCAGTTCCTATAGGTTTACTCCGGAAAATTCTTTTTTTTCAGTTTTTTTGACACATCAAATACAAAAATAAAGCGATTATATTGGGTATGATTGTCTTTTTCGCATACGTTTGTTACTGAATTGTAATTTAACAATTTTAGTAATGTTTTTTAACCCTACTACGCATGCGCAACGCCTTCTCCTAGCGCGGTGGTTAACCTTGTGTATAATTCTTACTTTAAATAAAACATTTTATCACCTATTTTATTTGGTGATATTGAAATGAGAATTTTAGTTGATGATTGCCTTTTTGGCCTCACATGACAATATGCGTGACAAGACACCGCTCGACTGTCGTGACTGACAGGACACAATTTGCATACGCTTCTGTAAAATGCAAATGAGTGTGGAGATAATATCACTGTTGTGACATGCGTGCTCGAGAAGTTGCTTTTCCCTACAAAATTGACGATTACGAAGCTTTAATTTCTTCGTGTTCTTCTTGAAAAATGTTCGAATCGATCATGGCCGTACTTAAAATTATTTCTCGTCAACTGTGGTGCGGGTTGACTTAGAAATATGATAGTGGTATCCCACAATGATCACAAAGACGTGTCTATTGAGAAACAACAAATTGTTCTAGTTCAATAACCTCACGTTGGTTATTGACTTTTAAATTTCTCCAGAACGGTGGTTTTGCCGCAAGGTGAAACCGCCCCTTTTAAAGATGAAATGGAACCAGAAATACCAGATCTTGAACTAGGCCGTGGTGTCTTTTGAAACCGTAACACTTGACCAGCGATCGCGGCCGTGTCGCAATTAGAGACGGACAATTACTTTTCTAGAGGGGTGTACGAGAAATTTTCTTCTGCAAACATTTTTTTAAACATATACGTCCCCGCAAACATTTTTTTCCAGCATCATCTTCGTGCAAAAAATTTTTTTCCATTTTTTTTTTCAGTGTTCTTTTTATTTGTGATTATTATTACCATTGCCTTATTGAACTGTTTCACGAAGAAGGTAATCAATAGTGCTATAGCCCCTTATATTGTGGATATGCGCTCCACTCACCTTTTAAACATTTTTTGGCAGCTACTGACGTAAATAAAGGGCATACATGTTTCAGTTGTCAACGAATGCGTAATTTTTGTCAAGAACTACAGCTACTTGAACCATTTTGTCCATAATTTTTTAGAATTTATTCGTTTATGTCGTTCATGTCATTAATTCTTTGACTTCTGAAATATGCGTTATGCAGCAATGATAAATAAAGCCAAGATTGAAAAATATTATTTGTTTAATACAATTTTGAGAAAAATACCTGATATATGAAGTTTTGTAATTGGACAAAATGTTGACAAGTAACCCTGAGATTTAATTGCCACAATAAATTCACATTCATTTTTTCAAGAAATATTCAGCTATTTTCAAATTTGTTAAGGGGAGGGAAGGGGAGGGTACAGGGTGGATGTCAAGATTGGAGAATGCTACCGAACAGCCTCGGTATTTGAATTGGGACTTGACTGAAATAAAAGTCATTTGGTGTCATTTGGTGCTAAGCGAATTGTTACCTTAAATCAAGTAAAGTACGAGTGCTTGCACGACTCGTTTAAGTAAACTCAAAGTGCCGTATTTACCCGTGTATAATACGCACTTTTTTTCTATAAAAATAACCATCAAAATCGCGGTGCATATTATACACGGTTTCTATTGTTTTTCAAGCACGTCCTCATTTGCATACGTTAAAAACACAACAAGGAAAGTAACAAAAGCCTAGTAGTAATTGGTCTTTATAAGCTTGAGTTAAAACAATTTTTTTCAATTTCGATCCACAAACACAACAAGTACAAAGAAAGTAACGAAAGCCTCGTAATAATTGGTCTTTATTAGCTTGAGTTAAATAATAAGCTGACGAGATAAACATTACGATCGTACCGTATTACTGTAATCACAAGCGATAAGAAATTCGAAATGGTAACGAAACTTACCACTGCGAAACGTCAGTTGTAGGAAGAATTGACGTTTTTTTGGCTGTGAAAACTTTTTCTTTATGAAAAATTTGGTCAAAAATCGGGGTGCGTATTATACATGGGCGTGTATTATACATGGGCGCGTATTATACACTGGTAAATACGGTAAGCAGAGTAAGCACCAGACAGATCAAAGCAAGATTATGGGGAGATATTTGTGAGTTTTGTAAGTTTAGCATTGAAAGACGATTCACAGATAACATATCACAATCTTCTCTGAAACGGAAGCCCATGTTACGATCGAAAAAAGTTTCATTCCTAAGAAATCAGCTGAAATAAATTCCATGAGGTTCACGAAGTTGCTTGCGGAAAAAAAAAACACTTTTCAATCATCAGCTCTGGCAACAGGTGTTATTTTAAGACAGGTCTTCAGTATATAAATTTCCCCTCAGCAGGTGACAGGAAATTATGATGGTTCTTTCCCACTTGAGCTGTTAAGTAGCATCAGTGAATTATTTCACGAATTTGTTTTCACATTTCTAACTATCTTTTCCAGTATATCGGTGGACTTTTTTCTTTGTGTTCGTTATGTTGTTAACAAGTGTCGGGAGCGTAATTGTGAGCGAAATGTCGGCACATTTAGAAGGGATTTTGGAAACAGACTTTTCAGAAACAGACTAAGTCACCCTGCCAGCAAAGCGCTAACTATAGCCAGCCCCTCTTGATATAATTTGACAACTAATCAATTCGCCTCATGAATAGTCAATCAGTCAATTAGTAATGGTCTCGGTCAACTCTGTTAAAGCAATTTTTTTACCATAACAAGATCAAGTGTCTCGAAGTCGCAGACTTCGAAAGACATTGTCTGCAAGGGTCAGAAATTAAGCTCAGCAAGAGCTGGAAGCTTAACGGATTTCCTCTTTGCTATTTGAAGTATTTTGCTGAAGCTTATAAAAAGAACGTGGGTGGTGTTTGGTATGTTTTAAAGGTAAACGATGGAATCCTTGCTGAGAACTGGAAAAAAATTGCCACTTTTCCCCTAGCCAGGATTTATGTCACCTGCCACAAATAAAAGTTTTTCTTCATGTTTAGAACCAAGTGATATAAAAGATTATTTACAGAAATTTTTTTCACTTTTATGCAACGTTTTGCTTCCGTCGGCGCTTGAAGTTGTCATCAGGTTTTTGAAGCACGTATAATATTTCGGTTAAACGAGTCAAGTATTTATTCAAGCTCAGTTTTCGAGGAACGTAAGCTAAGCTTGAACGCAGTGTTTTTCAACCTACATCGACTAAACATCATGTAAAATCGCCTCGTCTTGAACGCAGTCATGATGCAGTTAAGCGTCTCGAATGAAACCAAGGATCTCGAAGAACCCGTCTATTTCAAGAAGTACACTCTCGCGGTTTTCGGGGATTCTGGAGTGGGAAAAAGTTCCATAGTCCGTCATCTTGTGGGTGAGAAGTATATGCCCGATCACGTGCCTACGGTAGAAGAATTCTATGTTAAGCCAATAACACACAGAAACAGAGCTTACGAGCTTCAAATCATCGACACATCAGGAACGTACGAGTTTCCTGCCATGAGAAGAATTGCTATCCATAAGGCCGACGCAGCAGTTTTGGTGTATTCTCTGGACAAGCCAGTATCGTTCACGAAGCTGGAAAGATACATGGATGAAATCGAGAGCTGTTGCGCCGAAAGAAACCGGAAAATTCCTGTCATTATTGTGTCTAACAAATCAGATATTCCTAATTTGTCGGAGCCAACGTTTGTCAACGCGAATGGACTGAAAATTAGCGCGTGTGTCTACCTGGAGGGGAAATTTAAGTGCCAATGGCTGGCTACTTCGGCCAAATTCAATCTCAACATTGATTCCATATTCCACAAAATGTTGGACAAACTGAGTCCGGATAAAAACATAGTAAGGAAGAAAAGTAGTATCCTTAAGCAAATTCTGCGTTAACTCGACGCTAACATTTTCAACTTTTAAGGAAATATTACCGAGCGTATACGATATGTTGACCATGCATCGCCCGTATTCGGCGAAAATACATCCATAAGCGCTTCATTTTAGTTAACAGAGACTGAATTACGTCAGTCCATTTGTAATAATAGTTCATATCAATGCTATTCCACTATAGTCTGCTCTGTTTTTTTCATCTTTGTCTAGAAATCGCCACTTGTGTTGTAGCACAGTATAAAATTGGTATTTACTTGTAAAAGGTGGCAGGTTTCAAAACAGTTATATTCATTTGCATTTACTCAATCGGAAAAAATCGCTAAACTTACAAAATTTATATGATTTCATAAAGCCCAGATCTCAGAGGCAATAGTTAACGGTCAGTTGAGAGTCATAGTTCTATCTTTGTACAGAATAATTTCTCGTGTTAGAAACTATGAAAAAAAAAAACCCGGAAATTTACAATTTCAGGGGTGTTCTTCGAAATTATGTCCTCAGACTCAACAGAGCAGACTCTCAGAATGTTTTCTCGATATTTTGAGCAGTTAAACTGACTGATTTTTAAAATGACAGTCGACGAGAAGGATTGAAAACAGTTGTTGCTGTGCGATGTTTATGCAAGACCTAGTTTATATCTTCCTGTACATATCTTTATCTCCCAGGATTGACGTTATCCTCGTCTCAGGATATCCTTTTGGAAATTAGGTTTGTTGGGAATTAATTGGTCTTTTCCAATTAAATAATTAGTTTTCTTTTTGTGTGAAATTATATGCGTTATGGTGGTTTTTGATAACATGGCATGCCTGACTTAAATTAAACGATGTACAAAGGTTGCCATTTGTTGTGGAACGGAAGACACGGGCTCAGATAACTAAAGTTGGTGTCATTTTGGACATAATACTATATTCAGAGCATCGAGAATAATACCAGCATCATAAATAAAATTTTTTTAGCATAAATATGACTATTTACTCGACTACGTCTCGTGCTTCTCCCCACTTCTTAAATGGGGTTAAATGGCTTTTATAAGCTCTCAAATTAAGTATAAAAAGGAGCATTATACAAATTCATAAGCATAATTTTGGAAATACGTCTATGTTTTCCGGGGTGACGCTCAAAAGCATAAAGCTCGAATTTTCGAGCATGATATTTCTGACCCTAGGAACACTTCGAAAAGTTCGAGATCATTCTTTTAGTCACGCGAAATGTCTGGAAGTCATCCAATTAGGAAAATTTCGTAGATCGAAACTTGAACGAGTGGACATATTTAAGTCCAAACACTCGAAATAAAAGTCTAAAGTACGAACATTTTGACCAACTGTCTTCCTCAATATAACAACGATTCAATTTTGTACAAAATTACTAAAAAACACGTTAATATTTCTCTCCTCGGTGACAGAGAAATATTTCACTTAACAGAGTCTATCTCAATGCGTAAAAATTTAACGAGCATTCTAAAACTGCTTCCCAAAATAGACTTTGAATGAGGACGTAAAAATCCCTTAAAAAATTAACCCTTCCTAGGAGCCCCACAGACTAAAATTCTTATCTCAGAATTTTATAATCTATAAACGCGTGTGTTTCTTTGCAAACAAGCCCACTGCTGTGGAAATTGCTTAAGTCCTGGACAATGATTCTACTAGCTACTACGCTCGTAGTTTGGTATCAAAGTCTACTTTTACTTCAATGGTAACGAATACCCAATCTCGCATTTTCCAAAAATAAGCAGCGTAAAAGTTAGATTTCCCCTTACAAAAAGTGACATTTTTTAAAATCCGTCTTTTTTATGTGTTCTATAAGATTTTTTTTTTTTTTTTTTTTTTTTTACTTATTGAACTTTATTCCAGAAGTTAATGGCTTATTCAGTCCAAAATCCTTCCCTTTGGCCCTCAGTCTATCTTCAAGTTTCCATTCATTTCTTGACTCGATTTTTTTCTCGATCCCTTCTTTGCTCTCAGCAGAAGGCAGTAAAGACAAGCTCAACAAATATTCGTAGAAAAATTCTTGAAGCAAACCACTGAAAAACCAAAGTGGCGCGTATTCGAGCGCGATCAGCCCCATGATGTCATACTTGTAATGGCTATAGTCCCAGGTACGCGCGGAAAATTGATTGAGGACGAGGCCACCAAAAAATTCCCACGTGTAAGCCATTTGAACCCAAATTAAGCCGCGCCAAAATACCGATAAACGATTTCTTGTGTGGACGTATACTTGTTCACCGCAAAAACTACAGGTGCCATAAATAAAGAAGGACCAAATGGAAGAGTATCCTTTGAACTTGAAGTCGGCGAAATTGGAAGCCACAAAGTCAAACAATGAAGTGAAGACTATTTCATAAGCAAATCCAAGCATGCCGTATATAAGCAGCCGAAACCAAGGGTTTACAGCCATGATGTACTCACGAAGAGAAAAAAATTACCTAGAAGAGAGAGAAAGAATTAAAACGTTCGTGACTGCTGATTAAATGGGTTATTTTATATTGAGCCGCTGCAAATTATTACAGAAAGGGTACGCGGTCAATATTCGCCCTTTTGATCAAACAAGTTTGAACAATAAATTATTCATTACTGACACAAAGATTCCACCAATAAATGTAAAAAGAAAAAAAATCACCACACTTACCGGGGTTTTTGTAATGTACAATGTTTTAATGTACTTTTGTCAAGACATACTTAAGATTATACTGCTGTAAGAATGTCTAAAAACTATTTTCTGGTGAGGCAAAGCTTCAAAAAGTCGATCTGGGGCGATCAGATGTGAAATAATAACTTGTATACAAATTAGTAACAATTTCTATCGTTAAAGCCTAATAAACCCGCCCGTCAAACAAATGACTGATACCACACGGAGCCGAAGAAAACTCAAAGTAAATACACGAAGGCGAAAATGATTACAAGTAGTTAAATACATTGTACTTTGTGTTTGCCTCCATAGAAATAGTATTGGAAAATTTCCAATCAATTATGTTTCGAATCGTTGTGATTAAACACTGTTTGACACGGTAGGACACCTTTAAAACACTAATGTCTCGCAGAAATACTTTTTCTGAACCAGTTAATCAGAAAAATGCAAGTGCGGAGTCCCCCACTTTTACTAATGAACGATTTACACCGGATGAAACTACTCTGTAAAGTATTTTTCAACATCAAAGATCTATAACAGGCTGACAATTATTTCCAAGGCAATAAAACAGCTTAACAGGTAATATCTTCACAAACACAATGCCTATTGTGTCGGAAATATCACACTTTTCATCGTGAAATCTGGACTCACAAAATCAACAACTCCGTAGAAATTTCTGCCAAGTGCCTTTGACCAGTAACCACTGAAGTTAACGATACCAACATTGTATTGGCGATAGTAGAATCGCGACGATTTTCAGTAGCAATAAATTATTTTTAATCCATGTGCTTATTTCGGTTTAGCTGAGAGGTACTAAATTTTGTTTTGTCATTCACAGATGGAGATTTTATCACATTTGAGCAGTTGTTTGTTGTGCAAATACTACTAAATTTCACGGTCTATGAACGAGGTGTCATAAATGACTCGTGGTAACCAAACGATTCTAGGACAAAGTACAGCAGTTACGGGGCAAAAAAAAGTCGTCATAAATGGTGAATGAATAGTGGCTGTACTTTGAAAGAGTCAATTAAGCTGTCATACGTTTCAGTTCCGCCCGGCTCGCTGTGAAAATTTTCAATTTATTTAATCGCCTTACCACCTCACGAGTCCCACGCAAACACGATTTATCTATTTTTACAGAAGATTAGACGCTGAAAATGGAGTAAATAATAATATCCTTACCTGTGTGAGAGGTAATACCTCAATTTGAACAGCAAGCAATTTTGCGAACAACCGGCGGTGCCTGTCGAGTAATGATGAGTTAGTAAACAAAGTATTACTACCGCGTAAGACTAGAAACTACTTATTCCCAGTCCCCAGTCTCTTTCCTATCTTTGCGAAAAAATGGCGGTCGTTGTAAATGGTGATCCCGAGTGTTGTTATTAGTTTTTTCGTTATGGCGAGTATGAATCCGAAAACTTCACCGTTCCCAGGTGGTTTTGACCTTCGGCATCGTCTTAAGTTCACTCAAGAGGGTTTAGAAGACGATCTGTGGTATGTAACGCATCTTTCAATGAGGTAAGAGCATATATGCATTCAGTTGCACGAACATTTGCAAACTCTCATGTTCTTTTGGTACAAACAATCTCTTTGCAAATGTTATAAATTATTTTTGATGAAAGACTGGTGCAGAGTATAGCTTCTTTCAAGGGATCTATTAAATTTCGAAATCAGTGGAAACATATACAACATATATAGCATATAATATATAGATTTAACCAAGCCTAAAAGCGGAGCTCGCATTTTTTTTCCTGTACGTCCCAAGGGCACAACGCCTTGCGCCGGTCAGGACTAAAACCCGGGTCGTCCGCCTCGGAGCTCAGTGCACTGACCACTGGACTACTGGAGAAAGAGTGGCTTTGGCGTGCCCGCGGTACAGTTGACCACGCATGTTAAAAGTAGCATCTTGTACGGTCGGTCGTACGATCGTAAGTCCAAATTTTTTCGGCTTGATGGTTACTACTACCATTTTGTATAATTATGGGGCTACGCTCTGTGAGCTCCACTATTATTAAAATTAATTAATTGATAAATTGTTAAATTAATAAAATTAATAAATTATCATTAATAATAAATAAATGATTAATAAATATTTATATCTGACTAGCAAATGGGAAGTCTTAGGGCATGCACAGGAACCCATTGTCATTTGTTTTTCTTAAGCATTTTGAAAGTTCATTTTACGTCATAAGGGTAGCATTAACACAATTATTTTTTATTATTTTCCATACTCCAAACATTTATATTCCGCTGTTTTCCTTAGCTTGTTTCTATCTTTTCCACAATGTTTGATAGGGCTTTTATATATTACAATTTCAGCCCAAAACAAGACGTGTTTGCAGTTGGAGGTAACAAGAGTGTAGATAAGTTTATTGTTTTTATGTTTTTATAGTTATCTCAAGCTGAGATCCAGACCTGAGTGCCAGCCTGACTAAGACCTTATTTCATAAAAATTTATTTAGTTATGTATTTTAACATTCATGTGGATTAATTAGTTTTAATTTTAATACCTATTCATAGGACCACAGGGCTCTATTAAGCTTTTAAACATGGACACCCTTCTTTATGTTGCAGATTTTAAAGGTGAAGTTTTGATCTCATTATTAAATGGATGTTCAATTAATATAATAAATACTTTATGTTAATGAATTTTCACTGTGCCTATAGAGAGGCTGTCCTAATAGAAAAACACAAAAGTCCTAATGTTTCTTTTGACCAGCAGTGACTGAACAGATGGGGGTTGGATAGATTTTCCTTTTAATCCTATTTTGAGTTTGGTTCTTTATAGTCTACACATATTTGTTTAAACTCTTATACAGCTTTCAAAATATATGAAACAAAGAAATTTTAAGTGGTTGGCTTGATATCTTAGGAAAATTGGAAAAACTAGAGCATACTTTAAATAACTCACCCAGATGATTTCTATTGAAGCATAAGATAGAGAAATTTTTACATCATTGTATATTTCACTTTTAATTAACAGCTCATTCTGCAAGGATTACAGGTTTAGAATATTGTCATAGTAATGAACACTGCTTCTGGTCCACATCCATGGATACTGCGCTTAGGTTTGTAAATTAATCATTATATCAGCTCTAAAGGGATGCTTACATGCACAGGCATGATTAAAGACTTTTGTAATGGAAAATTTTTGTGATTGTGCAATGCTCCTTCTTAAAAATTTCTGTTGAAAAAATGAGAAAGTAACTGATGATTTACAATAAATGGCTTCTGATTACAGTCACAATCTTCCACTTATGTCATTGTTTGAAAGGTTTGATATTTACTACAAAAGTTGTTGCAACCCCAGATTCAATTTTGAAGTACTCGTAGTTGAGACACTGAATTTTTGGATGGCTGATTGCTTCCCCCATAATGATGAATTATTTTAACTCTCACTTTTTTTGTGATTTTGTTTTTATTTAATAATTAGTTACTGGGATTCAAGAAAGGCATTTAAAGCACCAGTTTACAGGATCCTGAGTATGTTATAAAATTATCTTTGCATGATTATTATTACAGGGTATTTACCGGTAATCATTTTTGATGAGAATCCTACATTCCACAATGTAATCTTTTTTACAAGATCTTGTTATTTATTTCTTGAGAATTTCCTTCTGACTTAGTACAGGAAGCAACTATACATTCTTGCAGTATGTTGTTATTCTTTGATGGGATTTAGCTTATCGAAGTTTCCAGAGCCCCAGGCTTTCACCATAACAATTGTTTCCAGTACCATGCTGTAACATGTTCACAAAATAATGGAACCCAAAAAAAGTTTCTCGTTGACACATTCAGCCCTATTGTTTAAAATTTAAGTGAAAGGTGTTTTCTTGCTCTGATTTTTAGTCAAGAAATTCTTCAGTTTTGAATCTGCATATTTATTAAGTTAGGTCAGTTGTCTAAGTTCTCTCTTGTTTGCCATCTTGTATCATTCCCATAGTGCATTGCATGTTACCAGAGTTGGTGGCCCTCATGTTCAACAATCAATATGGTGTCAAAAGACTTTGACTATTTTTGTTATAAAAGTATCCAGGTTCCATTTTGATGTACTTTAAACAACAAGTAATCATCCTGTCTCCTGAATTCAAAGATATTAATGATGGGTTCCCCATGAATTTTCACAGAGCCAAAAAATAGTTACAGATGGGTTCCCATGGTCTTTAGGCACAAAACCTAAAAATTGTTCTCAATGGGATTTGAAATCCTAGGGTTTGGTTTCTAGAGCATGAAGCTACTAGGAGTATATTAATTACTTTCACCTGGATGGGAAAAAACCTTTTATAAGGTTACCCCTTGGCTTTTTATAGGCTTCTCTGACAATAGGCCATTTTACAGTTGTGTACTTAAAGTTGCCAAGCCTTTGAATTTGAAGGTGACCTTGTTGTGATAGATACCAGTATCTAGTTAGAATCCTAACAAAGAAATTTACATTTGAAAAGCAGCAAGGTTTGTATCATAACAAGGTCAACCTTAGCTTTACTCCTATTCAAAGGCTTGGCAACCAAGCACATAACTGTAAAATGGACTATTAGCTGATATCCTTTTATACTCCTGGGTGGAGAGAGGCACTGTGAAAGTCTTTAAACCCTTCAACTCCCAAGATCTGATTGTTAATTCTCCCCTCTAGTTGCTACACATTTCCTTGTAAATTGGTTACAAGAATTTGGTGTTTGATCAAGATAATATCTTCTTCCTGATAAGTTTGAGTATTCTCATTGCCTGTTTGCTGGATAGTCTATGGATACTATAGGGAAAGTAACATGTTGATCACTTCTAAGAGGTAAAGGGTCAAACCCAGAGCTCTTGACTTGGAGTCAAGGGCACCAACCTTAAGGTTACTGCATTTGTCTGGTAGGTGGGGTTACCCACTGTTCTTATGATCCCTCCAAATGATTTTCTCATGATCATGTTTGTATAATTCTAGGGATAAGCTGCCTATCAGTAATTGGTGGACTTGGTTCCCCTACCTCCATGTAATCAGGCTCAGAATGCTTTTAATGATACTGAATTTTCATTTCCTTCAGGCCCAAACAACTGCTCTTTTACTGCTTGTGGTTTGAATTGTTCAGATGAAATTGTTGCAGCTGCTACAGAGCCTTATGGTGAAGATGTTTGTCTCTACCTCTGGTAAGATCCTACTCATCAGCAAAAATGTATTTCTTTAGATGAATAAGACCTCATCAAGACATATAATATTCTCTCTAAACCCTTTACACCCTAACATCAATATGCATATTCTCAACACACCTTTCCATACAGCTCTTATGGTGCTGACTAGGAGTATTTGTTTAACAGTCAAGAGCTGTTGATGATCATTTCCTTTCATCTCATGACTTTGATGTGTGATTCAGGGGTGATGTTGTTAGGAGAAATTAGATTCTAGTCACTCTTTGTGGTCAAAGGGTTCAGAGGTGTGAGGTTTATGCTTATTTTCACCCCCACTCCCCCACTTTCTTAAAATTTAAATGCTCAGAATTGAGTTCTTATGGACTTTTTTTTAATTTCCACTAAAGCGAAAATTATTGACCCAACAACAGATGAACAATCTTATCTTACAGCAGTTCTGTACATTCCCTCCTCTTTTAAATTCCTGGATGAGTAACTATTGGTATTGATTGAATTATATGAATCAGCTTTTGCTATAAGTCCTAGTGAGGCATGTGTTGCAAGACAAATCATGTAGTTTGAGTTTACCTGGGCACTGAGATGCATTCTCTGGGTGGAAAGTAAGTGTTATCTCAAATGACACGAAGTGTTATCTCAAATGACACGAAGTGTTATCTCAAATGACATGAAATAAATCTTATTTGACCTCTGAGTGACATGTGACCAAGTGTTCCTTAAGGGTAACTGCAGTTACTGTTGGTAATAGCAGAGAGTTAAGCCCAGTTAAAGAACTTGGGCTTTGCCATGGCTTGAATTCATTCCTTCTAGATGCCCTTTGGGTGCTACCACCAACTGAGCTATGGAACCTCAAAGTTGGGATTGAGAAAAAGTTTAATGAATGCCTTTTTTTTAAAATTCTGATTTCTTAGTAACTTACTGTCAATTTCAGCACACGCATTAAAGCAAAACACCAAGCCAATTTCCAAAGAGAAAAGGTCACAACAAGCAGAACTGTTCATCACTGGAAACTGAAAATTATTGTGTGAAACATGGTATAAATAATGATTAAGTGACAAAAATTGTTCCATATTTGCTCTGGCACTAATGCATACTCATCAACTAAGCGCTTTAGTGACTAAGCAATTTGCAACAAAGCAGATGCTTCTTGCTAAACCAACCCAATAGTGCAGTTTCGTTGAAAATTTCTGCACAAAATTGTGGATTCAATGATATCAGTCTCTGAATTTGGTAAGGTATGGACCAAATGCAGTGACACTGCACATGGTTGATACAGGTTTCCCTTACAGATTATTTTGCTCTCTTTGGGATGTTTGGTTGTTAAGTTATTAATTTTTGATGAGTGAAGGGCATGGTAGTGGTCTGTGGCTTGGGTCAGGTTGTCAAAACATGTTGCTGCTGCTGATAATGGTCCTCTGCAGGACTAATCCCTCACCCATGCAATCAGACTTTGTGATCATGAATAATCTTAGGAAAGCACAAGAGGTGTCTTATGATGAACGAGAAAGGGGCTGTACAATATTCCTATCCTTACATGCTTTGGGACTTGTCATAATCCTTTTTATTATTTACTGGTGGTGACCATGGAATATTCATGTAATGCTGATGAAGCACATATTTTTGTGTATTAAGGAAAAGATCAAGTCAAGATGATATGTTTACCAACAATTCATTTATTCTTTCCATAGGGATATTAGACAACTTAATGCTGAAAAGTTGCTGCAGACTCACATGGATATGTACACAGACTCACATAATAGTGAAATTACTCAGGTATCACTGTAGCCTGTAGGGATGGTGATTTATCTCTTGAGCTTTTCTCTCACAGTGCCTCTCTCTGCCCAAGGGTATAAATATTTATAATAAAAACTATTAAATAAATAACTATTTGTATTCAGGAAGGTTTCTAGTTAAAGCCCTCCTCAGTTGTCTGTAGTTGAAAATCCAGTTATACAAGGCTATGTGCCAGAATAACAAACTGTGTCAAAGTCCAAGGCATATGGTTTCATAGATTTAATTTACATGTGTGTTTACTGTTTACTATTTACTTAATGCAGATCCAGTTCAGTCCACTTCAAACTCATCAAATGGCAACTGGCTCCACTGTATGTACAGTTTTTGTATTATTTTAAATTGAAATAATAAATACTGATGAATAATTAAGAAAAGCCTTAAACTAACGATAGTTCTGATCAATCAGGGTTTTGGTGTGCACGAAAAGAAGACATTGCAAGCATTTTTGGCCAGAACTTCCATTCCAGATCCCAACAACGGCATTTCATGCTCAAATTTGTATTCTCTCTATGCTTTCCTGCTTTTTGCTGACCAAAAAGAAAAGGAAATTGTATTAAGACTTCTCTATACTCCTCTACTAATGGAAATTTAACTGCTTTTGTTGTCACTGATGATTACAACCTAACATCAGTATGTATATTCTCCATACTGTCCTATGATGCTGACAAGGAGATTTTCTTTAACCCTTTAACTCCATGAGTGACCAAGACAGTATTTCTCCTTACAATATCAATACGATATCAATCAGATGCATGATAAGAATTTAAGTAAAGTTATCAATGAATGGATTATTAGTTGATCTCAAACCAAATTCTCTTAGCAACAGCTACTCAAATTCACTGAGGTACAGTAACTTACAGTACTGTAACTATTAGAATTGCACAGCCGATAGTAAGGAGAATTCCAATGAGATCTTGGGAGTGAAAGGGTTGGTGATCATTTCCTCTACTCTAGTGACCCCAATGTTTGATCCAGCAGTAATATTATAGGGAGAAATTAGTCACTCTTAGGGTGTTCAGGATTAAGGAACTGCCATAAGTTCTTTCATCTTATGGTGTAACTTACTTTTATTGACGTTTTTCTACAGGATGGTTTGATCTGTTTATTTGATGTATCTAAAGGAAATGAAGATGATGCCCTGGACTCAGTACTAAACACAGGATCCTCTGTGGTATGTGCCTTGATAAATGTTTAATCATAAAATGGGGTAAACAAGAGTAAGACTGCCTTTGGGTAGATCTGAGGAAAGCCAAGAAAGCCTTAGTCTTAGAAAATATTAAAATTGTGTTTTTGTTTTTTTTTAATATATACTTTTGTATCAAAGGAGTCCTACAAGCACTTGTTAACCCATTGTTGGAAAGAGAGCCAGAGAGTGTGCACTCTCACTTCAATAGTAATATTCCCTTTTTCAAAATTCTTTGGATTAATCCCTCATGTTTTTCATGCATGCAAAGCTCCAGTTGATAAGGGGTCTCAAGGTCAAACAAGATACTAGGAAGCTGCTATGTTTGTCTCAGAAATAATTAAAATTTAACAGCTCCTCACCACTTAATTCATAATGCAGAAGCTACATATGAGAACTGAGAGAAGTGTGTAATCTGCTGAGTGACTTATCTTGAGCCTGCAAGAGATTTATCCTGTGATCATTATTGATCATGTGCAGATAAGCTGAGATTAAACTGAACTAAACTGAACTGAATTGCCATCTTGATTTTGTTTTGTCCAAACTTTGAGTATTTTCGTTGTGTTGCTGTTGTTTAAACCATGTTTCAAGCTTGTGATTACATCAAACTGAATGTTTACACAAGAAACTTACATAAATAAGCCAGGGCATGCTAGCTTAATACAGTAAGAGCCTTTTCTCATCTGGTTTGATGTGAAATGAGTTCACTCTTCTTTGATGCTTTTAGTCATGTTACCTTTTACTGATTGAAAAATTACAAGAAATTTTTGGATGATGTTTTTGTGATATTTTTTTGTAATCAAGGTTTTGCTGATAACCCTTAGTGGGACCTTGATTATTCTGGATATCACAAAAATGGAATCTAATAATTGTTTTATTATACATTGAATGAAAAAAAAATGGTCTGAAGAAATTGGAACTGATAATTTATTTGTGAACATGTAAAAATATACAAATCAACAAGCAACACAAAGGGCAAGAACTTGACATGATTACCCTTAGAAATCGTTTAAAGCAGTCATACATGACATGATTACCTGTGAGCTTGAGTGTCCTTGACATGATTATTGTACAATCTGCAGCCATATGTGGATGATCCTGGGTGCTGGTTTCAAAAAGTCATTGTATGCTTTCGGCCTATCAGAGAAGAAATTATAGTGAGTTGAATGTACAGTAATAAACTATATTCCTTTCCCTGCAGAGTCAAATTGGTTATTTTGGTCCAAAGTTGGCAGACCTCTATTGTCTGACTCATATTGAGACTCTTCAGCTGTGGGATACTGTTGAGGTACGAGTCTCTTTGGGTGTTATTGTTTGATATCACTGCATTTGGTATGCAGTAGACTTTATTTACGTCCAATGTCTATACTGAAATGAATGTAACATCATTAGCTCAAATGTTCTTCGAACAGTTCAAACAAGTATACACAGAACAAATTTAAGAGATCGTTGCAGCTAAGAACACTACTGAACTAGTAGTTGAAAATAGGACCTGAAAAAAATTCAGGCCCATTTTCAACTACTAGTTCAGTAGTGTTCTTAGCTGCGAGGATCTCTTAAATTCGTTTCTTCACCGCGATGCAAATATATGAATTTCATATATCTAAAATCATTATTCATCACCTGGATGGTTTATTTGGACCCAACATATTGATCAGCTCCCAGTTGGCTTGTTAGCTCAGTTGGTAGAAGGCTGCACCAGTATTGCAGAGGTCCTGGGTTCAAATCTTGTACGGTCCTGAATTTTTTTCAGGTCTTATTTTCAACTACTAGTTCAGTAGTGTTCTTAGCTGCGAGGATCTCTTAAATTCGTCTCTTCACCGCAGTGCAAATATATGAATTTCATATATCTAAAATCATTAAGTATACACAGGTTTTTCTGTAAACTTTGCAGTTTGTGCTCTACATTTGTAAGTTGCTCGTGAAGCCCGAAGAAAGAATTCGTAATCGGAGAGAGTAAGTGAGATGGTTGGGAGAACAGGAAATTTGCATTGTAGTTAGGTACAGTAAGAATGTGTGCTCGTCACTGATGTGTGTCTTTCTTTCTCAGGGTACAATGACTACACATTTTACCAACCCCAGGAAAGAAAATGGGGTAAGCGTATGACCAGCTGCTCAAGATCAATGCAATAGTCTGACAAATTTCCTTGACTTTATTTTTACATTTCTCTTCTTTTTTATTCTGTGCTATTTTCTGCTCTTTATTAACTACCAAACCAAAGTTTTGCTTAGTGAGTTTCCATTAATCCGCATAAATGTCAACTGGTGCACATCACTGGGCCTTTTATTGGTTTCCAGAGCAAGAAGCATGTGCAGTAAGAAGCCTCCCCATGATGAATATTAACCAGTTACACCCTAATATCAGTATGCATATTCTCCATACTGTTCTCCATACATTTGCTAAAGTGCTGGAATGGAGAATTTGTTTTAAAAACGGGAGCCTCTGTAGTTGGTGATCATTTCCTTCATTATCTTGACCTTACTGTTTGATTCAGGGGTGATGTTGTAACAAGGAATTACACGCTAGTCTCTCTTAGAGGTTTAAAGGTTAACTTTTAGTTATCGCTCAGCTGGTCATCGTTTTTTCTCTGACAATTCAAGGGTCCTTGTGCACACTCTTGGTTAGAGAGAGGCAACAGGAGGGTTTCTACAAAGCGCAATGATCAAAATGACAAAGTCAATAAAAGTACCTCCTATCTCCAGCTTAGAGTATCACTAGTTTCTAGGTTTTACGTCTACCACCAAGGGGAGATTGGTAGAGTGGACGGAAAAATGTTACGACTTTTTCACGTAACGACTCGATAAAAGACCCCTCTTGTGGAAGAGCAAGGTGTGATAACCAAGTAACCTCAATTTAAATGTTTGACTTCTAATTTGCAGACTGAAGACAATTTTGACTACTTCGTCAACTGCATCTATCACCCAACAGAAAAACAGTTGTACTTTGTTGGAGGCTCAAACAGGTGTGTTTGCCAGATTTTTATCTTCTTTACCCTAGTCACAGGAGTTTCAATAGAAGCCGTTTACCGGTGGTCCACCGCTGTCTGTTGAGCCGGCCCTCGTGGTTGGGTTTCGAGCCGTCTCGTGTACCATCGGCAGCCACTTATGGAAAAAAAAATTATTGTCAACCCTTTAGTTTGTGTTATATTTTTATGATGGACAATAAACAATACCCCGAGTATGTCAGGGGAAGAGTTGGTTTTCTCCTCTTAGTTGAGACTGTTTTAGACAGTCGCCTTTGATTTTCATGTTATGTCATCTTTGTTTCCGTTAGTGGCCGCCTTCACGTGTTTCATGTCAAAGATTCTGAGTTGGAGCCGGTTTGCCCTTTGATGGGAGGACACACTTCCACCGTCAGATGTCTTCAGTGGGATTTCAAAGTTAGTATTTACAAAAAAAACCGATGGTAAATTTCTTGCCATTCAAATGCACAAAATATTTTAAGGAATAAAGTTTTCCTCTCTCTCAAACGTCTGCCTCTACGCTAACTGCGTTACTGATCTCCCTCCTATCCTGAGTAGTAATATTGTTTCTTTTATTGTAAAATTTGTGAAAGCAGTGAAAGGCGGGAATAGCATTGATAAAATGGGATAGGGAGGAATGGATGTATCAACGAGAGTTCGAACCAATAATCTCCTGGTATTAAGCTTGACTCTCTTCGAAACTTGGAAGAAATTCGCGACAGCAAGGGTCAGTGAAAGCAAGACTATGAAATGTTTAGGGTGGGGCCGCCTCACCATGAAGGAGCAGCAATATGCGCCTTGTCCATTCGAGCTTTGACGTAGCGATATGCTCTAACTCTGCGAGCAAATTTTCCCAAGCAAAAACTTCATGTTGCTGTGCTTTTCAATCGTGACTTTGGGTTTCTTTTGTTTTCTCTTTTTCTTTTTCGATTTTAGTCTGAGACCCTTTTGACCGGAGGGGAAGATTCTATAATTTCCTGTTGGAGGTCTGCAAGGCCTCAGACGAGCGCGGCAGGCAAGGTGGGTAGATTATCGCGTTTCTCTTTCCTGATATGAAAAAAAGATGGATTACATCATATTAATTATATTGTGTTGGCCTAATTAGAGCAACAAGCATATGGTTACGGGAGGGAAAAGGGGCTCATTAAATGGTGGCTGGAAATTATGGAAATTTATACTTATAAAAGTCAAACAGGAAATAAAATAATGCGAGAAGACTTTGTTACTGAATATTTTATGTAAAGGTGTACCTTACGTAAAAAAACTTGCTACGTAACCGGCGAACTTGGGTCGCCAAATTTACAAATGTCGCCGTAAATTTAGTCGCCGTGGTTTGGAGCACTGGTTTCACACTCTCGCATTACTGTAAAGTTGGGCACGCCTTGAGTATTTCTTATATCGCCACGTATGTAACTTCCAGAAATTGGCATTTTGATATCTGCATATGAACGAAACACCTAGATTTATGTATGAAACAACTGGATTTATTTCGCTCAAGCGCGCGCGCCATAAATCCGAGCGGCAACAAACCAGATTCCGTAACTAGCAGCGCGGACTGGGGAAACGAGGTTTGTGGAATATATTTTTTATCTCTGGGTTCGACTAGAGGGGGGAGATTATAATTCAAACAAGGTTTTGAATTCAGCGGGCCGCACAGTGAACATGGCCCGCTAAAGTAGCCAATCATAGCGCTCGTACAAACCAAGAGATATAGTTACAGTATAGTAATAATTGATTATCATTAATATACCTTTCAGAGCAAAGTAGGTTGTCAAATAGTGGCATAAGTTAATCTTGATCTCTAATTACACATTTTAGTATATTTTACAGTATTCTTGTTGTATATATTTCAGTCTGCAGACTGGCCTTCGGGATTTGACACAATTAACATTACGTGTCCATTCCGATTAAAGGGTCTTTTTCTGTTTTATTGGCGACTGACATGTATATATCAAGTTTGAGAGCTCTCTTTGTTAGTCTAGCAATGAAACTCTCAATCCACATACTTCTTTGAAATCAATCTTGACGCTAAGCTTGGCAATTAGGAAGTCCTTACTCAAGCTAAGGGTCAAATAGGGGATTTTTACTATAATCTGTAGAGGAACGTTTGGAATATTTATAAAGTCCAGATTGCGGATTGAGGAAGGAGATTGACCCCGGAAACAGAGGCCAATAGTGATCTCAATCTGCTATTTTCCTAAGAAGTAATGCTTCAAGATTCGGCCAATATATCTCGACTTGCAAGTGCTAATCTGATGTTCCTTCCCACTTATATTGTGAATAACGATCTTTGAATTTTTGGATTTCCCTTTTGCTCTGTTTTATTAATCCGGAAAGTTTTAAAGCAATGAAGAAATTCCATTCTTGGAAAGGTTTTAGTTACGTCTAAGAGGTAAGAGGAACAGAATTTCTCAGTCGTGGTTTTCAATTCTCTAAATTACTTGGTAAAGTCTTCCCTTTCCTTGTATTAGATCCGATATATGCGCGCTATTTTTTAATTTTCAAGCATTAGGAAAATCTTATACAACTATCCTACTAATGCAGTTGAGCATTTACTTCCTAATGCTTTGACTTGTAAGGATTTGTTTCCTTGATAAATGGCAAAAAACTAGAGTCATGACTGAGCAAACTTTCCACCAGTTGACCCGCCAAATTACCGAATATGTTCCCTCGCGCGCGAACTAGTCTAATTCTGTCACGTGACACAGTTTGCACAAACTAAAACGGCGAAATATTTGTGTTATTACACTGGTGATATTCCTCGAGTTTGAAACCTGCCCAATAAAATATAAATCTTCGTTTAAAGTCAAATTCAAGATTGTTTTGCTTTTGTTACAAATGAGAAACAAACTTATTTCATTCGCTCTCAAAGAGCGGTTTGGTTATAAGAGCGGATGACATCAACGGACAAGTACCGGGCATATTTTCGTGCCAAATGGGGAACCTTTTTTTATAGCGTCATCCACCTAAACCTCCAAATCAATTGTTCCCATACCAACTTAAAAACGCCGCAAAAAGACACTTCACATGCTGAAGGCCGAACGGTTGTTGCACAGCAGTGCTCATCCTCAAGCAAAGTTGTGCTTTTCGATTCGCGTAAACTTTCCCCTCAGAGAACAAGTCTAAAAGTGGCACTATGATGAACTCGTGGATAAACTGTGCTGAGTCTAATTTGAATACACTTCTATTGTGCTGAAAACCAAGGGTCATTTTTTTTCATTTTGCCGGGTAAAATCAAAGGTTGCAAAATAAACCTGCTATTTAATTTCGATCCGACCAAAATTGGGAAATGTCAGTATTTTACATTTTGATCAATTTCGCGGTACGTATCCGACTTAAGTCCTTCCCAATTAATCGGCTCGCCATCTTCAGTAAGCTGCATGCTCTTCCTAGACTCGTAGGGCTTTTCTGATGAGACAAAATTTTGCATCTCCACATTACTCCTTCCAATGCTTTGCACATCCGCGACTAGAAAGGAAAACCGAAAGTTCAGTTCTCTCTCTTGCCGTGAACCTGAACCGCTTGTGCCTTAAATTATCGGCTGTCTCTATCCCCTTTGTTGTTGTCGTGTTCTTTTTAACTCTGTATTTAAAGGTACAATTACCACTTATACCGCTCGACGACCTGTTTATCACTAATTTATTTTTTTTCTTCCCCCACTGTTAAATTTTTGAAGGAAGATTGTGAGCGTGTTTACAACAAAGGTTTCAGTTTGTATTTGAACTATTATCAACCCATTATCGCTAGTAATACTGTTATTGTTGTACTGCGTCATCTCAAATTATTTTTTTATTCATTCCTCGATATGCCGGCTGATCGACAGACTTAGGCCTCCATTCGCTGCATGGTGATTCGAGAATTTCATTAAATGTAGTGTTTGGCATATTTTTCCCTGCTGCTTTGTCATCTTAACCTTGGCTTTCAAACAAATTCAAACTTAGCCCAAGGTCGTGCCAAATGATTTGAAATTGCATTAACTGATTATACATATTTTGCATAGATGCACTTACCGCTGCTTGTTTAAGAGTCAGATTTCACCAGTCTGGCTGTACAAACTTAACGACAAGCTCGAAGAAATGTTTAGATCTGTTAACACCGGAAGGAAACAATGTAAAGCACTTACAAGTCGAGTTTTATTTGACGTTTTTCCGTTACAGGCTGAATCAGGCATGAAGGACAAATTAAAAGTTCACGGAAACAAGCCTTACAACAAACCGGCCGGTGACGCACAAGAGACGTAACCGCGCGTGATCTGTTGGCAGCGCTCGACAGCGCTTCTGAAGCTGTAGAGGCAAATACCGTGTGGGAAGTCACATCACTTTAAGGAGGAAATACTTCGACACATTCTAAACTGCTGAGCACTAATGCGACTATTTCGAGTTTGTCGCTCGAAATCCGTTCCAATCTTCTCCGTACCTAAACATCGGCGTTCCTCTTTCACTCATTCTTACTTCTTTGGTGTTTATCTACACAAGCAAACGGCTTCTATTTAATATTTTAAAGTAACTTCCTTACGATAGTTTGATGTCAGTATTTTTTGCAACGTCAAAATTACCTTTTACTGATTGAAATAGGAAGAAATTCAAGTATAGTGACTAAATCGTTTAAATGAACTCTGAACCGAGTCTAGGAATCAATCAAAAGAGAATCACCATGGCTGAAGATGGAGAAGATTGAAAAAGATTGCAAATGACGAATTTGAGGAATTATAGATGAATATTTTTAAGATACCCAGGCCGCGACACAGCTCCCGTAAGGTTTTAATTTATTTAAGGGCACCTGTCCAAGACGCCAGTACGACACGAAATTTTCCGCGATCGTTGATAATGTACGCCTTGGAAGGCAACTTTTACACGTTTTTTTTAGCATCACTCAGTTTATTTTAGGACCCCAGATGTAAGAATTCATGGTTGCATGTTAGCAGCCGAAAACGGCTAACGGTGTGCGTGGGTAACCCGGCGAGAGTGACGCAACAGAGTCACGATAGCGTGTGGAAAGATAGAATGACCACCCAGAACTATTCAGACACTTCTGGCACATACCGGCGAGGACTAAAACTGAGAGAGACAGTTTTGATAAGCTTGCCAGCAGCGCCCCCCTAGAATTAAGTTATTATTTTTGTTATTATCATTTCCACGTGCCGCTATTTACGTCACTCAGGCATCACGTTCACTTCGGCAGCTCATAGTAAGCCCCCTTATAAGTTGGCATCAACTACTCCTTCTCCAGAGCTCTTCAATCCATAGGAGTAAGTAGCATCCATACTATTACTAGTGACTAAAACATGTAGATCACAAGGATAAAGGAAGTCATAAAATATGAAGGAGCTCTTGATTGTTAAAAAAATTTCCTATGTTACTACCCAGGAAATGTAGAGAATGTGCATACTGATAGTAGGATGTAAAAGGAACGACTCCTCTTTACACACTGTCGCCATGATGATTCGAGTATGGTAACTTTCTATTGTGTCACTAGGTAACTCGAACTGAGAGGCATGCGATTTTGTCTGAAAGCACTAGTACGATTTCAAATCGAAATTACATGACACGAAATTATACTGTTTTTTTTATATATCCATTTTATAATTGTCCTTCATCGTTATTCGGAATCGATCATCAAATCCGTTTATTGACAAAAGGTGCAAGCAACACTTCTCAAATTGATCGACTATGAGTGTAACAGGCTTCGAAATCTGATTGTTTCAGTAAAAGATGCAATTAGAACAAGAAATAGTGCGATTCGTAAATAAATCGCACTGCTATGAGTCAATCAGATTGCACGATAAACCAGTAATTTCATTATGGACTTACATGCATGTATATGAATGTAAAAAGTTCGAGCGTTAAGGTTATGACCAAATGCTTCAGCTGTAATTTCTGTACGGTTCACACGTTCATAGGTAATCGCAAACTTTCTCTTAAGATATTTTACTAAGGAGGACGTTTTACACTTAATTACTGTTACGAATGAAATGACTAATTTGTAAATAAAGTTGACAAATTTATGATGTCATCAAGCTGTCTTCAGTTTTTAAAATGTAATCATAAAAAGTTGTAAACCCCGCGCACTACTGAGTAAGGGGGGACAGTGCATGGTCTGGGAAAGAACTCTTGTACGTAGAGAGTCGAAGTTCAGAATGAATCGAGTAGAAGTGGGAGATATGGGAAACCTTCGTGTCGTAAGAAGGATACCTCAACATCCGTTTTAAGAAACAACTAACCACAGTAAAGAGGTGTATTCCTACTTCTCGTTTAACCTCTATAGTCCTAGCCACGCACACATGCATGAAAAATTACTCGCTCCAAAACTTTTACACGTATCTGCTGATCTAAGTGCAGATCTAAAATTACCACATTTGAAAGTTCTACCAAATTGTAAGCATTTTCCCCTGCACATTTGTAAGTCGCCACTAGGCGTGACTTTTATAAAGAACTGAACAGTACTTCAACTATCACACGTATAAAAAAATAACAAAATTTTCAATTCCTTTTCATCATTGTTACTAGCTCACGGGACCGTCTTCGTCCTTGGTATAATCTTAGATATGAACGTAAGATCGCACGAAAGTATAGGGTTCCATATTTGAACTATAACAGCAAACAACATAGCTTTTCATATACGTCAGAAAATAACGGTAACAGGAACTGGCCAATCATAGGTGGATCCCTGCTCTTGGACTGGTGAAACTTTGCATTCTAGAACGAGTTCGGAATAAGTCGTTGAATTTACGAAATATCGCATAACAAGATTAAATTTTGGCGGCAAATCATCAAAATTATCGCTACTGCTGCTACTACCAAGAGTAGTCTTACTTCCACTAAGGCTACAACCGCCACTATTGCTATTTCTCCTGTCGTTCTAATTTCAATTTTTTCTGTTATCGCTTCATCTTAAGGAGCGTTACGCTTTGCTGTGTGATTTGCTGGTTTTCACAGCTGTGATTGCGCGCATATCCGAGATGTGCTCTCCCACAGCTCCTTTTTATCGTGAGCACCCAAGCTTCTGGAATTTCTATTCCACTGTGTCCATGTTGAAGAAGCGGGGGTGAAGTCTTTTACGAAAGTGTGTGTAACAGCGGGATCACGATCATTAAACGTTCCAGTGCGGGGCAGTAATTTATGAATACCCTTTTTAACGCCAAGAAAAGCATTTTTCAAATATTTTGAAAGCGAAATTCTATTGGAAAAAGTGCCATCTAAGTACTCATAATATTATTATCATAATTTAAAAAAAAACAGTAGATTGAATGAGACAATGGACAAAGGTTCCCAACCGAGCGGGAAAACGCGAATGGCGATTGCTTGCTTCAGATCAGAGTTTCGATTCTCTACAGAAATCGAGTAGGTAACTCTCAAATCGCAAAAATATAAATTTTTGATAAAAACAGTTTTTCTATTTGAAACAACACGAAGCATCGCTGACGCCGACAGTTATTGTTGCATAAGCAGTGGTATAATAGTTGCCAAACCCACCCCTGAGAACACCACAACATGACGCACGCCTTCCATTTCCGGTGCCAAACCACTTTTAAAAATCCTTCGTTTCATTTTCCACCGGAATGATAACAATAATTATAAACTTCCGACCTTACCGGTGTACGCCTCGAGCAAGAAAACTAAGCCACCTACAATTTTCTCCTTTACTGATTTCACTCCATTGAAAGGCGTCAATGAGATCGATCGAGGAAACAGATAAAAACTTAAGAAAAACAGCCATACAGTCAAATCCCTTTTAGCGACATAGTAATTCTAACGAAATTAAAATCAAGGATTGGTGCCTTCTTTAGAAAAATAATTTTTGTCACGTTTTGGGAAGAACAACAAGGTGGCAAGTTATTTTTACTGAGGAGGAAAAAAAAGAAGGATTCAAGCAACATCTTGACTGAATGCCAAAAACAGTTCAAAGCACGTCCAAATATGACAGGTTTTAGAAACGGATGCCGAATTCGACAACCTTTCATATTCAAGAATGACCTTCCACGCAGAAATCTGCCAACAATATTTCCTACCCGTCTGGCGACAACTGTCGGGCCACAAACGGATCCTTCCACTTAGTACATAGATTCAATTATTAAAGACTGAAAATAGCTGGCGTCGTAACTTCTATCAGACTATGAAGAGTTGTAAACCTTCTATTTAGTCGACTAAACAATTGAAAAGAGAGGTTTTCTGTGGCAATGAAGTTGTTTCTCAAGAGTGAAATAGGATTCAATTGGGAAACAAGACTGCAGATTAAAATACTACGAGTGAACTTTGAGTTCATGCCTTAAATCCGAAAAAACAAAAAAAACAAAAAAAACAAAGAAAAGAAAAAAACAAAACAAAACAAACCATACCATAACATTTCGGTTCTTGCTTTAGCTTACATTTTTATGCCGGACCAACCTTATGGGCCAACCTAGAGTGCAAAGTGCAAACAAAAAAAAATGGATTTCATTGTTTTGTTTTTTGCTTTTTTTCAATTTTTTAATTACGACGGAAAAGGTAAAGCATAACTTTCTAATAAGAAAACACTGTGTAACAAGAAGTTTCCAATACTTCCAGCAGGGACAGATTCGTAAACCATACATGGCTTATACCACACACTGAAACTAAAAGACCAATGACTGAGTACAAAGGGAGAGTCGAGACTGGCGCTTCATTATCATGTAAACTCTTCGATTCATTATTGAAAAAAAAAAGTTAAAAAAATTGTTCTAGATGGACAGCTGCTGAGTGCATGAAATACCTGCGCGTACAGTGCTCACAATGAAATAAGCCTACGCGATGTTTTTTTACAATTATCACTACGAAACTCACCTTCTGCGAGCCAGACATTAGGGAAAATCACCCAATTTACGCGAAATATAGTACACGGAAGAGGGTACTTGCTGACATCGACCGATTGCGTCGTTGACTTTCTTGGCAAAAGTTACAATGATTCAATCCATCGAAGTCGATCTTAAAAGGTGTGTTTCCGAGCGATCGCGCAGTCGACTTTCTTTACAAAAGGTGGAATCCCTCCAAGTCGACCATAAAAGGCGTGTTTCACTGAATCGAAAACGTAAAAATTTGCGCGCCGAAAATGCCTCAGTAAAAATACAGTACACGCAAAACCAGCGTCTAACGTTATTCAAGGTAAATGAGTTTTGTACTGTGTTCGGAAACCTTCATTTTTAAATTTATTTACTAGACATAAATGCCTCTTCTTAGAATACGGACGGGCCTATACCGTGAGAACTTAGGAGCCGATGAAGGATCGATGGCAAAAAAAGGAATATTGTAATGAAACAATACTGAATTGCTGATCAGAGTGACCTCACTATAAAATAAATATCAATGAAACATTCATCTGTTCATGTTGACCTTAAATGGATAAATTGTTGCAGCATCAGGGGAAGAAAATAAACCAAATTTCCCCGGGAAAAGAGTTGAAAAATATTTTCAATTGACATTAATGTTGTGCTACGGAAGTACTTGAGTTAGAAATGCATGCTAAGAAAACAAGCGTCGGCTAGATAACCAACAGGTAACAGTGCGGGTTTTTTGTCTTTCATTTTCATTCTTCTATGCAAACTGACATCACGATCCATTTACGCATACTTTTGAGTCAATGTCATTTTGTTTTAAAACTTTTTTTATATGTACCTGGATCGCGTCCACAATTCAAAGTAGCAATACGAAAAGAATGTGGATATCTGCTAGTTTTGATCGGTGCTCAACCGGACACGTCAGTTCATATAACGCGCGATAACACATCTTGGTATCCGATTAAAAACAGGGGCCACCTCCTAGCGACCTCTCGGCCACAATTCCCTACTATCCTTGCCAACTACGAATGTCTGACTATTGCATTACCACTTAAATTCGAACACAAAACTGTAAAGCTGAATAATGCAGACATAAACCTTATAAACCTTCGGCGGTAAAAGAAGTTTTAAAGGAAAAAATGGGTTGAAAGTCATTTCGTGCAGAAAGCCTGAGAATGCAAGCTACGAAAACGATAGCCGAATAACATCTAACCTTTTATGTATTTAGATTAATAAGTTCCGGTGACATTTGGAATTTGTTTTACAAAAATAGCATACGGGGAGGGAGAGAGGCTTCATTGTGAATTAACCGAATATATTTTCAATGATTGTGTTCTGCGACCCCTCGTGTGGGAACTCACTCCGCCATGCTCTTGTGGTCCACTTCTGCATAAGAAAAGCAAAACTTACCTTACTCGTCAAAACTGAAGTATTTCTGTTCTCGACAACAAGCCGGCAACTTTATTTTGGCGGAAGCTCCGTGTGGAATCAAATCCTAAGCATGTAAACAAAACTTGTAGGCGGGTTACCGCATATAAACAGATAAACTACATTTACACGAAAATACAGGTGGATATTCAGAAGTTATTAGTAATAAGAATCTTCCCCTCGATAGCTAACTCACAAAAGATGGAGTTTCACATGGGACTAAGAGTCTGCTGTCCGTTTGAAATAATAATTGTTGAATTCTTCTAGGTCTTTGAACCTCAGTTCGACAATATGCATACGCGTAGGTGCTTGTACTTCGTACATTGAAGAGTTCAAAAATTACTTTACTTACAAGAAGTTTCCTGTTCGAGTGCATGTTAAAGACAAGTCCATCCGGCGTATTCGCTTATTTTTCAAAACAAATCTGTCAAACCTTTAAGAGAACACCAACGTCACCCCGGTCAGTTTTACGCAAACCGTGGTCGAAGGACTGAGGCGCTCGCGCGGATCGTTCAGTCGCGTGGAAGTTGCGCGTTCATTCGCGTTGCAGAGGAGAGGTGGAGAAGCTGGTTCGCGCGAAAAATGATCCGATCTTTATAGGGTGGAACTGACTTTACTAAGTCCCTCAGGAGCTGGTTACCTTCCAAGAACAGCAAACAAGTGTCTCAAATTCTTAGGGTCGCGGTCCAAATATGTATGAAAAAGCTGGAAAAACCACCGGAAGCATTCCACAGGCTGAACGACCTAGAAAGCAGAGCATCAGGAATTACCGCAATCGTTCAGATCCAAAACTGATGCTAACGCTCTTCAAAACTAACAAGAAAAAGTTTTTGAATCCTTAGAGTTCTTAGAAAGATTCAAAAATTTCTTTACCCTAAAACTGCAACAAAAAGAGCCAGCCAAAAATAATAGATTTTACTCAAATCAAATGCCCGCAGTCGTGCTGATTACACGCCGTATTTCTAAACGTGAAATGCAACTTTTGGTTAAATATTTTGAAAACTTACAGGAAGTATTCCCAGTGCATTTTGAGTATTACAAGACTGAGTTGTTGTATCTACAGTCCGGAACCTCCTCCGAGAACACTCGAAGAGCGCCTGATAACCGGTTACATAAGGTTAACTTAACGTTGCATAACGGTTCAAAGTCCGCCATTCGATAGTTCCCCTTGTTCGTTACTGAAAGTCAAATCACTATTCTCATTCTGAGAGTGGAACTAAAAAGAGAAACTCGGCGTACTCAAAATGTCCGCTATAATGTTACATTCTCCTAAATATACATCGTTTAATTCTTCTACTTCTCCTTTCCTGAAGTGCACTTCATCCTCCCAAAAAACTTGGCAAGAGGAACTAACACTATTTTATCTTACTTTTCTCAATTTCTTTCATCCGTCATTAAAATAAATTCAAAACTTTGGACTTCATTTTAAAGATGGATAAAAGAAAAATTGATTTTTAAGACGAAAGTTACGTTGACTGTACAAGAGAACCTGCATAGAGAAGCTGTGCGGCCCACTGAAACATTTGAAAACTTCTTCACTTACAGATGTGGTCAAGTTTCTATGTTACTATGCAGGTTTTATCTAGACTATTCTGACTAAGCTTAAGGCAAATAGATGTTGAATTTGAGCGAGGAACGGGCCACAATATGTAGTTTCAAAATAGGAATTTGAAAATGTCGCTCAATTCAATCTCTTTCAAATATATTGAATATTCTTGCATGGAAAAAGAAATCCATCGAGCGCACAAAATGTCTTTCTAAAAAAATCTTTAATTTCCATAACATCACATATGCAATTAACTCCACGATTATTTGTTCTACAAGAAAGAGTAATTTGTTTTCCTAGCCTAAGAATTGATTGGAATTTTTAGCGAGCAATATTATATGTTAAGTGGGGCATTGGGTAAAAGGGAAGTTTAAATCATCACAGCACTCCTAGGACAGTTAACATCTAAGTTCCAAAGTTCTACGAAGGCCGACAGCATGTCTATTAAAACATTTTTAATCAGGAAATCAGAGCATTTGTAAATAGAATACGGATGTTACCTTCGCACAAGAGACAAAACAAACATCTGTCAGGGTAACATACTCACGGTTAGAAAACGAAATGCAAACAGACGGACGGATGACAACAAAAACGTGGAAAAACGCGGTAAAAACAAGAGACGCGGAGCTCAGCCGTCGAGGACCTCAAGGCCGGGACGGCAGTACAGTGATCAGGTTAGTGTCAACTTCTGATCGAGTAACAAGATCGATGTGCTCGTGAATCGAAACTGAAGCGAGCATGGACTAAACTTCGTTCTGCATCGATTAATGACTCTTCATTGACGGCTGAAATGCCCGGTTAATTATGTCTGAACTTGGTGTGAGGTCTGCGTAAGGGCAGTTTTGACAAGCTTTAACTTGGTTCAGTTTTTAGGGGTCAGTGTTTGAATAAGGATTTTGAAAGTCTGATTGGTTTCCATGGACTCCCGGGGGAATTGATTGGATTTGATTGACAAATATTAAACGAATTTAGATACTGTACTGTAAAATGATTGGCCTCTCTACGGGTTCGCTCCCTCCTGATTGGCCCCGCGCGTTGTCCGCGCGCGATTCGCGGAGCTATCGGTATGCAGTGACGCATGACATGTTTCCACACTGCACTGGATAAACAGAGCGAGACCTGCCGTGAGGTGCCGTGGGTTTAAGAGTAGTCGTTCGTCCTCATCCTTGATTGCGTTTATTCTCACCAGTGTTATGTGTGATGCGTCGCAGAAGTGCGCTGTTATTAGACCGAAGAACTTTGCAGTTTAATCATGGGTTGCAACCACAGCAAGAAGCTCGATGATGAAGACTGTGTCAAGACGAGCAAGCTGAACGAAGCATCACGTGAAGTGGGGTGCAAAGAATTAGTCAACAATGAAAAGGGGAAAAACTCTGAGAAAAAGCCAAAGAGAGGACGTGTCCTTGAAGGAAAGCTTAGCTTTGATGCTGTTGTCACGGAGAAATATGAGATCAAAGCGCTCATAGGAAGAGGTTCATTTAGTAGAGTCGTCCGTGTTGAACATAAGGAAACAAAACAACCTTACGCGATCAAAATGATAAAGGTTCGTGGTGGTAAAGACAGCTTCGAGTCCGAAGTTGCTGTTCTAAGAAAGGTGAAGCACGATTACATTGTTCAACTGTATGAAGTTTTTGAGTGTCCAGAGAGGATCTATCTGGTTATGGAGCTCGCAACAGGCGGTGAACTCTTGGATCGCATCGTTTGTCGGGGATCTTTTACAGAACACGATGCTACTCGAGTCCTTATTATGGTACTAGAGGGAGTTAGTTATTTACACTCTCTTGGAATAACTCATCGTGATTTGAAGCCGGAAAATTTATTGTACTATCACCCTGGAAACGATTCCAAAATCATGATTACCGACTTCGGATTTTCGAGCGCTTTTCAAAACTCCGACAGCGCGACAATGGATACAATTTGCGGAACACCGGAGTACATTGCACCAGAAATACTCAAGAGGCAACCGTATACAAATGCAGTAGACATGTGGGCTATCGGGGTTATCACGCACATTCTTTTGAGCGGAGAAATGCCATTTTCAGACGAGAATCGTACGAGGATGTATCATGCAATTTTGAAGGCAAAGTATTCGTATATCAGTGAGGTGAGTAGGCTTGTGTACATACATGCATGATAGCGCTTTGTTGATTGATTTTAGTGGTTTGTTGATCGCTCTCGATTTCTCCTGATGTGTTATGGTAATCAGGTTAAGCGTTTTCGCCGGTAACTAAGTTGTTCGGTTTTACGGAAACTCTTTACAATAGTAAGGATAACACTGTGAGAAAATTCGTGTTTGTAACCTGCCCTACAATGAAACGGTAACTCGATGTAGCGGTATCAGTTACGATCGATTTTCTCTGGCAAGGTTTCAAAGATCTTTTGTCCTCTGACAGGGTTTTCTTGTTCGGATATTGTAATCCGTGTATTAGCGTAAGCAGAAATCATCTTGTGACGATTGTTACCGTAGTTATTCTTTGAAAAGCTCTTATTATAAAGTAATTCTGGACAAACTTAGCGCGTTCGTGCGTCAAATGCTATACCAAGTTATCTTCTTTGTTCTTACACAATGCAAATTCGCTTGCCGCGATCTGTAGGACAGTGACCTCTATAATTAGCTTTCTTTGAATAGAATCACCTTCAGCGCATAATTGTTTTATTGAAAAGGAAAAAAAAACAAATTATCTTCTAAACTTTATTTTGTTCAATTTTGTGTTTGAAATCAAGCGGAAAAGAGATCTATTGTCTGTGCGCTTGGTGCGAAGAACAATTGTTTCTTGGGTCTGGAACGTTCGGTTTCTTTGTTGAATGTAATAACTGTTTCTTTAGAGGCTCGATCGAGGGCAACAGAGATGATTTCCTGTAGTTATAAAAATGTTACGAGCAACTTGGTAATAAGAGATGCCGGCACTCGTGCTTGATTTAAACTCTCGGAAATGTTCCTGACATCGAAACGTGAAACAGAACGTTATACTGTATTTCCTGTGATTATGCAAGTTATTTGGTTTCGCTGCCAGCCTTCAATCGTAAAGCAACCGCAGCTCCATAGTTAAGGCATTGTTCACCTGTTGCGAATCTGCCTTTCTCTTTTCCGTGCAGGTCGCTGAATAGGGCGTTTGGGGTGGCCTTCATGATCCCTAAACATTCCGGTCATTTTGCGGCGAACCCTACGCTTGTTTGCGGTCTGGTGCTATCGTCAGAAACATTCGCTCGAATACGGAACACTGTTTACATTTCAGCTATTCGAGACCATTTTGTTGTTATTTATCGTAACATTTAGACCATTTGTGCAAGGTTTTCAAGCTAAAAGCTATGTCATGTAATGTGCTTCATAATATAACCAAATTTAAGGGATTTCCCGGTATTAGGCAACGTGTAGTGTAAAGTCCGTTTGTTATATCTAAATCGTATTAGGATCAATAACTTCAGGTACGAAATCTTTCAAAATGATAGATGGGAGATAGCATTTTGTTAGTATACATTTGTTCTGGAAAAATTAGATTACATTATTCAAATTAAACCTCCCACCTCAGAATCATCCAACAGTGGATTTTAATTCACATTCGTCCTACTAATGTGTTGCGAACACGTCTGAAACCAGGTAATTGGCCCAATAACAAGACCTATATTTAGCAACAAATATTGTTTAACTCACTAATAGGCATTCAGTGGATGTATATCAATAAAGTATCTGGACACTTAACACACAAATTAAATTAAGTGGACTCACTAAACATATATTCATAATTATTTTCCCAATGGAAACCAATTCTTAAGTAAAAACATGTGAGATCTGAGTCTTCAACAAGGACCCACTGAAATAAATTCCTAAAAATCCAGTGCCTTAATTCCAAGAATACTAAGGTTAGTTTCTGTGATTCTTCATAAAGATGCACCCCTTACAAAGCATGCATGTGGACTCACCATTTCCTTATAACTCAGAGACGTCTTTTTGGGGAGGTTATTACGAGGTCAAACAACATCCAAACTCTCTGAAAAAATATTGCCCTTCTATTCCAAAGTAAATTTGACTTGTTACCTCTTTGAACTACCTTTTATCATGGGTTGAACCCAAAGGATGCCAAGTATTTCAGCCATCAAATCTGCAAAAGAATCTGCAGGTGTGTAAACAAAGATATGAAAGTATTTAGGGAGCATATCCTTTCTCTAAATATTCATGATCACTATATTCAACTTCATAACTAAACATGCGACTTAAGAAAGGCGCAATTCAATCTATTCATATGAAAATACATAACATTGGAAACTCAGGGTAATGCACTCTTGGGCATTTCATGAGAAACTGTGACAAGCATCCAAACTCAGCGGTGCGCAACTTGTCAAACAAACATTTAACTAAAATGATGATAACAAAAGAGGGCCAAGGCTATTTTTATGTGTTGTAAAAATCACGGACATTTGCAGATTTCAGTGTTCCCCAACCATTCCAGGTTCTGCGCATATAAGGGAAATTTCCAGAAGGCATCATCGGAGATTCAACTGATATTGAATTTGGTGGGAGTGTAGCCAAGAAATTGAGGATTGGTTGTAAGCCAAAACTATCACCTATATCCTTGACATATATCTTGCTTGAATGATCTTGGAGCATCTAGGATATGATCAGCTTTTAGAAATGCTCCTTATTTCTCTATTTCTCTATTTGTCGCAATCAATCCTTAAGGACTGCAGATGCTTCTCATTTTGCATTTTTGTTAGTTAGCTAGCGCTTGCTATTGGGAGACAATGGAAAACTAGTCATCAAAGAATTAAGGTTTAACATGTTAACATTTCATCTTCAAGTTTGCGACAAAGAAAACTGCTAGTTAATATTTCCTTTGAGATCAATTTATTGTTAAGAGTTTCTTACAATAGAGTGCTTGGCTGTGTAAAAATACAGAGTAATTATCCATGTATCACCTGTCACATGTTCTTTGCCTTTTACTATTGGTCTAATATGAATGAGTATGGTTTTAGGAGAAATTGATCTGAAAATGTATAGCACAGCAGAGGGGCTTTTCAGTGTTTTCCACTAAGATTCTTAAAGAGTGTTTCATTGGTAAGGTCAATTGAACAGGTAACAGTTATATTATTTTGACACAACCACACTAATCAAATATCTAAACTGTGTTTAAGAAAGAAAGGAAATAAGGACTGTTTCATAATTGAATGACACGTGAGAGTGGCTGTGTGGTCAAAGTACAAATCAGTAAGCTAAGCACAGTAGATTTCCTAACCCCTTAAGAACTGATCACAATGTCTGTGATATATTATAAAGTTTTTAATGAATAAATGCAAACCAACCTGTAGTGAGTTGATATAATGCAAGCCACAAGGGCAAACCAAAACCACAATAAAATATCGTAAGTATTGTAAAGAATTTTCTTTACATTTTGAAGTGGGTGGATGTTACTGAATGTTAGAACAGTATTGTGTTTCAAGTCTTAATTTTTAGATAATACACGTTAGATGATATTTGAGCACAAACTGCTCTAAAATTGTCGTCAGAATTAAATGAAGTATGATTTTGGTCTAATTTTGAGTTGCAAGACTGAAAAACCTCTGCTTTGTGATGTTTATTTTTGAATTCTAAATAAGATTAGGAAAATTGCATCAAGAAAGGAACTTAAAAAATCATGAAACTTATATATTTGTCATATGGAAGGAATCATTACCAGCAATAAAATTTATACAGTTGTAACACACCCAGTATATGTGAAAACCTTAAGTCCCTTGAGGTATGTTGCTAAATAAAAATTTGAAATATGTTGTATCTGTCCATGATCAGGAGGTTATAGACATGAGGTGTCTTCATGCCAATGATAGATTGAGGCCATGAGACCAATGCTCTCTGAAATGTTTATCCAGTTCACGTGATTATCATTTTTAACTTGGTAAAAACAGTAAGGGGCTGAAATTTTTGAACACACCTCTAAAAGAATAAATACACATAGGCATTAAGCCTGGAAATCTTATTCATGGTCTTTGTCACCATATAGTGGTATTAAGCACTGCATCTTATTGAATAATCCAATTTTAGCATTACATACAGGTAAATTTTGTTCAGATCATGCAAAGTTTTCTCCAAAATGAAACTGCTACAGTTCTAAGAATGATATACATGTGTGAACAGGTTGATAGTATTTTTTTCCTCAAAGATTGTTGTCTAGAGGCAGTGCACAAGGAGATTTTACAAACTCAAATGCTAGGGCTAATGCTTCCTGGGTCAAAGATGATATAGTGACATTGTAAATCAAGAAAGTGTGACGGCAAATTTTCCAGAAACATAACTCTTATCTTGTTTGGTGAGTGTTCCAGCTTGGAAATCTATTTGCCTCACAGCAACATTCTTATCATTCTCAACCAAACTGTGAAAGGGCTAGGCAATGGAACTTGAAGCTGTTCAAACAAAATTTACTCAAGTTCCACCATTCTGATGGCAATGCTATTCACAGACATATTAACAAAAAATAGATGGTTATTACTCCATCCTTTACCAACAGTTTTGATGTCTTACACTGGTAATTTTTTATGTTTTTTTGTTTTTGCATGTCACCCAGCTCCTTCAACTCTAACACTCATTTAGTTTTACTTGCAATGTTTTCTAGCCACAAGTATATTTTCTATGTTTACAGCTTGACTAATCTTGTCATCAAATATTTTACTCATTTACAAGTTGTGAGGTCAGTCCCCCCCCCCTTATCTACAAATGGTACATACATGAAGATTTGTCAGAAATTTAGTAATAAATCCTCCATTCACATTGGCAAATTAACAGCTTTTACGACCTAATAAGTATTCTCTTTTTTTTAACCAAATATAATAAAATTTGTACTAAGCAGACACCAGCCAGTCCTGCCTTCGTCCTCTGCCATATTTTCTGTAAATAAACTAGCCATGAGAAAAAGTGCACACTAAAATTGATCCCTTTTCCTGCCACCTGTGTTAAGCAGACACTGCTATAGGTAGGGCTAAAGATTTTATCTTTGTTGCAATTGCAGTTTCAGTTTATGTTCATGTCACGTTACTTAAATTGTTTACAGTGCACTGGAGCCTGTTGTGTCAACAAGGCGTGCTAAACCAAAAACTTAGATAAGGGAAACACAAACTTACTTACTCTTCTCCAACCATGTTTGCATCAAATTCATGATAGCAATCCATAAAATCAGATTGTACACAAAGAAGAAAGTGGGCACCAAACAAGTTATTTAATGAAGTATTCAAAATGTATGTGTAATGCTATAATGGATAAGTTGCCAAGTGATCATGGAACAACAATTGGAACCTGCATTGAGCAGACACTAGCAAGTCCCACAATTGTCTACTTAATACAGTTCTCAACAGGGTAATATCTTGGAGTAAGGTATATGATTGAAAGTGGTTTTGGACATTGACATTTCTGTGTGTATTTACATTAACCTTTGGGGTGTTTTACCGCATTTGATTTAAAAAAAAATGATCGTATTTTTCTAGGTATGAAAATTACAAACTATGGAAACTGTTCTGTAACAATTTTTCAACAAGATTAGTTCTGAACATAAATTTCAAGGCAATTTCCCAGACAAATAAGTAGACATGAAACAGGGTTGCCCCTCTGTGTAAAAAAAAAAAGAAAAAAAAAAAAGTGAGGGAGGTAGAGTCTTGTGAACCTACTTTCTAGTGACATTACCTGCTAAATCTCAAGAATGTCACTTTTGCTTTTACCTGAGCATGGAATGTCTGAGAGTTAAGACAGTTCAAGCAATTACATTAGTTTACTTAACCCCTTAACTCCCAGGATCTCATTGTTAATTCTAATCCTCTACCTGCTACACACCTCCTCATAAATTAGTCATGAGAACTTGTTGTTAGATCAAGGTAACAACTACTACCTGATTAGTTTGAATATTCTCATTACCTGTTTGCTAGATAATGTAATGATTATGGGAAGAAGTTTCATGTTGATCACTTCAGGGAGATAAAGCGTTAAGGATTAGAACGCCTTTTAGACATATCAAACTGAGGTCATAAGAACTCGAAATACATCTGTTTTGGGAGCTAAAAAACGCAAGACTAGCATTAAACAGTTAAAAGATACTGGCTGACACAGAGGTGGTCATTTACTCAACCCCAAAGGGATGAGGTTAATAAACATCACTTTCACCAACACTGAGTTTTAAATTTTTGTCATGTTTAAAGCACAAAAGCTGAATAATTAGCAAATGAAAGATTCCCTTTATTGGTGACAACATGCTGATGTACAAGCTGAAATCAAACAAAGTTTAGTTCTGAAGATGAACAATTTCATGTGTTCTGTTTGACCAGCACAGTTTTATTGGTTAGCTTAACCTACAATCTCCATATTCTTAAAAGCAGGAGATCAAGGCTTTGTTTTGAATAAGAAAATTATCCACACAATTCCTGTCATTTTATGACAATGATATTGTGGAACACTTGCTAAATTTGCATTTCTGAAAAAATGACTATTTCTTACACTGAGAATTGGTTTATATTTATTTTCTGGAGAGAAAGTCATTGCTTAATTCCAAGAAAATGAAAAAATAATAGGTTATCCTGTTCATTTGCAACAGAATGACAATTTACCTCTCTGGTGAGCTCTGCTCTAAGAGAAAAAACTGCAATTTCTCAAAGTGCACAAACTTGTTATGTGTGAAATTACGCACAATAAGGATGTGCAAGCAATACTACAGAATGCCCTTCAATAAACTGAGATGAGTTCTGGCCTTAGGTTGTGTTCATAATCTTAAATGTAGGTAGTCTAAGAAGTGGTCAACCTGCAATCAATGAAATGACTTGCTATTTTTCTATCTTAGGCATGGAAGGATGTATCAGAACAAGCGAAGAACTTTATTGACAAGTTACTGGTAGTAGATCCTTGTAAACGGATGACTGCTGAACAAGCTCTTAGAGATCCATGGATTGCACTTAGTGTTGCTTCCTCAAATTTGAAAGACCTTCATCGTTCCTTCAGCCAAAATTGGTTGAAAAGTAGCTCTCGGCTTAACAGTGCTAAATCAAATGCTTCTCAGAACTGGGTGAAAAATGGCTCTCGATTGAGCAGTGCAAATTCAAATGCATCTCAAAATTCTACCAGATCTTTGCGGTCAGGTAGATCCAAACGGAAAAATAGCTCCACAGTTCCACAGGAGACAACTGTACAAAGTGAAGAGATCAAACAAAGTGGAACCAAATCGAAAGATTTGAGGGATTCAAATGTTAAGCTAACAAAGCATTCTGTAATTAATGAGGATGACAGAGAATTTTTTAACAGTACTAATACAGAGCACGAAGGTGAAGTTGCAGTTCTAAAAGTAACTACAGAATGGGATAACAACTGGCAACATGGCGTGAGACAAGGTCCTGATTTCAATGGTCAAACTATTGATTCAACTTGGAAAGTGCAAAGCATGGCAGATGATTCAAATGAGGAAATACAGACAAAGCCAATTCCCATTGTGAGAAATGGAGCACAGCTGTCACATTTAGTATTGAGAGATAATTTCTTTGAAGAGCAAACTGCTCAAGAGACATCCCAAAACTGGTTCCAGGATAGCATACGTAGAACTTCTTATGCAGGAGAATCTCTAAGCAAATTTCACTCATTGTCTCCATCAAGGAAAAACAAAGTATTTTGCACCTATGATAGCAGTTAATTACCGTACATATTTTTTCAGACAAATTTTATACTCAAAAGATTTCACTCAATGAATTTTATAAGAAACATAGTATTTTGCACTTGTGAAGTGCAAGTTGCTCCATTCATGGAAATTGTTTACAGTTAATTTAGTCTTATTTCAAGATTGCCCTCAATTATCATGATATCATCTTCAGTCATCACCAAGCAAAATTCTAACATTTGGGTTATGGCAACATTATTTTCCATTTCCAAGCTTCTTTTGCATACCTTATTTAAGATCCCAGGACAAGTGGATTTTTTTGAGGGTATCAACATCTCCATTCCACTTTGTGTGTTTGCATCATGTTACATGTACCTCAGTCTTCCGTTAACCCATAGATGAAACAAAATAATAAATCACTTAAAATAGTGATTGATAAAATTTTATAATTGCATTTAAATGTATATCAAAAATTTTATGAAGGTTGTGTCTTGTGTCCAGGTCTCTGAAGAATATAATATATACAAGTATAGTTACTGAAATTACCAAGCTGCATGATGGAAAAAATCTTTGTACTGTCACCAATTCACTTTCTTTCAATGATCTGCCTCATATTCTCTGGTCTGTCATCAGTTGTTACAAGCCATTCCCAAACTTTCCCTAAAGAGTTAATAACAATTGATAGATTACAGTTTCCAGTAAAGCTTGATGGGGTATTATTATTATTATTTTAGGTAAAAAGACTAGAAATTGCCTCATCTATGGAAATCATTTTTAACTTTTAAAAAGTCATCCTAATAATTTATGGAAGTTGTCAAATGAAGTAGTGTAGGTCCCAGTACTGTATTCCTAGACAATTTCACAGCTCAGTGATAATCCCAGTATTGCAGCCAAAATGAATTTTAGTCTTCCTTGGGTAATTAAGACCTGGACACATTTATTGACTTTGAAAGTAATAAGATATATTTTCTTATCAGAAACTTTATACATATTTTTACTTTTATATATTGATCTATTGTAAATGCGAATTTCATATATCCTGGTTTAAGGACACACTATAAATATCACTAAGTATGCAACTATGACCAAATAAAATGTAGAAGATTTCAAGATTTCTGGAAATTGTGAAATCAGAATTACCTCAAATTTAATATAATGTCAAAGCTGGAGATGTAAAATAAGTATTTGAGTTATAGAGATGTATTTATTTCATGTACACATGCTGTAAATAGAATGCAGAGTAAGAAACTCTCTGATTTTCACTTGGAAAATCAGTATGCCATGTGTACATGTATTTTATACCAGATACATGCATATGAAAATTATGCTGGTCATAAATATATATATAGTGTGTGTATATTATATATATATTCCAGATGTTTCCATATAAGGATGGTTTTGTTTGTTGTAGTGGTTTTATGTGGTACTTTAATGTTTCAAATTATCATAGTGACGATGAGTCTCTTAATACTTATAGGATATGAACTGAATGATCATTCAAATCAAACTGGATGTAACTCCTTAAAAAAGCTGAAGTATTTAATTAAAACCTTATCAATTGATGTACATTTTGCCTTGTTCATCTACACTGCATCATTCATTCTCTGAACCCTTTAACTCCTAGAGGTGATTAACATATAACTTCTCCCTATAACATCAATACATTGTCCAGCAAACGGATAATGAGAATACCCAAACTTTATCAAGCCAAAGTTGTTGTCTTGATCCAACACCAAATTCTTGTAACTAATTAACAAGGAAATGTGTAACAGCAAGAGGGGCAAATTAACAATCAGATCCTGGGAGTTAAACAGTTAAATATAGAAACAAACCTCATGTTCTGTGGTGAACTAGTAACCTGTAAGTGCAGGTAACCATTTTTTCCAACTCCAAGAATTTGTTATTAGTGATTATCATGTAGGTTACTGCTAATTCATTATTTTAAAGAAAATTCTGAAGTTTTCTAGAGCACAAAGCAATATTTTGAGAATTCTTTTTTCCAGACAATTAACACTTTGTAAACGAATATTATAAATTAAAGTGTGACATTATGCACTTTTTGTGAACATTTTTGTTTTTTCATTTTTTCCAATAACATTTATTACCCTGATGTTTTTTCATTTTTCCTAAAATGATTTAACCCTTTTCAGTTCTCCACATATTCGCCATCTCATTTTTATTAAAGACAAGAAGAATCTGTTTAAAAATCCCTTTGCTTCTCCTAGTCACCTGATGTGTTCCATTGCTCATTACCAATGTCAAACAAGGTCACATTATCTTTTATTCCTAAAATCCTCCAGTATCTTAACCCTTTTCATCCCTGACATCAGGTAGTTGCATATTCTCCATCAGGATAGAAATTTTATATAATTCTTAAAGGATCCCCAATTGACCTCCAGCCATGAAAACAGAGAAAGAATCAAACCCTGTTTATAGAAAAAATACTCAGGAAATATCATGATTCTTTGGCTTTTCAATGTTATTACATTTATGTCACCTGTTGGATAAGAACAGGTTTGATCATCTAGGTGAGATATAGAGTAGTCCACCTGGAAAACCATGGCAGAACACATTATCAGATTACACCTTTAAATTTTAGGATAGTTGTTGGTTCACCTGGAAAACAATTTAAATTTTATATGAAGTTGAACAATTTCTATATGAAGAGAAAATTATGGTTTATTTCATTATTGTGTACTATTAAGATATAAAGGTGGTGTAGTACTTCCTTCATTCAAATTTGAGGTCAGTAGCTGATGATAAGAGTGAAAAAGTGGGCCAGCAAAATTCAGCAAGGTTTTAGGAAAGAATTGTCTCTTCTCTTCTTAGTTCTTACAATTTTCCCTCTCTACCTCCTTTTTATATAATAAGCTCAGTTATGCACGCATTCTGATTGGTTCTCACTTATGATCTATTGGAGGACAGACGTATAGATGATGTCATCATTAAAACTTTTTTCCTTATATTTTAATTCTTTATTATATAAAACAAATAGATTCCAAGTTGCTGTGCATCTGTTCAGTAATAGATCACAGAGGACATCAAAATGTGGTAAGAACATCAGTGACACACTCGGCTGCGCCTCGTGTGCCACTTTTTCGTTCTTACCACACTTTCACGTCATCTGTGATCTATTACTGAGCAGACGCACGGCAACTTGGAATCTATTTGTTAATTTACTCATCCCCAAAAACTGAGTGCCATGAATAACTCTACAAGTTACCTTTAACTCCCAAGATCTCATTAGTAGTTCTCCTTACTGTCTGCCATATAGTTCTTGTGATGTTAGTTTGGAGAATTTGATATTGGATAAACTATAATCCCCCTTTTTAAGACTTTCTTTATTCTCATCACTTGTCTGCTTGATATTGTACTGATATTGTAGGGAGAAATTCTGTCTTGGTCACTTGTGGGAATTAAAGGGTTAAGCCATCTGGTCCATGACTGCCACAGAGTGTCTCAGTTTCTTATCTCAGTTTCCAACCCAGAGACTTAGATTACCCCTCATTGAAGGAATACCTGTCAACTGGAGTAAAAACCTAGTATTTTGTCACATTTTCCTCAGCAGGTGTTCCTAACAGTTTGCCAATAACCTCCAGGTTTGAGCCCTGCCTGGGTCTCTGCACTATGTGGTGTTCTTGAGTATCTGGCAATTTACTCCAACCTCCCTCTCTCTCCATGCAGGAGTATAACTTACTGCATAATGGAAATCTGCCAGGGGAACCTAAAGTAATAATGTTAAGATTTACTTACAATGCAGTGACATGACATCTTCCCCAGGGGCAACCAGCAATAACCCTAGTCACTTCAACCTCTTAAAACCAGAATTACACCTTATTCCTTTGATACCTACAAGTGACCAGCATCTAATTCCATCTTACAACATCACTCCTAAATCAAACATTAAATAAGGTCACAATAATCAAAGAAATGATCACAAACTAAGAAGCTCTTGAATGTTAAACAAATTCTTCATGTCAGCATCTTCAGAAATGTATGGTGAACAGTATGGAGAATATGCATACTGATATAAGGGTGTGAAGGATTAAAATTTTCATCGACAGAAAATGTCTCAATTTATCATAGTGCATAGAGCACCTGCAGGTAAGTTGTCTCTGAGAATAGTTTTTAATCCCCTTCCAGGACACACACACATAAAAAAACAAAACAAAAGGGAATACATTTTCATTTTGACATTTAGTGTAGAATAGCTGTACTATATGTTCATGACAGAGAGCTAATCTTGTATCAAGTATCACTTTCAAGAGAATTTTTAAATTTTAATTCTGCAATAATCCCACAAAGGGAGATCTAAATAACACAAATATCACCAGATTACTGATTTCTTTTTGCAATTATTTCAAATACCTTTAATGTAACATTAAATTTGTCATGCTTAAAACAAGAACCTTCTCTTTGAATCTTATTTTAAAGTGGCTTTGTCCCTGGCTAGAATGTTGTTCTCTCTGAATACAAAGATTGGTGATGTTGTACCATGTTAGTTATTGTTGACTTTTTTTGCCATTTGGCGCTTAGTCAGTTGACCCCATTCAGACCCTCCCTTGTTGTAAATCTCTCAATTAAGGTTTAGTGATATAATTTCTTGTTTCTCCTTTGTCTGTCAAGTTCCTACCTTCCCATATGTTATTTTTTTATTAAATCATGTATTAATTCCCCTATTTTGTAATTTCCCTTATTAACAGCGGTGTTTTTATCAAGTTTCAATTTCGCCGGGAATCTCTCTGTTACAGCTAAAGCCCCTCCTGCCGTCTTCAAATTAGTTTTTTTCTCCCACAACAAAAGAGTAGAATAGGTCGTTAAGATTTGCTTTAATCCTATTCAGAGCTGAAAGGTACCTTGAAATCCCACAATGAGCTCGTTAAAGGTTATATAAATCGTATTTTCAACGAGAATTTGACAGAAGAGTTGTTCAATATTGGTAATGGCACGGGGAAAAATTATCCTTGACCCCCAGAAAAACCCGCGCGCGGGAAAACTGAACCACTTGGGACCCTGGTAACGAAGACACGCTGAATATTCTTTCCGGGGTAGGATGGAAATTGCAATTTTATTTGATAGAGAATGTTCTTTCATTTTGAGAATAAATTCTATTAATCCCTCTATAAACACATAATATTTTCTTATTTCCACGAAATCACTTCAATATTTTTTAAGATTTTAAGACCACCGAAAATTGTGATATTCAAAAATAAATTAAACAGCCCTCCCCTACTTGAGACACCGCATAAAAGTAACTCCAACGGGCGCACTATTTAAATTTCACTGTTAGCCAATCATATCAACGCACGGAATTTTTGCAGCATGCAGCTCGGCTATCATGGCGGATTTCGGTTCTCCGGGAACGCCAAGTAGACATGAAAAATCCCTCGGTTTATTGACGACGAAATTCGTCAGTTTGTTACAAGAAGCCAAAGATGGTGTCTTAGATCTTAAAGTGGTAAGTATACGAAAAAATCTTGGTTTTTGGTCCGCGAAGGACGACATTTTTGGTTCGCCGAAACTTCCTTTGTGGCCCTGTTTAGCGTTCACTATCTGAAATGTTTACCTTTGTCGATTTCAGGCAGCCGATACGCTAGCTGTGCGTCAGAAACGACGGATTTACGACATTACTAATGTACTTGAAGGAATTGGACTGATAGAAAAGAAATCGAAGAATAGCATCCAGTGGAAGTAAGTAAAACTATCAGAGGGGAAATAACTTCATGTGACGAGGGGCATTCGCGCGGGACAACCAAACGAATTCCATCGCAGTTCCCTCAATCTCGCGGGAGATAGGTAGTGAGATATGTCCACGGCTGATTCTTCCAGAAATATGCTCTTTCTGATAAAAACCTATTTAAACATAAAGTTTTAGAAAGAGAAGGTCATTTAGAGCGAAAGTAAGCATTTTCTTGGCAGTTCTTTTGCGTGTTCAAGGTTCGGGCGCGTGTCTCTAGCGCGCAGAACATGGTTTCGAAGATGCATTTACCGCCATTAGTTTGGCGCCGTTTGTTGCAGGGGAGTTGTCGTCTAAGGGCGAAAGTAAATGTTATGATTTCGCTCGAGGACAGTTCAGGGTGTTGTTTCACACCTAAGACAAGATACTCTCCAAAAAATTTCTAATTCAGGCAGGCTTGCGTAAGCTAAAAACAAAAGAGGAAGTCAAAATTTCGTGATCATTCCATGATTTTTAGGAACTGTACTGATTAGTATATTCTTCTCAAGTTCGTGTTACTTTGTCGACTAGAATGGCATTTAAATTATCCTATGAGTGTTTTGACCAGACATCTTCTATTATGAGTTATTCAAAGAACTTGAACTTCATATGTCAATTTTTTTTGTGTGAATACAGCGGAACTTAATAATAATGTGAACGACAGCAAACGCCGAAATTAGATTATTTTGTTTCTTTCTCTTGGATTCCCGCCAAACCATACGTTATTGGTTGGCCTTGATCGTTTTCGCAAGTATGGTCGATTTTAGCTCGGAAACCTGATTAAATGATAATATAATCAAGATTTCATTGTTTTCATGTTAAATAAAATTTTGAAAATATTTTGCCCATTCTCCCTCTTTGTTCATTAGTACCTGCAATATTCTTGAGCTATTAGCTCTCATGCTCAATACCACATGATGTCAAGAATTGGAGAAGATTAATGAATTTCATTGGAATATGTGTTGTTGTTCTTCCAGCATGTTTTTTCCAAGTTAATTTTTGTTCAAAAAGCTCGTGTTTGCTTGGTGTAAGTAAATTGAATTTTCAAAATCAGAGTGTACAAGTTTAGAATAAGAAGTCTTTTCATTTGAAGCTGATGTTCTTACTAAATGTCTTGAATCGATAAATTCGATCTTTGGAACGCAATTCCTAACGAATTTCGTCAACTCTCCAAAGGAGCTTTTAAGAAAAATTTTCATGACTTTTTGCTCTCGATAATGGAAGCAGAGGACGATTATGTTGAAGTGCCCATTCTCCTACAAAAAATGGCAAATTCTGCATCCTCGACTCAATGTATATAATTGATAGTTCTGTTAGTAGTAAATTTGATTGTAATATCATTCTGTAAGACTATATATTTTGTAACTTTAGCTTGTTTATCCAGATAGTTTATTTAGTTACTTTACAATTATTATATTATCTGTTATGACTGCTGTAACCTTTCCTCTCCGCCTGCCTCGTCTAGCTTTTGCTATTTGCGAGTGGAGATGGCAAAATGATTTGCATGAAATAAAGTATAGTGTGTGTTATTCCTAAATTTTTTTTTTTTTGAGTTTAAAAAGCAAACTCAAAGACCTTTTACTTGATTGGGGCAAACCAGGATAGTCTGAATTGGATTGGTCCTCTGGTTTTAACCTGAGTAACTTGTTCCTGCAACAGTTGTCGCACAAATGGTGGTATGATATGTAATGACTTTTCAAGCACTTCTTTTTGGCTAGTTTTCAACATTTTTCAGCACCTCCAATAATGTTGAAAGCTGTACACAATGTCAAACATCCATTTGAGCCAATGTTGCATGCACATTGAAAGGGTGAAAAATTTTATCTTCTGTATTTTTAAATTGCTTTGAACCACCTCTTTTTGACAACCAGGCCAGTGGTTACTATGCTGACTTTGAAAGTTTGTCCACGGTTTTGCCCAAGTAACGTTGTAGCTTGAGTGTAGTTTAACCCTTTCACACCTTAGAGTTTCTAGCTTCTAATGTCTCCATAATTTCTCCCTATCACCCTTGCATCAAATGTTAAGGTCAGGGGAATGAGTATTGGTAATTGAACTGAGTGGATTGCAATTTGGTGTGAATTATACATATAATTATATTGGGATTTCAAAATCAATTGAGTGCATGAGTTTGATTTGAAATCACAAATTTGATTTCAGACCAAAATTGTATGACATGAAGTTCATTTACCACTTAATTACATCCATTTTGAAATTGCAAAATTCAGTCGCTCAGATACAGGATTTTTTTTAGTCTGTAGAAATATTTTGTTGATCCAGTAGTAAACTGGTTTGTAGAAAGTTGCTCAACTTGCTTTTCCTTTTCCTGCAAGTTTTTTCTTTTTTTTACCACTAGTTATTGTATTTTAACATTAGCTGGGGAAAAATGCAATTTTGAGCGAAAAATGGTGGGATTTGTGAATAAATTGCACCTGTGAGAGCCAATCAGATTACAAGGATCACCAGGATTTCAAAATGGATGTAATCAAGGAAATAATCACTGATTTAAGTTGCTCCTGATGGCAAAACAAATTCTCCTTGTTAGTAACATAGGTGATGTAAAGAGAGCAGTATGGAGAATATGAATGCTAATGATAGGGTGTGAAGGAATTTAAAGGAACAGGAGAATATTCTTTAAGTCTGAATAAAAAACAGCTCAGGCCATGAAAATTTAGCTGGAGGAATCTTTGATGCTCAACCCCGTTTGTCCACTTTGAAAAATGTTATTTTTAAGTTAGTCCAAATTTAATCTAAAGTTATTAAAAGTGTTATTTTTTTATCTGTTTTTAACCCCATTGTAATTCTTTTGGTTGATTCAGACCTCTTTCAGTATTTCCCCTACAATCCATTATTTCAAGACAAGATCTTCTGTGACCCTAAAATGTTGTTCAAAATTATTTGATAATTTTCTGTTTCCAGGGGGGCTGGACCTGGGTGTAACACGAGGGAGATATCAGACAAGCTTGTTCATTTAAAGGGAGAGTTGGAGAGACTGGAAGACAAAGAAAGGGAACTTGATGAACAAAGGCTATGGGTCCAACAGAGCTTGAAGAATGTCTCAGAGGATCCTGAAAATGAGCAGCTTGCTTATGTCACTTATGAAGATGTATGCCGCAGTTTTAAAGGAGACACCTTGTTGGTTGTCCAAGCTCCATCTGGCACACAGCTCGAGGTTCCAATTCCAGACACAGTAAGTTTAGGATCCTTCCCTTGATATTTCTATGAAGGTTATATCTTAGGTTAATGTATTCTTAATGTAGACTATTTCCTCCTTTTATTTTCTGTGCTTTATATTTTGTTTACAATAAGTAATTTTACAATGAAAATCAAAAAAACTAAAAATGCCTTCAACAGGTTGTTAGGATTATTGGTACCATAGTTATCACAGGAGTAGTTACAATTGTTATAATGATGATAATAATAATAATAATAATAATAATAATTGTTATTATTAATATTATTTTTACTATTTACACCAGTGGCATACCTTAGTTAATCAGAAGAAGTAGCAGATTAGCCATACAATCCTCAAGAAGTTTGTCAAAATGTCATTCACTATCCCTAACAGCAGTCCTCCCTAAGACTACCCTGAACCAGCATTTTACACTTTGGCTATGTTTTTATGGTTCCTCACACATTTTTAAATATTGTGAAATGGAATTTAACATAGTTAACAACTAGGAGCAAATCTGGTCTGTTGCATTTGGCTGGCATATTGTTAGGGTATTAGCACTCTGTTAGCGTTTGCCTGGCATTTGTGTGTGTTCTGTAGCATTGTAGCAACATGGTAGCTGTTGGTGGCCCAGAGGGCCAGCTGTGTCCAGCAGTTACCTTTGTCTGTGCATGCGTTGGTTCTCCCATGTGCTTGCATTGTGTTGGCGGTACAATAGCATGGCGTCGTCGTCCATGAGGAAAGCTTCTAGGTGTTTTTCCCATTATCTTCCCCTCTTTGCTTTTGTTTAGGGTTTTTTTTTTGTTTGTTATATTTGTTCACATATTTATCTATTTATTTTTGTCTCCTTATTTTCTCTTCCACTAAGCCTTCTGGCTCTCATGTGACAGGTGCTTGTTGGGGCTCAGCATGGGGGGCTCGTGGCTGGGTTGCAGGTTGGGCTGGCCAGTCAGATGTTCTAGTGCCTTGTGTGTGACTATTGTTGCAGCCCCTGGGCCCCTTGAGCACCTGACCTCCATTTGCAACTTGGTTGTTAACCTATTGAAAATTTGCATTTTAAGGATTCTGTTGATATGGAACTATAGAAGCCATGAAATGTTTAAGATGCTTAGTGAGTCAAAAATGTTAATTCCAAGATGAGGACTTGCTACCGAGGATGCTAAAACATTAATTGTCAAAAAATTTTGCACAGTTAAGGTGCTGTGTAGACAGAGTATTTTGGCTTTTATTTAATTAGCACTAACTCCCTTCCCTCCCTAGTACACTCCTGTGTGGAATATCTGAAATTTACTTTACTATCTTCTGAAAAAGATTTATGGTAGATGAAAGGGAGAAGTTGTATTTAATTATTTAGGTGGAGGTTCATTGAGATCCTTCATTTTTTTTTTAACCAAAAACTTCTCTACAGACTCCAAGCTCACATCAACCCAGGAAATTCCAGATCCACTTGAAAAGTCAGACAGGTCCTATACATGTGCTGCTGGTAAACAAGGATGCTGCAGCAGACAATCCAGTTGTAACTCCAGTCCCTCCACCAGCCAATGATGTCAACTCAAATGACCATGAAGCACTAAAGGAGGAACCTATGGAAACTAATGCTGACTCTAAACATGCTAATGAAATCAACGCTAAAGTAGGAGCAGTTAAAACTGAAGTTCTAGAGAGCAGCAGAGGTACTATGCTTCATTCATGAATTACCTTAAACACCAGCAGATAAGCTGCAACTTTACTCCTAGAATTTTTTTTTAACTTACTTGTGATGTAGCCTTTCTGCCAGAACATCTAGAAAATATGCGGAAGATTTGGATGAATCAATGCTCTTCATTGAATATTTACGAGTCTGCATCAAATGGTTTGTTACTAACTGACAAACAATCCAACAAACAAAATAAAGACTTCTCATTGTTAAATGTAAAATTATATTGATGATTTGACAGGAGTGTAAAAACTATCAGTAAGAGTAAGATCAAAGATAAGGTTAGATTGGTAGATATGATGTAGATAACATTGCAACTAAAATTATATGTGGGGATTCAAAGTATTCTCTGTTTTCAGTGCCAGTGAGTTTACACTGTTGTGTAAAGGAACCAATGTAAAGGAACTTTCTCAAGACTCCACTTGTGATTTTGGTTTCTTTTCAAAAAATTTTCTTCCTAAAACTGAGTTGCCAAACTTGGGATGTGGCTTATTTGTGATTGCAGTCAATCAGTTAGTGTTTACAGTAGTTAATTATGGTGTTATTTCCTGAATTGGATGCTTCTTTCTTACCAAAAGGTCCTTTGTTTTATTATCAGAATACATGATTTTGTTATCTTTATTTCAACAGCTAACGAGCTTAAAGAAGTTGCCAATGACATAATATTTGGAAATAATTTCAAAGGTAAAAGTTTAAGCATTTGGTATGTGTCACAAGATGGCTGGGGACATTTCCATGTGAGCTGTGTGTTCTCTGAAGTAGGGAATTTCAAACTAATCAGCTACAGGAAATGTGAATATTTTAGCTAACTTTCAGCAGCTTTCAACTAGATTAGGTGTTACAAAGAGATTTCAAAACTTAAGGAACCAGCTGAAATGGTTGGAGTACTTGGGTTGTCAGCAGTGGCCTTTCAGTTGGTACCTGATTAAATAAGTGGCTGTCTATAATGTAATAGATGGCTCTGGTCACAGAAAGGGCAAAACAAATTAATTGTTTATAGTAATGGTTATTAGAGGTACTACAGGTGGTGGCTTTTACTTGTTACTGCCTAAAAAGGAGAACAGTGTGTAACTACTTCCCAAATTTGATGATCCTTTTTGATTGCAGACACCAGTTTTGCTGAAGAAGTTATGGATGATTTCATGTCAGCAGAGGGTGTGTAGGAAGCTTTTTTTAAAAAAAATTTTAACACTTTAGCTCCCAAGATCTCATTAGTAATTCTCCTTACTGTCTGCCAAATTATTCTCATTATGTTAGTTTAAAAAATTTGGTATCAGATCAATCAGTAATCCCATAATTGATATTTTTCTATATTCTCGTTTATAACTTGTTAGCATGATATTGTATAGATATAGTAAGGAGAAATTCTCTCTTGGTCAGTCACAGGAGTTAAAGGGTTAATCCATGAACTATTCTTACTTATTTTTGACCAGTCAAAATGCACCATGTTACTGATTGTATCTTAATTAAGACAGGGGAATGTGCCCTAGATATTACCTTACTGGAGTTCACAGTTTTGAATTCCTACGTCCCGAATGATTCAGTTTCCTTTTGAAATTTGCTTCAAGATGGAAGATTGTTATGCTATTGTTACAATTGTTGTTTGATAAAGACAAAAGAGCAATTTAGAGTGAATATCCTTGGTATCAAAAATGTTTATAGTGAACTGTTTCTGGGCATTCTGTACTGCATGTTGCAAAGGGAATTTGAAAGATAATTGAAACAAGAGGCTCCATTAGGAGTACAAGTCTGACATATTTTCTCCTTGTGTATTGTCTGTACCTCAGACCTTTGGGTTGACATCAAGCATTGCTATTGGAAAACTTTTCACTTGGAACAGATTGTTTTGTTGAGTTAAGAGACAAGAAAAATAAAATTTTCAAGTTTGTCTTTTGTTTGTGACTCTCACAATATCTAGGCATAACACATACAAAATGAAATGGAAAGCAAATGTATTAAGACTTTTAAAACATTTTTGTATTTGAAATTCACAGCAGTTTTATTTCCAATCCACAGTGTATGCACCTTTACTTCGCTTGTCACCACCACCAGGAGAACATGACTACTACTTCAACCTAGATGACTCTGAGGGCGTCTGTGATTTATTTGACATTCCAAACCTAGATATGCCTTCTCCATTAACAGGAGCTATGGCATCCACATAGTAAATGGATCTGCATGTACTTATACCATTGTTCTACTAATCCTGCATACGATTCAAGTCACTGCATTCCGGTTTGAAATATGAACATGTGTCCATGACTTGGTGGGAGAAGTACAAGGCTTAGTGTAAAGTATTTGTGTTTTGCATTAAGGCCACAATTGGATTGCTGTTCTGAGGGTGCAGGCTCAGACAGAATTAATGGGTGATTGTGACTGGAGTGTTTCTTTGAATTCAGACAATTGCAGATGTGGATTTGTAGGAATCAAAATCAGGGTCAGGTGATGGATACAAAGCCATCAAGATGAGTGTGTGAAATTCATTACTAGATGGAGAAGATGGAGGTCTTTCAGTCAGTGGAGCCATGTTACACATGGAGCTTTTTAGTGATATATTTACCCTTTGACTTCCAGACATGATTAACAAGTAACTTCTCCTTAAAATATCCTTTCATTATCCAGCAACCAAGCAACGAGAATACTCAAACTTATCTGGTAGAAGTTGTTATATTGACCTATGATCAAATTCTCGTAACTTATTTACAAGGAAATGTATAGCAGCTAGAGGGGAGAAGATCTAGGGAGCTACAGGGTTTAAGGCCAGCTTTCATTTGTCAAGAAACACCCATGCAATGTGAAATTTCTCTGTTTCTCCTCTATTCCAAACTTTGCTGATGAATTGGAAATGATTTGATGACATTGTCTCAGACTCTCCTGAAAATTGTGATGAGCTAAAACTGTTGGTAATTTTTTTACATCCTTGGCTGTTGGTAAGTTTGTTTTATTTTGTTTTTTCCCTTTTTTTCTTTTTCTTTTTCTTTTTCTTTTTTTACATCCTTGGCTGTTGAAAACAGCAGTTTCTTATAACAATGTTTGCAAATATGGACAATTGATCAGAAAAATAGAAGAGCTTCTTGTTTGGTCCCAGATTATGCCGTATGATAAGACCTGACTTTTGTTCTTAAGGCACTGAAAGAGTTAAGGAACAGTGATATACCGCTATTCAGTAAACTGGGCTTAATCTGACAAATGAAAACCAAGTTTATGTTCAGAGAACAGAGGAATTTAATTGAATTGTTTAGCTCTTGGTTAGTCTTAAAATCATTTTGTTATTGCTACTAAGAATTTTCTTTGTGATGCTGATGATGCCAGGCATTATTAATTTAATCAGTTATTATTATTATTATTATTATTATTATTATTATTATTATTATTATTATTATTTTTATTATAATCATCATCATTATCATATTGTGATTGTTGATACTTTTATGATTTGGTCATTTTTCGTGAATTGGTATTTATGTTGTTATCTCTGCTTTCCTTTGCTTTCTTTTCTTCTTTTTCTTTAATGCTGTTGTTTTGAATTGCCATCACACTTTAGGCTAGAAACAGAGAGTAACAGCTTTAATGTGCGTAAACATTGTTCAAATTGTACACTAAGTTGACATTCCATTTGTCTGATTCCTGAATTCAAAGGCACTTCAATCTTTTTCCCTAATCACTTTGAAAACATTTCAGCCTCCATGAAACACTTTCTATACTTTTGTAAAAAGATTTTGGTTTTTTGCTGACTATTTTGGATAATGAAATTTTTAATTTAGGACTGCTTTTTCAGTGTGTGGTTATTCAGATTTGTTCTAGTCACTTCAAATGTTATATGCCACATCATGTATTTACTGATTGATGCAAGAAAATGGTTTCCTTCAAAGTGATTATTTTTCAAGGCTTGTTTTTACCTAATGCACATGTGTATTTGATAATATAGTAAGTAAGCTGTGCTCTTTGAAATATGATACTTACAGGGAAGTATTTAAACCAGAAAAAACAATTTATGTTGTAGTTGTCCACTGTCTTAGATTATGACTAATACAAACTTTTTGCCACAAATTACAATTTTAGCATATGACGGAAGGTCAGTTGGAAGAGTGTATCATGCTGTTGGTCTGAGATTAGCAGTACCTCTTACCCTTTCAAAAGTTGTTGCAATATTCAAAAGAAAACAATATGTAGAAAACCTTTTTTTTTAGTGGTTGCTGGTTTTTTTTTTCTCTGTTTCTTCCACTGATTTCTACTTCCACATACAATGTGATAGAATTAACTGCTACAATATTGAGCCTAAGATCTGATGATCGTGTAGATGGCTTTCCAGTCCAGTACTTTCTTTAAAACTGTTTAATTTACTCAACCGATTTTCACAAATATTGAGTCTCAGGGTTGAACAATTCAACATTTGTAAAATTTTCTCTTTCACCCCTTCCCAACTCTTGAGAAGAAATACTTGCTTCTTTTCTTTCTTGTGATATATATACTACGTGTGTATATTAAATTTCCTTAACCCTTTAAACCCTAATAGTGACCAGCATCCAAATTATCCTTGCTATAATACTACTGAATCATTCATTACTATCATGAGAATAAAGGAAATGATCGCCAACCTAAGATGCTTTGATTGTAAAACAAATTCTCCTTGTCCAGACTAAAGGAAACGTGTAGAGAAGCCTATGGAGAATATGGATACTGATGTTAGGGGGGGAAAGGGTTATGTGGAATTCTGTTTCTCATACTCCTACAGTAATTGTTACTCTATTTTGAGTGATTGGCTGTGTGTACTTAATTCGCATAACTCAGAGCTATAACTGTTGTAACTTATTGCAGTTGGCTATTACATTATTTTGATCTTGAACAGTAATTTTTTTCATCTCCTTCCAATGGAGTCTTTGAAAGTATTTTGTACATACAAAAATATATAATAAAATATCTGACAGAAGCAATGAAGTGTGTTTTGAAGATATTAGGGGGGAGTTTATTAAAGAGATGTTTAAAGTGACCTTTACAGGAACAGTGAAAATTCACATTGATCTTACTTGCTCTTCGAGCTTGAAAATTAATCCGTAGAATAAAAAAAACTATCATGTTCACGGCTATTGTCATTGTTTCTTTTAAAGCGCATTAACGGACACGAAGAGAAGTTGACTTTTCGCTGTTTACTGCTTGACGTAAACATTGTGCTAGCCACAGTTTTCATGTGATGTCTCTTAATCACCGCAGTAGAAACGAACGCTTTTCATTTAACCAGTTTATTCTTGTGTTTTTTCACGTTTCCTGTTCCTACAAATAGAGTAGCTCTGCTATTCAGTAGATAACCAGCTCGCAACCAACAATTCCACTATTTGCCCCGACGAAGGGCTAACTTCCGAAACGACCGCTTTAGAAATTCTACGGTGGCAATTTACATCACCAACTCAGATGATAAAACCAAATTGTCTGGTCACCGCAATAAAGACATTATTTGTCAAGAATACCCTCTTCGCACTAATCACTTACAACTGAACTTGATACCCGCCCTAACAAACACGATTACAAACATAAAGCCATCGACTTAAAAGTTTCTACAAGTTAATCAGTGAATTAAGTGCTATCTACGTCCATAAAGTACGACCATAAATATGTACTATAAATATACTGAAAATATGACTAAAACCGAGTTTATGCTCACGGTTTAGAGGCAGATATTATATACTCTCGCAGTTTCTCCGACGATCACAATTTATGATAATCAAGTTAGCCAGGTCACCACAGCAAAATCACTTGGGGGAACCATCGATAACAAACTCGATTGGAGCAGTCACATTGAGAAACTAGCAAAGAAAGTCGCTTGTGGCATTAGGGCTATAAAACGAATATGGCACCTTGTCCCTCAAGCAACTTTTCTTCTAATATATCAAGCTCTGATTCAGCCACATTTTGACTATTGTAATATTGTTTGGGGAAACTGCGGGATAACTTTGCAGAACTAGGTGGAGTAACTACAAAACAGAGCAGCCCCCTCTTATCCAAATTATCAAATTATGACGCCGATATTGGTCGCTTGTTTTGGAAAAACCTAGCTTCCCAGCCGCAAATACAAAGAGCCACAATGGTCTATAAGTCTCTGCACGGTTTGACTCCAGATTATTTATGTTCTAAATTTGAAAGGCGAGAAACTGCGAATAATCTAAGAAACTTTGAGAATAAGCTTAATGTTCCTTTGCCGCACACAAACTCTTACAAAAATAGCTTCAGCTATAGTGGCGCCACTCTTTGGAACAGACTTCTCGTGATATTTGACAAGCGGAGTCCCTTGGGCTATTTAAGCGTTTAATTAAAGAAGTACGTTCAGGCACGGCATTCGTGGAAAGCAGCTTTAGTTAGGTTTGTGCTTTAAGTATAGTTTTTATAGTATCTTATCCATTTAATGTATGTTTATATATTTGAATGTTTTTATGGCTGATGAATTGTCGGTAGGTAAATAAAGATTATCTATCTATATTAACTCGCGCGTAACGTGGCTCTTATTTGCAGGGTGTCGCTGAGTTAGAATTTCGTAACGGTTTGTTTCTTTTAACCTTAAAAGGCATGAATCAACAACCAACCGTCAGGGATAATAACTAATAGGAGTGATTAACAACGCTTCCGGTGGTAAAATATGTGAAGCCATGCGAGTAACACATCATTGTGGCAAAGCAGTGACAGAGTACAAGGTGTGGCCATAATAGGTGGCACACGGTCTGCCTTTATAACTATGTCGATGTGACAATAACGAAAGACCAAACCTGGAGTAAATGCATTCATAGCGTAGTGAATAGGATCGTGCGATTAATAACACGAACGGTTTAAACAGTCAAAACTTAGACCTCTTCACATTTTAGCTCCACTACGAAGTACACAACATGAACAGAAAACCATTAGGTTTTATTTTGGCAGTTTCAGTCGAGTACTGGCACCGTTACACTGATTTCATTATCATACCCAAATAATTACAAGACGGAGCCGGGAAGGTTGACGGCTTGGGAACATGTTACAACCTTGCAAATCAGTATTCATACACTTCAGTCAGATTATCGGACATTAATTCATAATAATTTATAAGTTTTTCTAGACCAACAAGTGCAATATCGTTTTCAATTAAGCTACATAGATTATGATTATCAGTAACAGTCCTGTTATGGACGTATTTACAGAGTGGAAAACTGTTTCAAGTTCCAGAAACTACCCGTTTTGACTTAGCAGATTTTTCGTCGAACTTGATCCAGTACATTTGGCTCGTGAAACTTGCGATGAACTATGAAAAGCTCTAAGTTTGTTTCAACACGTGAAATAATGAGATGCAAGGGTTTGAGTACTTCATGTCGTAGGGTAGGCTGTGATTATCTCTTGATCCTGAGCGTTGTATATAACCGTCACCGAGAAACACCGCAATTTGGTCTTTCCGTGAATCCCTACAGGAGAATTAAACTTCTTTTGCAGTACATACCTGTTTCCGTCAGTCCAGTGTGACGTTGAAATGTCTGGGTTTTCAAAAGTATCTTGTACCAATTTCCACACAGATTTCTTATCAGGGGAAAGAAAATAGCTTTTCCTTTGTTTTCCAGGGAACACATGATCGTCCTTGATATGTTTCTTCACTTTGTCATTCAGAGTAATGCCATCTTTCCATCTCTTTCTTAGCCTGATTGCCATTTTAGCACGGTCAGCGAAGGGATAGAAGAATCGAACAACCCCTTGCTCACAAAAAAATTTACATTACTCACATTAATTTCATGGTCTGACGTGCTTGTTCGTCGAGGGTTTGGGAAAGAGTTAAGTGTTGTGTTAGGGAAAGGGTAGGTGCGCAGTTGCTCAGATATTGTTATTGTCGCTGAATTGGCGTCTCACCGGAAAATGCGGAAAAAGATCGACTGGTCCCATATATAACATTAAGTTTCAGTTCAAAGTTTATTCAGCTTAGAAGGCACGTGTGTGGAGCTCTTAAAAGCAACTTGGTTAAAGTATTGATCAAAAGAGTTGTTTAGCCTTTTTGCATTGCGATCTTTGTTATTTTCTAAATAATAGCATACCCTGCTAGTGTTGATTAAAATCTCGAAGTTCGCGTCTTTTGGGACTTATCATTGGGAACTTGTGTTGAGTTAACCGAACATAATCTAGCATTTTCCTAGTGTGCCATAAATCTTCCATTCAAGGGTGATGTATTTCCGGTCGAAAGTTTCAAACAGGAAGTTGCGGAGATAATCGCATGATGCTGTGGTTGTTTTTGTTGGCTGTCCTGAAACATGCTCTGAGAGAAATCACGACACGACAAGGAGAAAACTGCCATAATTAAGTCAGGAATTGTTTTCAACAACGACGTTTCGGAGATAATCGCATTTCGCCACATGGTTGTTTCGTTGGCTGTCTCAAATCATATTCTGAGAAAAAACGATGACAAGGAAACACTGCCATAATTAACTCGGGAGTTGATGAGACGGAGGTCTATGGCTAATGGTTTGAGGACCTTACGTCGTTGGGTAGACAATGACGATCAGACTGAAAACAGGGCACTTCAGTCTCACCCTGAACCCCCATGGGTGAATTAAACACCTTTTGCAGTACATACCTGTTTCTATCAGTCCTTTATGTGCTTTTTATCGAATGTCTTTTTGTGATCAAAGCTAGATCCTATATGAGTGTGCCATTCTTGAAGCTACACAAATTTTCGGGTCAGACTATTCCTCAACGAGGAAGTTAAGGGGCACAATCACAGATCGCTGTGGTTGTTTCGCTGGTTGTTCCGACAAAAAACCTTGGCGGGCATTTAGTTAAAAAATCTGAGACATCAAACGAACCATGATGGTCAAAATATTAAACTTACATTGGATCGGTGTTGTTTTAGCATGTTGTCCTGATGAACACCATTTCAATCGATGATATAAACAGATAAAGCACCCCACGCACGCTGATAGAGTTTTTGCGGGGAAAAGAATTCCACAATCTCCCTTCCAGACAGTAAGAGAATGAAAAAAAAGCTGCTAAGGTTGCATTATAAATAACCACAGCAGAATAAAAACGAGAAACCGGTCGTTTTCGATACAAGCATGCTCAGCTTGTAGATATCTTTTTAGTCGATAAAAGTAGCATCTTTAAGGCTCCAAGCTCAGTTCTGTTTAAATTACCATTTGGCGACCTAACAAACATAAAACACAATTTGCAGCAAAGCCGAGTCTGAACAATTTTGCTATTTTTTGAGTGAATGTAGATGTGCTCCTTTTACGACTATTAAATAAACTGAAATTTTAAAAAAGGATTTTGTTTCGTATCACAACGATCACGAGCTTTGAGTGTTGATGACTATCCTGACTAATACCAAAGAAAAGTTATATTAACCCTTTAACTCCCAGATCAAATTTGTCATTCTCCTTACTGTCAACCATACAATTTTTATAATGCTAGTTCAGAGAATTTAGTATTGAATCAACTAATTATTCCCAAATTGATATTTTTCTGTATTCTCATCACTCATTTGGTTGATATTGAATTGACGTTGTAAGGAGAAATTCTGTCTTGGTCACTTATGAGAGTTAAAAGATTAATAGCAATCTGTCTGTAGGTTTGAGAAGCAAGGACATCACAACAGTACTCTTCGTTGTAGTTTGATTAGAGCTCGATAGTCAATCAATCAATCAATCAATCAATCAATCAATCACTAAACTTGACCCTTGAACCCTTTAACCCTTTACACCCCAACATCAGTATGTGCATTCTCCATACTGCTCTCTATACATTCCCTAAAGTGCTGACAAGGAGAATTTGTGTAACAATCAACAACTTCTTTGGCTGCTAGTACTTTTCTTTTATTCTCATGACTTAACTGCATGATTCAGGGGTGATATTGTAAGGAGAAATTAGATGCTGGTCACTCTTAGTGAGTAAAACTGATGACCCAGTGGCCCTCTGTAAGATAAGGCTTAAAATATAAAAAGAACGATGACCTACACTAGAAATGTCACAAATGTACTGCAAAATTAAATTTAAAAAACTGTAGGTTGTTTATCTCTCTATATATAAACAAACGTTAATTTTTAGTGTTCTTCGAAAAGGTAAATCAGTAAACTGTTTTAATTGATGAAGAAAATAGTGAAGGACACACAGGTGGATCAGAAGAATGGACCACTCATGGCGTCGCTTTTTCCAGTGATCTAGATTTTTTGTTTCTTTTCTTCTGTGAAAAAAGGTGCTGTAAGTAACCAAATTACTTTCAACAATAAGCTTGGGGGAACCTCCCCCCCCCTCTCTCCGTCGAGAGTAACAGTCTCTTGATGAATATTCTTGTCTCCATCCATTCCGGAAGTACAGTCCGTGTCCTCGCTTTCTTTAACCCTTTAATCCGTAAGAGTGACAAGGTTCTAATTTCTCCTTACAATACGACCCTGGAGTAAAAGGTTTAAGTCACGAGAATAAACGAAATGATCAACAACTAAGGAAGCTCTTGATGGTTTTACAAATTCTCCCTGTTAGAACGTAGGGAATGTATAGAGAACAGTATGGAGAATATACACAATGATGTTAAGGTGCAAAGGGTTAAAGATTTTAACCCTTTACACCTTAACATCAGTAGGCATATTCTCCATACGTTTCACTGTATATTTCCAGTGGTACTGGAGGATTTATTTGATAACAGTCGAGAGATTTTTTTAGTTAGCCATCAGTTCTCTTAACCTTTTTTTTTGTTTAAATACTGTTACTCTACGGAGAAATTTATTTTATTTACTTATATTGCGCGTGTTACATATACAGATGCTCACACGCGAGAACAGTATGAGTTTATTTATGGTTTAGTTCTAATTTATTAATTAGATGTTAGTTACTCGTAGAGTTTAAAATGGGCAAATTCTGTTCTTTCTTAACCTGGGGTTTCTTGAGGTAGGTTAAGGTGTTGCCGTTTTTTGATGGCACTTGACAAAAATGATTATTTTCATGGGTCTACATAATATTTGTTTGGGTTTCATCTCTTCCTTGTACCACGTAAAGCTCTCCCGACCGTGAAATACACGGTTCCTTTTGGTCACTTCCTATCGCAGGTGCACGAATTATTTTTCACGACAGTGAAACAGCGTTTTTTAAGCTTTTAAATCTCCCGAGTTAGCCGAAAATCGCGTTGAACGGAGTAACATTTTTCCAAAAAGATTCCTCTCCTTGATGCTGATCCACAGTCTCATTATGTTGTTTAAGTCTTTATATGGGCCATATCTGACAGAAACTAAAGCAAAACGATCTGGATTTGATTTCTATTTCTTCTGAGGCTTTACAACTGTTAACAGCTTTGACACTCAGTAATTACAAGACCATTCATCAGGCCAGTATAAAATTCAGTCTTATGTGCCAGATGCAAAGAGCAAAACCCAAAAGTGTCATTTTTCACCTGCGACGGCCCGAACAGATTAGTTAAGTTCATTGGCCCTTTTTATCGCTTTCATAATATTTCATAAAGCTTTATTTTAGTGAACGTAGTTTGACGAAAGTGTAAATCCTTTGTATTAGCAGTTTTCCTATAGAAGGCTTTTCCCAATACACCTTTTAACCATTTGTCTTACACTTCGCGTTCTACATCTGCTACATTTTCATAGTTACTACACAATATGAAAGCATTGTATCAGGTACGATAGTTGATCACGACTTTAAATAAATTAGTTGTTTGTTAATGTGAAAAGTATCACTCAATGTCCTTTCCTCTAAAAGTCATTTGACTCTTGAATTTTAATTTTGTAAGGGGACAACTTACATCTTCATTAATCAATCACTGATAGGTCTCTGAGCCGCTAAAACAAAAATACGTATGTAAATATTCACGTTAACAAAAGTTAATCAGGCGTCTTTTGACACAATTATGTGTGAATGAAATTTGGACTGAAATGAATTTAACTGGGTTCATTTGAACAAACTGACGTAGGTCGCTTTTAGCATGGAGTCCCACGCATAGACCAGCAATTTTGTCATTCTTAAGTAACATACAGATCACGGCGTCGAATATAATATGCTTTAAATTTTCATGAAGACTTTTTCAGCTCAAAACATTCTTTGCTCGATATCGCACTGTTTTCACTATCGCCATTTCAATGTGGGTGTTGAAGGAATTATTATGCCGAGTTAGGTGACAACAGAGGTATTCAACCAAGATCTTCCTCTTTGTTCGTCAAGACTGTTATGCATCAATACTCAGCTATTGTCATGGATACGGCACTTGACAGTTGCAGCTTCAGTCCGGGGGGGACTCGGAAAAGGTGACTGGTGACCTTGACGAATGCACAAGAAAGAATGTATTCAATCCTATGACGTTTAGTGTTTTGAAACAAAAACTTTCAAGAGTCACTGCCCACAACCCGCTAGCTTTGTTTATTTATTTCCCAATATCAAGTTGAACGTCGACGTTGAAATAACACGGATATTACAATTTATTTTGGATCTCATATCACGTCCTCGTTTTATGATTCTATTTAACTCCCACTTAATAAATAAACATAGCAATATTTCGTGCGACATGTGGACTGATTCTTCGGCGATTATTAAGTGGCATAAACATTGTTTAGTTTAGTATTCAAACACGGAAAAAATACCAAGAGACAATCAAAATACATTTAAAAAAGACACGATGAGTCTTTTGCACGCTGTAGCAGTTTGGTTGACCGGAGCAGCTGCTGTAATCGTCGGCTAAATTAGCAAACGCCAAGATTTACTTTGATAGCGTTGACGTCAAATTTTTGGATCGAATTCAACAAAATATTTGACTGCGTTGTAGCAATGTTTATTGTTTGGCATCAGTGCAATGCAAACTGAAATATTGAGACAACCTTGGGACACAATGCTTCATTAAGAAAATCTATTTGGGCAAACTAGGGGTGACATTCTTTACATAATATGAATAAAAATGAAATTTAGTCTCAATATAAGCAGATTCAATATTCTGCGCCAGTCTTAAAAGATATCTAGCATTCACCGAAAACTTGTTTGTTTTTTCGTTTCCCGCGCAGGTGTTTTGAGGAGAGTATACATGTTCATGTGTGAAATAGGCCCAAATTGCGTGTTCTATCTTGTGTTAACCTTTGTTATCTCAAAAAACTAAGGAACAATTACAGCAGGAAGAAAATGAATTAAGTGTCAGGCACGTAAAATTACTTGCCCCTCCCCACCCAGACGCTAACCACATCCATCTTCTTGAACCCCCCCTTTCTTTCGACGGTAACTCAGACTTCGCTTCTTGCCGGGAGGAATACTACAGCAGTCGTGTTAAGTAGTAAGGAACTCTATAATAGACCATAAAACAATCGAAGTTGAACCATTTAAGGAAGGAAATCGCATAGGTTTACTCTAAACCCGCGATGGCAGAGTCGTAAGTAAATCTTTATCACGATTTGAAGTCTTAGAGAGCGACGCAAGGAACTAATCGCGGCTTTATGATCTTTTCAGGGTGAAGGTGGCCGTTCGCGTTCGGCCTTTCAACTCGAGGTAAGTAAATCGTCTAGCCTCAGTTTCGTTTCTCTGTTTCAAACACTGATCTTCGGTTATTTCCTGCAGAGAGAAAGATCGAGGGGCAAAAGTTATACTCGAAATGATAGGAGCGCTGACACAAATTACAGATCCTGATAATCCAGGTAGGGGTTTCCATCTTCGTGCTCTTGGAATGTTTACTTTTACTACCGTAGTGCAAACTTTTCGCAATGGATTTTCCAAAGGGGGTTTAAGTTCTTGAACCAACTGATTTATTTCTTGCTATTTTTTTTACTTATTCACACAGGAAACCCGCCAAAGGAGGTGAGAAACTGAATTTCGCTCTAATGTTGTTGTTCGCGCTGTCATTAGCTAACTACCGGTGCTATGGCCAAAGCGCTGTTTAGTTAGGCTTGCCTTGCGCAATTCTTGTTCTGACGAAACTTTTTCCTTTTATTTTCATGATAAATCTTCTTACAGTTCACGTTTGACTTCTCGTACTGGTGAGTGTACTTTTTACTTGTTGTCATGGCGTTTACCTTTTGGAGTACTCTGTTAGGTTTTAATACACAAGCTAGCTTATATTGCTTCATCTACTGAAGTTTTTAGATGTATGCGTAATCCAAACAAACTCCTATATTCGATTAAAAGGACTAGCTGATCATCTGAAAAAAGATAAGAGCCATTTTCGCTCATTTCAGGTCTCACGATGGTTTTCACGAGGACGAAAACGGCTATCTTGTCGCAGATAATGAGAAGTACGCGACACAGCGAAAAGTTTTCGATGACTTAGGACAGGGTGTCTTAAATAACGCTTTTGCAGGTAAGCTAACCGTATCTTTTCTTTTCTCATGTTTATTATTTAAAGGAAATTTTCATGTTTGGACCACACTGTCCACTGGGAATTAATAATGAATTTTGACCTTATAAAACTTTTTAATGGCAGGGTGCTGCATGCCGTCTCGAGTCAATTAAAAACTTGCATGAGTGAAATTAATTCAAAAGCTTCCGTTTCCACGTAAACATTACTTTCAGTTGATCCCCTTCCAATATTGCCCTTCATTGATGTATAAATTTCAAATGCATTGTTTCGCTGGAAGGCGGCAAAGAGGGTTTAGTTCCATGCTTTCATCTAAGTGTCTGTTCATTTAGTCGGAGAAGTTTTCAGAATAAACTCTTGTTCGTTAAAAATAAATTAGCCTTAACATAACATCTTCACCTACTGAACAAGATATTTAATTCAAATTCGGAATAATTGTTGCTAAATGGTTAGAATTTAGCGACTGATGCTTTATCTTTTATCATGGTGTGTCAATTCTAAACGAACTTAGTGATTTTAATCAATTATATAATTTGATTTTACATGCCATTAAAAGTTAATTAAAGGCAAATAACAATCATCAGACAGTCTGGTTGTCTAGAATCTGAAGTGTCTGGTTATATTTTGATCATCCCAGTAAATTTGGTTGCTAAAAGTTTTTTTATGAAATCCAATCTTAGACTGTCATTTTTTCCTGAATCAAGATAATCAAAAATTTTAATTTGATTAATTTAACATGCCTCTTGTTCACTGACAGGTTTCAACTGCTCACTGTTTGCCTATGGACAGACAGGTGCTGGAAAGTCATATTCCATGGTGGGATATGGAAACAATAAGTAAGTATTCAGGCTCAGTTTTATTCCAAACACTGCATAATGCACCCACCAATTCCAGTTTCATATACACAACTAATGTTCCAGTAACATTGATTTCTGGTGTGAAGAATAATTTCTCACCAATACCACACTTAAAGACCCAAACTGAAGTGTTTGTGTCCAAGCTTAACTTTTTTGTCTAAAAATTTGGGTTTAAAATAAAGCTTGTTACCAGTCCTTTAATGCCTCAATCACTTAGGTCATAACAACCTAATCAACATCCATACAATTAGCAGATACATTCCATGCTGTGCATCATAGCAATTAAATTATAGATGATCTCTAAATGTGACTAGAAAGAGAAAGTGGCACATCAAGAGCAGCTCTTCAGAATTCCTGTTTTCTTAAGAGAATAACAAAGCTTCTTTCTTTCTTTCATAAGCATTTTTCAAGCAACCCAGAATTATGGTTTTGAAGGGGTATAATTTGATTACAGGACTTGAGACAACTGGTGATGATATTGTAAGAGTAACTGAGAGTTAATTTTGTTTGTTCACTTTACAGAGGTATTGTTCCCATTACATGTGATGAGTTGTTTCAAGCAATGGCTAAGGGAGCTGAAGGAGTTGTAAGTTCAAGTTCTAGAGTACTTGATTAACCCTTTAACTCCCAGATCAAATTTGTAATTCTTCTCACCATCAACCATACAATTCTTATAATGTTAGTTCAGCGAATTTAGTATTGAATCAACTAATTATCACCAAATTGATATTTTTCTTTATTCTCATCTCTTATCTAGTTGATATTATATTGATATTGTGAGGAGAAATTCTGCCTTGGTCACTCATGGGAGTTAAAGAGTTAAGGTCTTTAATTGATGCTAAAAACTTTTCTCAAGGAAGTAAAAATGTAGTAACTTGTTATTGGTGGCCCAGAGATAACATTCTAAAATGCCATGAATTTTGAATTATGAAAGCTACTAAGCATTCATGGAACAAAGAGTTTATTGTCTCACTTTGTTGTTGTTTTCTTTTCATAGAAATATCAAGTTTCATTTAGCATGTTAGAGATTTACAATGAACAAGTGCGAGATCTTCTGGTCAAGAACAATCCCAAGGGTGGTTTGCAGGTTAGTTGGGACCTAAAATCACTAATTATAAGTACTCTTGGATTAGCAATTTTCATCAGTGTTGAAAATGTGGGCCCAGTTGTTCAAAGCTGGGTTAAAATAATCCAGGGTTAGTGTGAAATTGGAGTTCAGATCTGAAAGCTGATTTTACATGACCCCTGGCTTAACTCATTACACTCAAAGATCAGTATGCATATTCTCTATACTGTTCTCCATACATCTCCTGGGGAGTTGTTAACAAGAGTTTGGTTAACAATCAAAATGTTCCTTCTAGAGTAATAATTTCCTTTAATTTTGTGACCTTAAAGTGTGATTCAGGGGTGATATTGGGAGAAGAAACTGGATGCTAGTCACTCTTAGGGATCAGGGGTTAAGGAAGATTACTTAATGTGATGTGAATGTACTGCAGTACTCAACAACACTTACAAGTGCTCCAACAAATTATTGATCTTTTCTGTTGTGTGCAAATCATGGAGCACATAAACTTTTTTGATGACCTTAAACCTAGTAAGCTTTTTACCAACTGATTTTGTTTATCAAAGGTTCGTCAAAACCCTAAAGAAGGAAACTTCTTTGTTCAAAATCTTAAGAGAGTGGCTGTTGTGGATTATGCAGATATTGAACGCAGAATTGAAGAAGGTAAATTTGAAGTACAAAATATAGTTTAAAAAAGTCAGAAAAATAGTTAGTAAGCTCTTTTACTGGATGCTACATCATTTGTTCTTCTAAGGGGGTTCAAGTTAATCTGTCATCATTTTAAGATAAGAAAAGTCCCTTTAAGTGATAAGTATGTCTATTCTGTTCACTTGCTTGCTGGATAATGCATTGAAATGATAAGGGTTAGTTAAATTTTTATCATCTCATGGAGTCAGAATGTAATCTGAAGTATATAGCCTAAGGCAATAATAGATTATGCTGTCTTGTTTTGCAAAACAGATTTCTTTTGTGTGGTGGGATTAGATTGAAAAGATTGTTGACACATGTAATGTTGTTGTAATGGCTTTTTAAATAAAAATAATTATTTGCGCAAGCCCTAAAATATTTGTATTGGATGGGAATTTTTTACTCAGAAAATATGGTACAGGAAAAATGGCTTCAGTTGTGGTCATATTCCCCTCTAATATTTGTCCACTATTATTCCAACATTTGCCTTGTGTCTTGTGGAACTTGTAAAGGAGATTCTTTCAAGTGTAACCATTTATTTATTAACTAGAGCCTGGTTTTCAATCACAAGCGCAAGTACAAACACAAGCACTACAACTTGTATTAATTTTATTGAAAGGGCCTCAACACAAGCATAAACACAAGCGCAAGTGTGAGCACAAGGATCAAAATTTTTCCCTTTTCTTGTGCTTGTGCTTGTTGACATTCGTTTTCAGTTGGCATAATTACCTTATGCAGGCATTTGTTCTTGCACTTGTGCTTGCATCTCTGGTGAAAACCAGGCTTAAGGGATTGACAAGTTGTTTCCTTTGAATTTGAGGTACTGCTAATCGCACAGTAGCAGCAACACAGATGAATGCCACAAGTTCCCGTGCTCACACAGTGGTAACCATCATATTTGATCAGATCAGCAAGAATGAGTCAGGACAGGAAACAAAGAAGAGTAGTAACATAAACTTGGTTGATTTGGCAGGTTGGTGTTGTTTTTTTGTGGCTTAGATCTTACAGGCATATACAGTGGTCCATTTTAGTATTAAGGGATCAGAGGTATAGCTAGTCAGGTTCTCAACGATCAAGTCAGTTAGTAGACCACTAGCTGTAGGAAGTAGACAGCTGATTATTCAAGAGCTCCTTCCTGGGGTGTAGGGGCATGCTCACTCCCATGATTTTATTTTTTAAAAGTACAAATTATATGCTCTGAAATGTGGTTTTTTTGTATTCCTTTGGAGGGATATGCAAAGCAATAAGGCCATTGGTAGGCTAGGTAAACAGGCAAAAGGTAGCGATTGGAAGTGTGCTCAGCCAGCGAGAAAATGTAAAAGCATATGTTTTTGTGTTATGCAAAAGAGAACTTTCAAAAATGTTACTTGAGGCAGCCAGTTTTTTAGCTTGGGGCTGACCTTTAATGAGAACCCTGGCTAATCTCACTGAGAATGGGATGCCAATCTGATCACAAGTTACTCCATGCATAGCATGTTTGTCAGGTTTCCCTGGAAATCTCCCAGGTGCTTATGTTTAACCTTTGGTGGAGAGATGAAGTGCATGTGATACTTATCTTAATGGAGAACACAACAAAACTTTTGACTCTGAAGGAGCTCAAATCTGCATCATTCAATCCATAGTCCAACACACAAACTATATGGCAACCACATCCTCCATGGATTTCTAAAAGCTATCATGATCAGTAATATATTAAGACTACATTTCATAGACCTGAGCTTTGAGTCCTAATTGAACCTGGGGTGTTGCCCACTTTACTTCATAAACTTGGTCAATTCGAACAAATATTTTCCCTCACAGGCAACTTCCTGGCAGTTGTGTTCTTGATATCCTAACCTACCCATCACCAACATGATTTTTCTTTTTGTTTCAGTTAAGGAATAACCCTTGCCTAGAAGAGTAACCTTGTAACATTAAGTTAGACTGTAGTCTTAAAATGTACCAAATGAGCTTCACTGTTCATCAGTTAATGACTTTTTTGTTTTCCATGCATTAACCAGGTAGTGAAAGGGCTGATAGCACAGGTGCAACTGGTGACAGACTCAAAGAAGGAGCCAACATCAACAAATCCCTTTCAGCCCTGGGTAATGTGATCTCAGCCTTGGCTGACTTGTCCATGGGTAAAAAGAAAGTGTTGGTGCCATATCGAGACTCTGTTCTGACCAAACTGCTTCAGAATGCTCTGGGTGGCAACAGTAAAACCATCATGATTGCTGCTTTGTCTCCAGCTGATATCAACTATGATGAAACACTGAGTACTTTGAGGTATGTTCTCCAAACCCTATATTAAGAATTTTATGATATAGTTGGAAAAGTTGGATACAGACAGATGAACAAACTAACCAAAGACTGAATAGAAGAAACATGGATGAACAGACCAATATCTAAAAGTTCAGATGACAGAAGAGAGTTGATGGGCAAAATCCAGACTTGGAAAAACCAAAGAATTATTACATCTATCATTACATTTCTTTTCAAACAATTTGATTAAACACAAGTATGTCTAAATAGCTATCTTTCAATAACAACCTCAAATACATTTTATCTTACAGATATGCAGATCGTGCCAAAAAGATCAAGAACAAAGCAGTGGTTAATGAAAATCCAATGGACAAGCTCATCCGGGAATTGCGGGAAGAAAATGAAAAGCTTAAGAAGATGTTTGAAGGTGGAGGACTGCCTGATCTTGGTGCTGGAGCTGCAGTGATGAGTATGTGCTGTGACCTCTTAAAGAAAATGGCAATATTGTAACATTTTATTTTACTTATTGCACATTTTTCATGCACGACATTTAGTAGAGAATGATCCAAAACAGAAACGTCCTCGATGGAATGATCATTACATCAAATTATTTTGGAAACAATCTCTTATTCTTTTCATCTGGTCATTGGGGATGCCTAATTTTTCCTGAAAAGATCAGTTGAGGTCATCATGGATTTTAATGGTTTGAAGGAGGTCAAAACTTGTAAATTTGAAGTATGTGACCCTTCTAAGTTTTAGTATCACCCCTAAATCACATGTGAAGGTCATGAGATTAAGCAAAAGGATCACCAATTGAAGAAGCTCTTGATTTTCTGTAACAAATTCTCCTTATCAGCAACTTAAGAAATGTATGGAGAACAGTATAGAGAATATGCATATAGGTGTTAAGAGTAAAGGGTTAATAATGATAAACATTTATCATTGGTGTTCTTCAGCTGAAGCTGAGAAAGAGGAAATGCGGCGGAAGATGAAAGAAGAACTCCTTGCACAGATGGAATTTAACCAACAGAACATGATGAGCTGGGATGAAAAGGTAAAATCTGGTTTACATGTGAACATGTGTTCTCCATGCTTGCCTTAACCCTTTTACTCTCATAAGTGACCAGGACAGAATTTCTCCTGATAATATCAATACAATATCAAGCAGACAAGTGATGAGAATAAAGAAAAATATCAAAAGAATGAGGGGATTATAAGTTGATCCAATGGCAAATTCTCCATACTTACATCACAAGAACTGTATGGTAGACAGTAAGGAGAATAACTAGGGAGATCTTGGGAGTTAAAGGGTTAATTCTTGAATTCCTCAAGTCCATTTAGCCTAGCTGTTAATTTTCAAGATTGAGGTGTCAATCTTCCCATCTTCTGCCACATTCCTCTCTCTCTCTTTCCTGTTCTCTCTTGCTTCCCCTCCTTATTCATCTCTTGAACCTGTCACAAGTCCCACAAGGTCTCCTTCTCTTGAATGGTGCAAATTTTTAAAACACCCACAATTTTTGATGACTTTGGGACTCAGATAGGTGTCCAGTGGGCCAAATTCCACAGTTTTAACCACTCAAACTTGTTTGCATTTGTGTCTTAACAGGTCCAGATGTCTCAAAGTGATTCATCAGCAGGAGAACAAAGTGAAAAACAGAAGAAGACAAAGAGTGTGCCACATTTGATTAACTTAAATGAGGACCCCATGTTGTCTAGAGTCATCTTTCATTTTCTGGAACAGGGTAAGTGTTGTGTGCATTCCACAGTCAAACCTTTACCTGTTTTAAGCAATCTGTTGTCAGAGTCCCCAATTTTTTTCCCTAAATACTGTTATTTTCACCTCTATTAAGCAGTCACCTCTATTAAGTGGTTGTGGTCACCCTTGACTGAGTCCCAATGGTCTGTTTGTATTATCTTCCTCCTGTATTGAATGGTCACCTTAAGTGGAACCCCTCAGTGACTGTGGCTTTCAGCACATTGACCAAGCTTTAAAACCTAGACCTTGTTGGTCCTTTTCTTCTGAGCCATTTACCTTAAACACCTTCATATTTAAATATTTAAAGCTATGTAACTTATATTTTGTTGGCAAGACTGGAGACTTCTGGTTCAAACCCCACCCCAGCCGGTCAAAATTCTAATTCCTCACACCTCTCTTCTCTCTCTCTCTCTTCCCCCCCCTCAACATGGATGAACATCCAGGGGTTGCTGGAAGGGGGAATTGAAGCTTTGAAACTGACAGGTGTATTATCAGGTAGAAGTTGTTATCTTGATCTAACACCAAATTCTCATAACTAATTTACAAGGAAATGTGTTGCAGCTAGAGTGGAGAATTAACAACCAGATCTTGGCAGTTAACAGATTAAAGTGAAAAATGTAATTCATTTTTGTTTTTATTTTTTATTTTTTTGTAGCGGAAACTAGGATAGGAAGGAAAGATGCTGATCCTGTACCAAATGTCCCTCTTTCTGGCCTGAGGTAATTTTTTAGATGCTTAGCCTTTCACACACTAACATCAGTATTTACAAGGGTACTGACAAGAGTTTCTTAAGTTGGTGATCATTTTCTTTATTCTCATGACCTTAATGTGTGATTAAGGGGTGATAATGTAAGGAGAAATTGTATGCTTGTCACTATTATGGGTCAAAGAGTTAAGTCCACAATGTAGCCTGCAAGCAAGCCCTCATTGTAAGTGCTGCAGGACATGTGATTTTTGCCCACAAGAAGATTTAAGACAAGTTAGGGAGAGGTTTTCCAGGCTCTGGCACCCTCATTATCAGTGCCAGAGCCTCTGCAGACCTTTGAGCAGCTAGTATTGCCTAAGGCCTTATTCTCCCCTGCAGGCAAAGAAACACTCATGTTCAAAAGCTTTACATTGTTAAATTGAAACTTAGAAATTTTTATGTATATCTTTAAACTAGCTTTGTAGGGGGTGTTGAATTCTCTAAAAAGTATAGAAATATGAAAGCTGGTTTTCAGATTGGTAAATAGTTGTGATCACAGATGAAATCTAAATGGTGTGAAAAAAGCACGGGAATTCTTTTTCCTTATTCAATCAGTGCATTATTGCTGAATGCACTGAAATGATTACAAAGTTGCAAGGGCAAACCGAACTTCAATTGATGATTGGCTTTGTCTTTTGAGTCACAGTTTTCATTGTGTGAGGCCCCTTTTGCCCTTTCTTTGACCCTTTGACCCCTAAGAGTGACTAGCATTTAAATTCTCCTCACAATATCAGCCCTAAATCAAACATGAAGGTTATGCGAATAGAGGAGGTGATCACTCACTAAAGCAGCTCTTCATTGTAAAACAAATTCTCTTTGTCAGCAGCTTTGGTAATGTATAGTGAATAGTATGGAGAATATGGATACTGATCTTAGGGGGCAAAGGGTTTAGAAATTTAAGATTTTAGAGCTGCACTCCTACTATCACAATTTAACAACTGCATTACAAAATGGAGGTTGGGTGCCTGAAACATTCAGGAGCTTCCACTATTGGCAGCCAGCTCCTAGATGGAGACTTCCCCTATGGCTAGCAAATCATGGTACTCAGCCATGGGGCCCCATACAGGAAAGGGACACAGGTACCCGTCACACTGAATAAACAGTGGTAAGAGGGAGGGAAAGGGTGGAGAAAACTTTCTGGAAAATTAGCTGCCACTCCTCACAGTGCTGCAAGTTCACACTCAAAGCACTCACCAGAACACCTCAAATGACGAGCACATGGAATTCGGACGCATGCGCATAAACAAAAAAAAGGCTGACTATCAGAGAACGCTGATGCTCGTTGTTGTTGTTAACTCCATTAAATTGCATTTAACTGCTTTTAAAAGGGAGCTCTCTATTGAAACCCTGGTGGTTCATTAGAATTTCTGTTGTTATTTTACAGTATTTTGAAACAACATGCCTTGGTAAAGTCTGTGAATGGGGAAATCACCATTGAGCCTGCATCACCAGGGGCAAAGACAAAAGTAAATGGAATGCCACTCACTGGAGAGCGTGTTCTCAAACATCATGACAGAATCTTGTTTGGTGAGCTCTTCTTTTCCCATTTTTATAAATACAATTTTCCACATCATTAGCTATACTATTCACGAAATGTAATCACCTGCAGTATGTCAACTGAAAGATTACTTAAGTATTTAATTTATGTGCATGATTTTTCTGCTTTTATGTGTACTTTCTATACTTACACAAAATTGTTAGTTACTTCTATACACTCATTTTGAATGGTTCTTACTTATGATTTATAGAAGGACAGATGCATAGAGGACTTAACCATTAACAACATTTTGCTTTTTTATTATACTATTGCAAATAAATTCCATGTTGCTGTGGGTCTGTACAATAATAGATCACATCAGATGTCTAAATGCAATAAGAACATCGGTGACACACTCGCCTGCGCCTTAAGTGCCTGGTTTTTGTTCTTATCACATTATGATATCATCTGGGATCTATTACTGAACAGACGTATGGCAGCATGAAATCTATTTGTTAAACCGATACATTGCTAAAAATATCTAAACATAAGTTACAGTATGGCTGTCTACAAGATTCACTATAACTTTCAACACTGACATTGCTCAATCAGCAGTTAACATGAGTAACCTGCTTGGTAGATAAATTATCTGTTTACTTGGCAGGTTCGAACCATATGTATTTCCTGGTAAACCCAACCAACCCTGAGAAAAGTGAGGGAACTCCAGACAACGTGGACTGGGAGTTTGCTCAGAAAGAGATTGCTCAGGCTAAGGGTTTTGCCACTGGGTTTGGAAGTGGACTTTCCAAAGGTAATTTTTTAAAATGTTGAGTCCAATTTAAACTGTGTAAGTGATAGTAAATTAAATAAAGACAAATTACGTTGTTAGTGTGATAAGGTGGTTAGAATGCCACAGTGTGGTTCTTTATCTGCTGCTTCGCGGTTGAATTGGAATCAAACATTGACCCTTTCACCGCTCAGTAAGTGACTAGCGTCTAATCTCTTCTTATACCCCATTCACACCAGCAAAACATGTTTTGTTAAACTGGTTTTCATTGAATGAAAATTATAAACAGAGAACTGAAAAACTTGATTTTCCATTGGATTCAAGTACTTGCTAACTTGTATTTCCAATGTGCTACATTCAAGTCAAAAATATTCGGTTAAATAGTTTCTATGAAGAAAAAAAAAATTAAACTGTGTTTAACAAAACAACTTTTAAACATGTTTAAGCTTTGGTGTGAATGGGGCATTATAATATCACCCCTGAATCGCACATTAAAATCACTAGAATCAAGAAAATGAGCACCAACCAAAGGAGCTCCTGATTGTGAAACAAATTCTCCTTCTCAGCACCTTAGGAAATGTTTAGAGAACAGTATGGAGAATATGCATACTGATGCTTGGGCGTAAAGGGTTAAGATCATGACAAGGAAGGAAAGGAGTGCCAAATCAAGAGGCTTTTAATTGTTAATTAAACACATGACTCAATCTGGGGGCGAACTCGACTTGGTGGGGTCGAACTTGAAAAGTGTGGGGGCGAACACGGTATAAGGTAGGGGCGAACTCGAAGGGGTGAACTCGAAGGGGCGAACTCGATAGGGGGCGAAAGCGGCGGATACCATTCTACTTATGAGTTCTATAGCAAATGAATAAGGAACATGAGTACTGATGTTAAGTTGAGTTGTGAGTTAACTGTGATGATGCAATGATTAGATCAACAGCGAGCTCAGGAACAAGTGCTAGAAGCGCTTCCCTTGGTCAGTGAGGTGAACGCCATGAGTGAAGAACTCAACAAGCACAAGTATGTCTTACTCGGACAAACATCTCCGAGAAAATGTCTTAAGTAAAAAATTCCTCCATTTTGGAAACTCTCCAGTTATTTTTTTTAGGATAAGTTATTGTTGCAATGGTTATTGTGATCAATTCTGTGATTGGTGGATTTAGCTGAGTGGACTTAGCATGATTGGCTGCTTCAACTGTCCGATCACGCTGTCACATTACAACTGTACAGTATGATTAGTGTAAATGAAAGTCATTAATACACCAATCACATTTGAGGAAATTTTAATGGTTATGATCAACTGTAAAACTGAAGGATTGACTGACTGATTGTTCCATGGGCTCAAAGAGTGGATGAGCGGTTAACTGTTGAAAACAACTCCCTGTAAAAAGCTGTCGGCCTTCTGAGGGCCAACAGTCGGCTGACAGCCGGCAGTCAGGGCAAACAACTCACTGAGATAAGGACTGAACGGACAATTGATTGTTTGATTGATTGATCGATTGATTGATTGATTGATTGATTGGTTGATTGGTTACCAGGACATTTGAAGTTATCCTGATATCAGGTGCAGCTCAGGGAGGTGATTCAGAAACAAAGTAAGTTCCATCATTGCTAGGCTTGTTTGGCAAAACGCACGTTACCTGGTGCCATGCAATGCGCCTTAACGTGACTAAATGGCACGAAACTCACTCCATAGCTACTTGAATAAAGAGAAAATTCTACGGAGGGAATGAGGAAGTGAACAGTCATGTGATTGATAATCCAGTGCGGTACACTGGATTCACAGATTTTTCATGGGAAGAAATACGCGGTGATTGATGGGGAGAAGTGGTATGAGGCTGTGGTATGAGGCTGGTTAAAGAAGTGTCATTGGTGAGATTCGTATACAAAGACAAAAATTTGCTCACATTCCTCAATCGGTGCTAATCTTGATAACTCGAGGATGAACCGTTATTTATTTCATAATGCTAATTGAACTGAGTGAAGCGCAATTTGGTCTGAAATCATACGCATAATTTTGAAATTGAACGAGCGCGCTGTGCAAGTTTGATTTTAAATTACAAGTATGATTTTTCACGCTAAAATTGCGCGACGCGAAGTTCCATTACCATTTTATTACATCTGTTTTGAAATTGCAGTATTCAGTCGCTCAAATACAGGTTTTTTTTTAGTCTATACAAATATATTATTGATCCAGTATTGAGTTGGTTTATTAAAAGTCGCGAAAGTTGTCTTTAATTCCCTTGCCATTTGATTGATTTCTTTAAAAAAAAGCCTTTAGATCCAATTGGTTGTTGTGTTTTGGGAAATCTGTCACTTTGGCTGGGAAAAGATGCAATTTAGAGCATAGAAAGATTCGATTTGTAACTAAACCGCACCAGTGAGAGCCACTCAGATCGCAGTGATTTGAAAATGGATGTGATAAAAGTAATAATCTGTCGGTAAAGAATCGGTCGAAAGTCCACCAATGGTCGGCCGACCCCTTGAGTGAGAAGCATCGGAACATCGATCGAGTGTTCTTCGGCCATTGGCTCACTATCGGCCGACTACCTTCCGACTATTGACGGACTATTGACCTACTACCGATCGGCTATCGAGTAACTTTCGTCGGACTTCCATTCGTGGCTTCCTCCAGTACACCTGATTCGATTAGCCTAGACTTATCAGAAACGCCAACGCAGTAATTCGTGTGTCTGCGCTTGAACGCTAGATTTAGCAAGTTAACCCAACAAGTATCTTATTTAAATATTTTTCTAGAGTCATGGTGAGAATGAGGAACTTACTTAATGGTAATGTGTGGCTATGGGATCGTGGAAAGTTCATGAACAGGCGGTTCGTGATGCAGGTAAGAACTAACTATGGCTTAACACGTATGTACGCATATTCTCCATACGGTTTTCTGTACATTCCTGAAGGCGATGAAAAGGAGAATTTGTTTAACAATCAAGAGCTTTTTTAGTTGGTGATCATTTCCTTTATTCTCATGACCTAAATGTTTGATTCAGAAGTGATATTGTTAAGAGAAATTAGATACTTGTCACTCTTTGGGGTTAATGGGTATATACATAAAGAACGGACAAAGGGAATTTGAGTTCTTGGGAGTTTTCTAACGCCACTCAGTTGTGATTTTGAGAACGAAATCTCTACCTCCTTTACTCTAACAGACATGTCGTTAAATTAGCGATTTAAGCAGTTTAGTAGGATGTTGTGCGACCTGCATATAACTTGGATTTTATTAGCAACGTCGCAACCTTTTCCTAAATCTCTCTTCGACCGTTTTCCTTGTGTAAGGGCATTTCTGTTGTACTCTATTCAAATATGACTTAAATGATCGTTTCCCCTTGTTTATTTAGGAACACTATCAACGATCTATTGATGGGGAAGATATGAGTAAAATCCCGAAAGAGGAAGATCCTTTCTGGGAACCTCCTGAAGATGTGCGGATTGGAACGGCAAGCGTGTTCCTACAGAGTCTCAGCTATGAGTTGGACTTCGACGATAAGCTCTCTATCACAGATTACAAGGTTTGTACGTAAATAATGATGTTGAACAATTGTTACAAGCGTTAGACAAGGAAAACCATCAGTCCCTTAGGAGATTTCGAACCTCAGGAAACACAGCAGTCAACGGTGTGGTATACACTAAGCGCATGTATTTACATGTACCACCAAACTTTTTTTTTTTTTTTTTTTTTGTGCCAAAGTCATTGAATCGTAGCACGTGTTTTCCATTATTGAATACACATTTTGTCTTTCTTTCCCCTTTCTGTCTGCAGGGCGAAGAAGTGGCGACCACTGTCATCAACGTGTCTCCTTGTGATCCTAATGGCAAACCTTTAAAGGAAGACGTTTTTGTTGAAGATCCCTCTGAGCTTCTTGGAAAACCATATCACTTCAAGGTATGAGGCAGCGGTGGGAATTTTTTTACCTTCAACCAGAGTAGCTCGGGCTTATTACACACAGTCTTTCAGCGTGTTTTAGCGCTGATCTTGTGGCCTTAGATTTCAACAAAATTTCACAATGGTGGATTATTAAATTTGCTCACAGGAGTCACTAGCGTCCGAATTCTCTTTACAATTTCGATACACCTCAAGCAGCCATGCAACATAAAGTGAGAAAATTGGCCATTTGAGGGATATTTGTCCCTTTATAACGCCAAATTCTCAGTACCAACCGATACAAAAAGTGTACGGTCATCTTTTAAAATATATAACTTGAAGGAAGAGGAGTTTAAAAATTTAGAGGAACTGAACAGGAACAAGAAAGAAAAAAGAGGAGAATAAAAACTTGAATCAAAAAAAATTTTATAAAAGTTCTTCACCTCAGTTTGTCTCCTAAAGAATTGCCTTGAAGGTATTTATTGCCACCATTGCTTTGACTGTCAATTTATTAAAAATGTACTCGCTCTGCAATTTTTTTGTTGGTTTCGTTCTTACATTTTGATATTGGTTATGTTTTTATGTCTGGACAACGTGACAGAACTGATTCTTACGGTAACTTTAGGCGATCCTTTTTTCTCGCCATGCAATAATCGCGTTTGTTGTTATGCAGGTCTCCATTCGTAATGTTAGCGTGCACGACAGCAGATTTAACAAGGGGCTTTACCTCAGGTACAAACCGTTTAAAGAAACAGAATATACCGTGACTAAAACAGTGAGAGACACGCTATCACCCGAGTTTGATGAAAAGGATTCGAAAGTGTTCAGTTTTGACTCGGTGAAACAAGACCTGTTGGACTGGTTTGACACAGGCTGCATCACCTTTGAACTCTTTGGTCGCCAGGAGGACAGTGATCCTGATTCCACTCGAACGAGAATGACAACAAAGGTAATTAAAGTTTGGGACTTTTGTGACCAGTTTTAAAATTATCTCGGCTTCCGTGGTATGAAGCGACCGGCAGTTTTTCTGCTCCACCTGAATGGTTTTTAATGCCATCGGAGGTTACCCCTTAGTATTTTCGTCAAGTCTTCTTGACTAGCTCGCAAGCAGGCCTTCATCTTCAGCGTTACAGGACGCGAGTTTCGCCGTCCGCGGGAAAATTTGAGACAAGTCAGGGAGAGGTTTGGCGGGGATCTGGCGCTCATTGTCAGTTCCAGGCCACTTGTAGAGCTCTCGTCGGTTCGCGTTGCTCAAAGCCTCCTACTTTCTTGCGGACGAAGAAACGCTTGGACCGAAGTGCAAATATTGAGGACCTGCTCGCAAGGTACCTCTTGACCCTTTAACTCCCAAGATTTCATTATTAATTCTCTTTACTGTCTGCCATACAACTCATGGGATGTTAGTTTGGAGAATTTGGAATTGGGTCAATCAATAATCCCTTAATTGATATTTTTCTTTATTCTCATTACTTGTCAGCTTGATATCGTATTGATAGTGTAAGGAGAAATTCGGTCCAGGTCACTAGTGGGACTTAAAGGGTTAACAGTTCGCCGGGATTCCTGGTTAGAGAGACAATTTGAGAGTGAAGCATGCAAACATTCATAAGATGGACAAAAAAGTTTCAAGAAGTTACAAGAGGGATATATATTTTTTATTTTTTGATAGGAATTGCGCCAAATGGAAATGCAAATGGCGAGGCCAGGTATGGGAGGTCGTTCCACCACCATGATTGGAAATGACATCGCTCCCGCTCAGCTAAAAGCAGAGCATATTCTGCTCAAGAGGAAAAACCAACTACTGCTCAAGAAAGAAAAGCGCATTCAGGTAAATGAAGTGTGGTAATACCCGTACGTGTGCGAGGATTCAGCTTGGAGAATACTAAGGGAAGATTATTATTTATCACCTGCGGAGGGGGAAGGGGGGAGGGGGGTGGCAGTTTGATGAATTTGGTCGTGTCACAACAAAATTTTTCCTGATCCCCCTAAGGCTCTTTAGTACTCTAATAATTGATCCCCTCTACGTTCCGCTTGAAATCCATTTGATCCCCAAAAATCCTACGCCCCCTCCCCCCCCTCCCTCTTTACAGGCGAAAAACTAACGGCTGGTTCTTAAGCTACAACGTAATGCAACATGAAAAAAAAAGCCTTTCAAAACGAAAATTACCAGCGGCAAGCGTGAAAGTGTATTTTACTTACGCCGAGCACGTGTTAAACTCGTTTTGAGCGTGTTTCCGATGCGTACTGAACATATGTGTGACCGCCGTTGGGCGCATGTGGAGCCCTGTATCAACGTGTATCGAGCGGTTGCTGAGCTAGTGTCAAACCCGCGTTCGGTGCGCAAGACAGATAAATGATTTTCAGTGTACAGTTCAATAAATTACTCACTTGCTTAATTAATGACAGGATCTGTGTTCCGAATGGGCCAATAAACCGAAGGAAGAACAGACATTTGAAGGTTTTCATCGCGCGGTGTCCGCGGCAGCTGCTCACCAGTACGGCCGCACTAAGTACAAAGTCAACACGCTGATGGTGGTAAGTGAATTAGATGACGCCTGGAAGTAATACTTCTAACCAACTAGGACGGATCTCAGAAACTCTCCTACATTCTTCCCGGTGTCCTGTCCTCCCACCTTGAAATAAAACTCTTTCATTTTTAAGAATTCTCATTTAGTGTTGGTGAAATAAATTCGAAATACCTCTTCTTCGATCAGTCGCATTGAATTGTCAAAGCTATCAATATCGTTTTCTAAAGCTAAATCTCACTGATGGAATTGAGATGTACCCAAATTGTGTTTTATCCATCATCTGAGTTACGATATCTAAATTCTCGATTTCAAATCTCCAGTCTGGAACTGAAATTTACTTAATTGACCCCCCGCCCATCATCCTTTACTTCATCTTCTCCTTACAACAACGTCCGTACTATTTGGTGGATGTATATGTATTCGCATATTTTGTTTCAATTTCCAGATGCTTAAAAATCAAAACGGTGCTACGGCAAACGGTGGAGTCATCAAACAAGACCCCAAGGTCACTGAAGGAAGTCGCGCCTGCGCAATCATGTGATTTCCACCCTCGTTTACTGGCAATCCTGGTAGTACTGATGTAGTGAGATGTAATTAGAATCCTAAAGTTTTTAGCGAAATAACTTGTACAACTGAGCCAGACAAAATTACGGGAAACTTGAGAATCTTTTGTTAAACTGTGGCCTTGCTGGACGAGCCCTGAAAGACGAAAATTTGCCGACGCAAAGTAGTGTTCCACAGCTAATTTATTAGCAGTACTTGGCAATGCACTGATTGTTAGGTCCACGAACTGTTGGTAAAAACAACTGACCTTACTCCACCTCCTCCTCCCCCCTTCCCCCATTGTGATCGATTTAACGCATTTAACGATTCGTTTGCACGTTTTACTGAACCCTATGAATGAAAGGCGGAAAGTTTCTCCTTACATTTGCTTCTCTATTTTAACCAGACAAGTGTTGATAATAGATAGTTAGCAACTTTGGAATATATTGTACAAGGTGCCACAAGACACTCCGGGGAAATATATTGTATAGCGTTGTGATAGGAGAATTTGAAGGTAGATCATTTGTGAGACTGTGAAGGTTATGCGATGTCGTTCTTGAGTAGCGTAAAAACCATTAGTGTTGATTAGCAAAAAAAATATTTAATACATTGATCAACTAAACACTAAGGTATTTGAAAGTGGAGAAAATATATTTTTATAAAATTTGGTTGATCCAAGAAAGGGAAGCAAGTTTTCTGTTCTCGCCAGGGCTTCTTTCTTCATTTTTTGTCTTGTGAATTATTGATTTTATGTCAACAAGAACCGTTAGATTCGTAGTTGGTAATATTTATTGCACCTTTTGTACAGATGTGATGTTTTTTTTGTAGTCTTAATCTTTTTTAATAAAATGAACACCTGTCAATTATTGTTGACAGAGTGGAGAGGAAAGTTTGCCTTACAGTTGTTTCAGGGGGAAGACACAATCAGATAAAGGAATCAGGAAAACTGTAGCTTTGGAGCAGGCCTTTATTATGAGCGCTTCGGCACGAGGGTTCCTTTGTTACAAGGTTTCCTTCAGCACGAAGGCTCCTTCGGCACGAGGGTTCCTCCGCTCTCGTGAAAGTACCGTAATGATTCGATTTAGCACCCTGGGCACCTATTTACTTTTGGTACCTCGAGGGATGACGCTTATTCGAAACAGGCGCTTATTTCTATTTTGAGAAACAGCAGAATGTGCGAAAGAAAGCGTTGAGACGAGATCTTTCGTTTAAAGGATTTGTGCACTTATGGCGACATAATACTTGAGAGACTGAGACGATGACCACCATATTGTCGTGTGGCTTAAAGTGAGCAACTAAAGTAAGATAGACCACGGTTGATCTTCATGTTCATGTACTTTTTTCAGTCCTATTTCTGAAACAAAAAAAGGGCGTTTATTGGAATAGGGGCGCTTATTGGTATAGGGGCACTTGTTGGAATGAGGATGCATACTCATTAGGGGCGCTTATTATCATTAACAAAAACCGATTCAAGGAGGGCGCTTATTAGGAGAGTGCTAATCGAAACATTACGGTAGGAGGCCATGAAGAACGCAAGTCGGCGAGAAGTCTGCGTAGGGGTCTGGTACTGATGGTGAGCGCCAGACCCCTGGCAAACTTCGTCTTAAATCCCCCCGGGGAAGGACAAACACGTGTCTTGTAGTACGAAGAATTATAGGGCCTGCCTGCAGACTATGAAAACTACCTACTGATGGCGTATCAAAAAGAGGGTCTATGGAGGCTATATTATCGTGCTTAGGTTAAATGGGTCAGCGATGTCATGTTACACACACCGGAAAACCACCATCGTGAAAGCCAAGCTTCTGGCATATCACTTGCTAAGGCATCACTTGTATAATACGCGGACTCCATTCTGTAATGTGATTGATATCTGGAGCGGATCTTGCTCTTCCTGTCCTGTGATAGCTGCAATGCAAAGAATAAGATTTTAAGAGATCTTCTAGGGTCTTTTTGAGGCCGAGGATGTTTTCTGATTGATCCTTCGGTGTGGAGTTACAAAAGAGAAGATTGTCTCGTAGCAAAAATAGAGTTATTTTATAGAACAACGGCTTTTAGCTTTGATTGTCGAAAGTAGTTCGTGTTTGTTAGGTGTCTGTTCACTTTTGTGATTGGTTTAAAAAATCTCATGCGACTTCCTGAATTATATTCAAACTCAACTAATCGCGATTTTATTCACTCGCCATCTTTGGTGCTGGAGACAGCTGGCGTTTACTTTGAGCTCTCATTGGTCCCTTGTGATATTTTCCGCTGTTCTGATTAGCAGTTGTAATTTCGTCAGTTCCCTTTTACGAACTTTCATCGAGAAATCCCGAAAAAAAAAGCACTCTTTTTTTCGTTTTGAGGCGGGAGGGCCACTGTCCACCGTAACGTGTCGAATTGGACTAAATCAATACTCACCCTGTGACGTCTTCAACATCTTCAGGGATTTCCAGTTTAGATGCCTTTTTGTCCTTAAATTTGCCAGTAACGTTTCTGCAGATCTTGACAAAGGACGCCTAGAAATCGGAAGAGGAATCGAGAAACTCATTTCAGTTTCTGTTCTTAATTAGAAAGTTATAAATATAACGATGCCGGATTAATTGGAATAGTGATAAAGTTCGCATTAATTGGTTCTACTGGTAATAAGGGTTACTGTCTTGCGAAGAAACACAACACACAGATCCAGGCCGGGGCTTGAAACCGGACTATTCGATGTATTAACCACCACGCAAAATTTGTTCGTGAAGACCAAAATTTAGCCTTTCCGATTCCTCCCTTCAATTCATAGCCGCCTCTTCGAGTTGCATTAAGTTTAAGTTTAGTATGAGGATAAACAGGGATTGCTGAGGTGTTAATTTACCTAGCTATGTGGTCGGTCGAGCAAACTCGTGTAATTTCTCAACCAATCAGACTCAAAATTGAGCCATGCACCTGCGACTTGGTCACTTTTGATTTCCCGCGCTTGAAGCAGTTTGCTCATCGGCCGCTAAAAGCTTTTTCCCCTTCATCTGATTGGCTGTTGTGATTAGTTTGGTTTTGGTCTAACGAAACTCATGTAAACTAAAAGCCCTCGAGCTTTTTAAGGGAGCTCAACACTTTGCAAAGAGATAACGTGGGAAATCTTGTGTGCTTCCCCGTATACTCTCTAAACACACACGTTACCGATCTTGCCGCTTTCTTTCGTGGTGTTAGGGGAGATAATGTTCCCGGTTCCTCGTCCAGTTTGTCCAGACCTGTTCCAAGTGAATTGCTTAGTACTTTCATCTGTAAGAATATGGAGCCGATATTTTGAAGTCCTTTGTTTAGGGGTTCGCCAGATGATACCAAAACTGCAATGGCAGGAGGAGGAAATCCTGGTTTAGCTGGTCTACAGTTATATTTCGGATTAGTTTTTAGAATTTTTTTGCCACTTCAGAAAATGCTAGACGATCGATCCCTACCACGTCAGACTGAGTCAATATGTCGATTAATCGGACGTCAGTTACTCTATTTATTCCAAGAGAGAACGTGATGGGACTGGAAACAAGCAACTGAAGACTGGTAACAAGCTTAATTAACCTATACCCAACCCATCACCGACATCCTTGACGATAGTAATTTTTCGTTGGTAAGAACCGGCCAACACAAAAATCTCACACGCGTCGTACAAATAATGATAAAGAAAAACGCTCCCGAATCTCCGGTTTTCTGATAATTCCAGACGATCGGGAATATCTACGATTTATATTTCCATCACTCAGCAAACCCTGTAACGGTCGGTAACTGACTAGTCACGGTTACGCAGAAGAACGCTAATTTGATTTTCGCCCCCTTTTCGCTTAGGTTCTTATATGCAAGTCATAATCTTCACACCAACCTGACGGTGCCAATGTCTTTCCAAGTTTTTCTGAAAGAATGAAATAACATAAATACTTAACTAGTAGCACTAAGGAGTTCATAACATCAAAGCCTGTTTAGAAACAAGCGCATGTTAGCAAGATGCCACTCGTTAAATTACCGCCAGCACTTCTTAAGAGTGCGTACAGCGCAAAATTTCACGTGGTGAAAGACTCAACGCTACCTGATGACGCACTGCGTAAAAGTACGAGCCATGTAAATTTTTAAAGAGGAAAAACTCTTTAGGAAAAACTTTAGTCACGGCCATTGTGTTATTGAAGTGCGCATGTTCTATAAACGGGTTTTCAGACATCTTACTTTGTATCCAGAGCGATGTAGTCTCCTTAACGTAGTGCTTGGGTTTCCGACCACTGTTATCGCGCACGTCAACATCCGCTCCTTTCATGTGAGGAGAAAAAAGACGACGATAAGGTGTAATTAAGAAACACTGATCTTGGTCTCCAGTTCTGCCATATTTAACTTTTTTTTTTCTAGACTCAAAGCGAAACGAAGGAACATAAACTTAAAATTATTTACCCCCAAGAGTGACTGGCTTCTATTTTCTCCTTACATTTTACCCTTGAATCAAATGAAAAGGTTATGAGAATAGAAGAAATGATCACCACGTTAAGAAGCTCCTGATTGTCAAACAAACTCTCCTTCTCAGTACCATAGGAAAATTAAAGTAAAGATAGCAGTCTGGAAAATATGAGTAAGCATGAGACAAGAGCAAATGTTTTCTTACCGCTGTCAAACAGAGAAGCAATGACGTTTTCTCGGCCTTGGATCACGGCGAGATGTAACGCAGTGTATCCCTGAAATAAAATCATTCGAATTACTTTATTTTCGGCGCGTCAGATACATTCGTAAAAGTTATATCGGCAAAGGAGCTTCTTCTTCGTGTGCGAATTAGGCCACAGTTTGCCGAGTAAACGCCACCTACTAGGGGTTAATGACAAACAAAGAGTTGATGTTGCTTGTCAACTTGTTATTTAAAGTGTATGAACTTCTTTGCCAGGAACGTTAACCCTCGGCTAGGTGTACCGCCATTTTAATGCAGCATCTTCCACCTTCTCCTCCCCCCTAAAAGACAAAAAAAAGAAAGGAAAAAACAAAAACAAGACAAAAGAAAATATTTACGAGGAAATATCGACTTACCCCCTTAACAGTTTCGTCCAAGACGCCAAAGAGGAACATGATCAACCAAAAAGAAAAGTTTGTTAGAATCGAGCAACGGGAGACACCCCTTACCATAATGAAATAAGGCCCTGGTGATATTCAGGTGCAATATGTTCTCTTCCAGACGATCTCTCATTTTCTCCAACAGAGAAGTTCAACCCCCACCCCCACATTTTCTTTTATGATCGGCCAGTAATTAAGCTATAAGCGTCATGTAATAAAAAATGTGAGGGCAAACTCTCACCTTCTGGCCAATTGAAGAACCGTTAATAGAATGCCACACAAACCATCATGTCCAGCGTTGAAGAATTGTGGGAGACGAAAAGAAAACATAACTCAGCCCGTATATATAAAATTTATTAGTTCATTAAAAAAGAGACAGATATTTAGAACATAAATTTAATTCCTACCGATTTCATATTTACATCTATTCCTGTATTTATGAGAAGTTCGGCGATATCCTTTCTCCCTTTTTTGGCAGCCCAATGAAGAGCAGTCTGCAAAAAACCAATCCAAATGTGCATGAGTCCGATTGTTTTATTTAGTGTATAATACGTAGTTATCTGTAGTCTCATGTTTAGGGAGTTAAACTCCGAGTCGAGAAGTCCAGATTTGAGCTCTTTGAGCAAAACACTTCCCTCTCACTACACCTCTCTTGATCCTGGCGTGTTATTGGAAACCTAACGAAATATTGGGTTTCCTGGATTAGCTTCAAACACAGGTGAAGTAGTAATGCACCTCTGTTTCATGCCGCAGACACACCAGCAGGATAAACCTCTTGATTTGTTTCCAGACTTAATTATGGCCGAAATTTAGACTCGGACGAGCTATAATTTAAGGCCTTTGTTTTTTTTTTAATTTTTTAATCGCAAAAGTAAAGATACTTACAAACTGGAATCAAGAAGCGTGAAGAGCCGTTTGTAAAAGAAGAAAGAATGAAAACCATTGTTTAGTAAACTAAATTTTATTAATTATCGTAAGACAAAACGAATCCAATGAGTAATGCGTTACTTACACCCTTTAGTTGTTTATCCACCATCATAGCCGTGGTCATGAAAGAAAAAAGATGTTGACTGAGAATGAATGAGCAAATATTAAAGAAATTTTAAATTATTAAGCGAAAGAGAGTGCAGTGCTCTACCAAAACCCTACCAACTAAAAACCGATATCACAGTGGTCATGAGTTCAACTGTCCAGGTTTGACCCAGCAAGGTCTACTTGACGGACAGGTAAAGCTAGTTGGAACATATATATATGCGAACCAAGAAAAAAAAGAGGTGATAGCTTACCATGACAAAATCCTTTGACAGGAAAATTTGTAGAGAAAAAAAACAAGTTTCAGTACAACTGGAATAAATGAAAGAGAATACTTATTCATATTTGTTCAGAAATTTTTTCAATTTCCAGCTACACATTTTCCTGGTTATTCCAAACGGCATTCAACAATCATTTTTTTCACAGATACTCTTTTCAGAGAAATACCAGGCAGCACGACACAGATTAAATTCTCTTCAAAAGAATCGCAGTCGCTTTTTAAGATATCCTATAGCAACTTAGCATGTACCCCAAGATAGCCCTTCCTCCACTCCCACCCCCCCCAAGGTAAGACCATGTATATAGCTTGGCTTTTCTTTAAATCTTCATTGCCATATTGCTACGAGTACGAAACTAAGAAGAAAGTTTTCTTTTCATTGTATCTCGGCGCCAGTTCCAAAAATCATTTAATTAGGCACCTGTGTTGTTACAAGGTTTGGATCCTGTTCCAATAATGCAACAATTCCGGGGAGGTTCCCTTCGCTTGCTGACTGGTTCCATTTTCTTTCTAAATATGAAACCTGAAAAAAGTAGTGCGATATGAAAACTGGTTGAAGCAAGGATAAAAGATGAAGAGCCGAATGGTGGAAGAATTCAGAAACTCCGCGGTTGTAGGAATTCGCCGATTCCAACCGTCCAAGTTAAGCTTTTGGTTGATCTGCGCGTGATAAATTGAGCGGCTCCACCTGTACATGAACTAAAGGAACATAGAGCCACCAAAAAGCTCTCAAAAAGAAAAAAGAAAAAATTGATCGACTGCCCTAACGCAATATTTAAACGAAGAGGAATTCGGTGAAAAATAGTCTATCTTGTAAGCTATCATACCGTTAATTGTTCACTGTTTCTTCTTTCTTGAAGATCCGCCCGTCCCGTCGAGGCTAAAAGAAAAAAAGACCACTGATCAAACAAGCGTTATTATCCTCTGAACTCCTAAGGTTTCAAAGAAAAATTCTCCATTTAATCTTCTCTCCACTTTCTCGCAAATCCTTCAAAAGAATTTAAACTTATATGAAGATAGAACCTTCTAAATATAGTGAAATACTCTTCTCAGGATCGCCGGAAGGAAACCTGCGGTATGCGATCGAATGTGGCGATCCACTTTGCAAGAATCTCAGATTTAAGGATACCAGTGCCTCAGTAATTAAATTAAGTTTGATACATACCGTACGAATTCGTTTGAAAACCTAATGCTTCCAAAACCTGCGAACGACAAATATCGGGAAATGGGTGATAAGAACCCCGCTACTGTGCGGAACTCGAGGTGAGGGAGGAGTTGGTAAGTTTCTAAGGAAACCGTAATGCTGCGTCGGTCGGAGAGTTTAACAGGGTAATTTAGTACTCTCAGCTGGGTTGATAACGTAAATTAGCCACCCTTAAGAGTTAAAAAGCTGACGTTTCGAGCGTTAGCCCTAAGTCAGAGCGACTGGGGGGAGGGGGAGAGGAGGGGGGAGGGGTAGTCTCCTACCCTGACCTTCCACAGTTACAAGGTAGGATCTGGGTACGAGATTAGGGGAGGGGTCAAGGGGAATTAAGTAGAGGTGCGTTCTCAACATAGCCCTGTTCTTTTGTTGTCGTTATTGTCGTTATTGTTTTTTTACCCAAAAGGTACCCTTCTCACATACATCCATAAAGTGTTAACACTTTTAATATCCCAACAGTGAAAGTCTTTCTCTAAATATCTTGTAGTGCGGCTATCAAGAATGCTAAAGAAGCGAGAGAATGCGGGTCTCTAACAAAATCACAGTAATAAGCTGCGAGACGAATTTCACGGAAACATTTGTCAAAAATGCTTTTATCTTAATTAGCTCCAGAAGCTCTATTGTTATGAAGCCTAAATTAAATGTACAAGTAATAAAAGTTTACTTAGTTTATATATTCACTTTAATTAAGCAATTAACTTGATTGATTGGCATTCAGTGAACAGTCAAAGAGTTGAAATCTTCGCCGACTGGAACATCGACGAACAAATGATTATTTTGCTTAACTGAAGTCCTTTTCTAAAGCTATTATACAATAACTTCCTCATGATCGGTGAACACCGGTCACTAATGAAATCCTTGTCGTTAATGTCCAATAAACTTTCTAAAGCTGAGAGAATTCCTGTAATTACCCTACGGATTCTACTTTAAAAAACGAGCTTTTGGAGTGAAGTTTCTGATACTTACCGCTTTCGATGCCCGAGACATTTGTCAGTTAAAAAATACTTGACAATCAAAGAGCTATTTCGCTTTGTGTTGTGCTGCTCTCGTCCTCTAGGATTGTCTGGTCTGCTACGACGCGTCTATCGCAGGTTCAGGTTGTCGCCAATGTTTTTAGGGCGATTCACATGCGCGCATGTAATTAAACTAAAGTTGTTGTCGTCTTTTTTAACATTTGTTTACCGATGCTTGTGGCAAACAATAGTCACAATACATTCGATATAGTTCGTTCTGTGTGATAATAAATGCTATACAAAGACGTTTTAACAGGACTTATAATCACTGTAGAAAACCGAAAATAGTTCAATAGATACGCATGTTGTTTCGTTAAAGAAAGTTTTCATTTTCCTGTGGTTATACTGGAATGCAAACATGTTGTCAATGCACAGTTACGGAAACAGAGATAACACGATTGACTCAATTAACTGCAAGAGAATACATTTTTCCGGACATTTTTCGCTTGAATTTTACTATTCGATAACGTGAATTCTCAAGCGTGGAGGGGGGAGAGGAGTAGCTCATTGGGAACAAGCACTATACTCGAAGAAACTGAAATTCAACTTTTGACATCGATTGGTTCATTTATAAGACGCTAAAAATACTTAATTCTCACTTTAATTAGCATGTGAAGGACACGTTGGCCTGGTAGCCAGCTGAAGGTCCGGATTTCAGCTTTGAATGGATAAATCATGTTGTGTTTTGAATTAGACAGAGCTGTCATATTGTTTTCCTTTAACAAGAGTGTAAATAAGTAGCAACAAACGATTGACACGGTATCTGTGATACAAAGCCTCCCGCCTTTGCAAGTAGAACAGGCTTTGATTTGTTGTGTGTCTTTCAGGCAAGTGGAGGGAAGCGCGAGTTGAGAAAGAAGCGCGGATCACGCATGATCAGAGCCTGAAAAGCATACTCCTTTGCGCTCATCTCGCGCTTAGCCCTCGCTTGACTGAAAAACGCAAAGGTAACGCCGGTGCGACAGCATTTCCCGCGAAGGTACATCAAAATCACTCCAGTTGTTTCACGCTACAGAAAACAGTAAAGGATCTGGTAGAAATTGGTAACTAAGCTCATGACTTGATCATATCTCACTGGGTATTTTCACCAGCTAGAGAGAGAGATTCATCTTCATGGCCGCAATCCTATCATGACGATGGAAGCTAACGTGGCGTAAATCTCGCAACGTGGTAATCACAACAGCTACCCGCTATAACAAGGAAGAATTGGGCAATTATTTGTAAGTCTGTGTTTGTAAGACTGAAGGTCCCAAAAACGTTCTTCGACAAGTTGCAGAGAAACACCTTGAAATCAGCCCAAGCGCTTTGTTCACGCCCTACCCTTTGCCTTGAAAATGTGCTTCGCCGAATGAAGAATATACGCACTTTTCATCGATACGCCACTGACAGAATGCTGCACAAGATGAAATTGATTAAGACTCAAAGCCACGCCGTTCATATCCCAACAAGATGTTTTTATTATGAGAAAAAAATTATCTTCTTGTCATGATTACAGTGATGGTAAGGATGACTAAAGCGTAGACCAGCCAGGAAAAAGATTTTTGCTTGAAAGCAAATACGTCATTTGTGTTTCTTATAAACACAGGGAATAGTTTGCTGACTCGATAGCATTTCGTTTGCTCTGTGAGACGCTTTGCTTTTATGTGAAGAATTTGCACAGGATCCTTGAAGTTTACATCAAGGAATTTTATAAGTAAACTCAAACCTCCTCAAGAGTAGGGTGAGACATAATTTTGTAATCGACCAAAATTATTTGTTGAATAAAGGAACAGGTACCATATAAGTCCCTCAGAATTGTCAATATCTTGATCATTCTTCGAGGTTTGCAATGTTTACAACAATCTTTGATTGAGTTGTCAGTATCTTGATCATTGTTAGAGGTTTGCAATGTCTTCAACAGTCTTTAACAGCTCTTCTTGTGTAACGTTTGTATTGGGTAGAATGAGTTTCTCTTTATTGATCTGTGCCAAAAAGTAAACTCAATATCAATTAAAGTGCAATTTTGAAAAACAGTATAAACAGAGCATGGTCTGAACAAGAGACTGAGGTAAGTTGTCTATTAACTAAGTTAGTATGTTGGTAAGCAAGCATGGACCAGCTTTCTAATTTAACCCTTTAAACCCTGAGAGTGACCAGCATGTAATTTCTCCTTACAGGAATACTGCTGAATCATTCATTAAGATCATGAGAAAAAAGGAAATCATCATCAACCTGAGAAGCTTTGATCATTAACCCTTAAACCCCCATGAGTGACTTGTATCTTATTTCTCTCTACAATATCATCCCTGAATCATACAAGATAATGTAAGGAGAATAAGGGAAATGATCAACAACGAAAGAAGCTTTTGATTGTTGAGGAAATTTCCCTTGTAGGCACCTTAGGAAATGTATCAGTATGGAGAATATACATTCTGATGATAGGGTGTAAAGGGTTAAATAAATTATCTTTGTCAGCACCAAAGGAAGTGTTAGAGAAGATTATGTAGAATATGGATGCTGATGTTGGGGTGTACATGGTTAATACTGGGCAGTGGTCATATATGTGGGTCTATGGTGATAGATTTGGGTAAGAGAAGGCCTTGAGGAAGGGTAAGTGAGGTTGTATCAAGAACCTGTATTGAAGGAGAGGGTTAAAATATTTCCTGCCACACCTTAGAAGATACAACATTAAGATAGCTTCCAGCAGTTGTGGGCCACAGGGTGCACAAAAGTGTACATACCTTTACATTTGCTAGCGTTTCTGTAGAAACAGATTCCCTTTGAGTTCTGCTTTTAATTGATGTTATGTTATGAACAGCTGTAAAACTCTTGTTAACTTCTTCAATCTGTTGGAGTGTTTTCTCTTTCAACTGCATAAAAAAATGAAAGATAATCAACACACCAATGAATAAGAATTACCAGTTGGATTTCACACTTAATCCTTTAACTCCCAGAAGTTATTAATATGTAACCTCTCCCAATAATATCTGTACATCAGCCAGCAAATAGGTAATGAGAATACTCAAAATTATCAGCTAGGGGTTGACATCTTGATCTAACACCAAATTCTGGTGGTTTCTTCACAAGGAAATATGAAGAAGCTAGAGTAATTTTAATTCCTTGGCATGCAGTCTTGTTTTTTCAGTCAAGTTAAACTGTCTCAGAATTAAAGGTTGCTGGATATAGTTTTCCTGGTCTCTGACCGGCTATCTTCAGACCGCTCAAACACCAACTTTTCCCCCTTTGCAGTCGAACGATTCTCACGCGTGTGTTAACAAAATGATTAAAGTTTGAATTAGTTTGCGTGGCATGGCAATCGCTTGGAACGCTTTTCACAAACATCACCCAGCTTTGCGTCTAGCAGTTTATCGGCAACTAGAAACCATAACATACTAGTATCTCCGTTAACCAGTGCTAGCCACTCCTTTAGAAAAATGACATGAAATGTTACCTGCTTGTTAGAAAGGGTGTTCTTCTTAGCCTTTTTAACCCCAGAACTGCTTTTTCTTTTTGAATGGAGTTTGTTTTTATGCTTCGAATGCACATGTGTTTTTCCAGGCGCCATGTTATTTTGCGTAACATATTTAAAAGAAACCGCTGGTGAAAACGACTGTTTTTCCAAACTTCTGCAAAAATATCCGGGACTTTGCAGCCTAAGTCCCTCCCTCTGCACTTGCGCATTTCTTCCCCGGCCCTGTTGGACTGTCTCCGTGGAACGTGGAGCGACTGTACAACTTTGTTTCCTTCTTGTGAAGGCGGAGTTTGATCAAAGTTCTTTGATCAGGTGAGTGAAGACGAAGAAGATGTTATCTGCCTTCTGTGGCCTTTCTTTCAATTAACGTTCATCGTTGTCTATTTCGTGTGGGAGGCGGAAGGACGGAGCAAGAAACACGATCCCAGTGTTCATTAGTACTTGCCGTATCAGACACGAGAATTGTAAAAATTTCAAAGAAGTATTTTCCTCAATAGACCGTTTGTTACTTTGCGCTGAGGGAAATTTGAGGGCTAGTACCAGTTAAGCCTTGTTTGTACTCGGTGAAGCATAATGTTTGAAATTCAAACTTAAGTTCTGTAGGAGGGCAAATATACATAAACTTATTCAACTGTGCATTTTGTTAGCTTCCTCTTATCTGCCGATCCCACTTGCTGCAATTACACGAATACTTTCATCGACAAACCATTAACAAGCATTTAACGTTTCGCTACTTTTAAAGTTGTCTCTTTTTAAAATAATTATTGCGGCCGTTTCTAAATTAAATTAGATTTTGTAGTGTGTGTATTTATGTTCGTGTTACTTTTGGTGGCGAATTTTTAATTCAACCACAAGCCAATCTTTGATAGTATCATACTGAGTTTTGTTATTGTTCACTTTTGTTATGCTGGATATTTTGAAAAAAGTACGGTACGTGTGATTTCAGTTTTAATTTCTCGAAGCAATATTAATATTGTTTTGAAATTTCCCTGAGTAATGTCCATCTCCAAGCTTGTAAATATACATGTATCTCTGATTGTATTGAATACAATTACGATTTTAAATTTGGCTCACAAGTGTGGAAATGAGATAGATGTTGGACTGCTTAGTACTGTGCAATCATAAATATCAAGTGCATTTCCTGGGGTGACAACAAAAACTATGTCTAATGGCCTGTGGGTTAACTGTCAAATGCCTTTGACACAAATTCCTGTTATGGCTTATGCTTGTGATTTTCATATTAAAGTTGCAATAAAGAACTCTTAAGGATCACTTAATTAGTGAAAGTCAGGGTTACAGGTGATAATTTTTATCGAGATAGTATTCTCTTGATAGTATTCTCTTTATAGCATCACAGTTGTCTTTTCCAATTGTAATTGAGGTCACCAGTATATTGGTTAGCAACAAAGTGTCATGTTAAACAGACTTCATTAACTTTTTTCTAAGGTAATGTTAAAAAAATCTTTAATTCTCATTCTGTATCAAGGAAGTTAATTAATTGGAAGAAACCAAACCACTTTTTGTCAGATAAATGAGAAACTTGAATTAAGTATTCATGCCTGATAAACAGTTCTCCCTTCTACAATAATAGCTGCGGTCAAGTTTTGGTTACTGATATATCAAGATAACACCTGCCAGCTCTACCCTCATCATCTGTTTTCTAGATAACACATTGAACATTGTTGTGATGTTGATTACTACTTAGAGCTGAAGTCCATTTTTATGGGCTGATCTCAGTTGAAATATTAGATCATACTTCGTTCATGTAGAAGTCATGAGAGCAAAAGGAAATAAGTTTGTGCAGGAAGAACAAGAAACCTTTGACATTGTTTAAATCCTTTGTTACAATCTCCTTTGAGTGACATTTTGCATCTTTAACAAATTGTTGTCGTACCAATTTCTTGTCATATTTACACCCTCATTAATTGCCCATGAATCCTTTTAACTCTGAGAGCTGATTTAAAATTATCTTTTAATTACAATATCAACACCCAAACCAGAGGAGGGGTGATTAGATTTGAGAAAGTTATCAGCAAGATGTTATCTTGATGTAACACTTCAAATCTTTCAAGTTATTCTAAAGAAATACATTTGAGCTAAAGCAATAATTAGAGAGTTGAACTGACACTGTTACAGTGTTCATTTACTTTACATCTGCATACATGTTGCAGGCAAGAGAGTAAACTAATTGGTTATTTGTTCACAGTAGCTCCTGAATTAAGGCCTGACCATGCCGGCTCCTGGTAAACTGAGGGACCTGATACGAACAATAAGGGCCGCAAGGACAGCTGCTGACGAAAGAGCAGTGATAGCAAAGGAGTGCGCTTACATCAGAGATTCCTTCAGAGAGGAGGATAATGACTTTAGATGCAGAAACGTGGCCAAGCTTCTGTATATTCACATGCTAGGATATCCTGCACATTTTGGCCAGGTATAGTCAAGAGTTACATCACATTTTGTAAGGAGAAGGAAGTATAGGAGATGTTTTTGTAATAGGGTATGGTATGTTTTTGTATGGTACTTGTTGTTAATGAAGTTACAAAAGCCATGTTCTTTTCATAATATTATTTCCCTTTGTCTCTCTGCAGAAGGTCTAATAGGGAATAAACTTTGAAACTGAGGGTTATTTTCAAGCCAGCCCACACTGAGTCATGTTTGTTATTTTATATTGAGTTTTGAAGTATGGAAATTGGTGTGGAACATGCTACCCATTTTCTTTCACAGCTGGAATGTTTAAAACTTATTGCCTCACCCAAGTTTACAGACAAAAGGATAGGATATCTGGGAGCCATGTTATTACTTGATGAACGGCAAGATGTCCACTTGCTGGTGACAAACTCTCTTAAAAAGTGAGTAAAAAATGACAAAAACTAAATTATGGGACAAAAAGTGTAAGTTTATTTGGAGAATTGTGGCTGATATTATACTATACTTTTGATGCATTTCAGTGATTTGAAAAAGTGTAAGTTTAATTAAGAATTGTGGCTGATATTATACTATACTTTTGATGCATTTCAGTGATCTGAATCATCAGAACCAGTTTGTTGTTGGCCTGGCACTTTGTTCTTTAGGAAAGTAAGTTCAATACCTTGTGTTTCCTTCATATTTTCTTCTGGCATACTGGAAAATATTTTGGTGATTTAGAGGTCTTTTCGTTTACTTCTGTTTTTTTAACTGCATGGATAGGTGACCCTCCTTTAATACTAATATAGTAAACTCTGCAGTTGTTTGATTCTAACAGAGTTTTAATAATCATCTCTGCATTACAGTATTTGTTCTCAAGAAATGAGTCGAGATCTAGCAGGTGAAGTGGAAAAGTTGCTCAAGTCAACCAACTCTTACCTGAGGAAAAAAGTGAGTTAAATGTTATTTTTCGTACACAGCTGAAATTTGGTTGGCATTATGGTGCTCAAATTTGTTTTATGATGGCAGAAATGTAATTTATGGTTTAAGCTTCATACTTTACTTACATGAACATTTTGCATGTATTGTATTTAAGCCATAGTATCTTCAGAATGGAAAATTAGAGATAAATTTTGTCACTCTTCAGGTTCTAATGTAATGGGTTGTTGTGATTTTTCAGGCAGCACTTTGTGCAGTAAGAATAGTTCGAAAAGTTCCAGAACTCATGGAAGTGTTTGTCCCCACAACAAGATCTCTTTTGAATGAAAGAAATCATGGTTAGTACCAAAAATACTTTAGTTCATGGCTGGCACCTTTTGAGTTCTCTAGAAGCTTGTTGGCAGCCATTCCTCAACAGTCCAGAGCCATTTTCTGGCAGTTGCCTTGAGGCATTTGCCCATCCCATCCTCCATCTTCTGTTCCTTCTACTGATTTACTCAGTGTTGATGGGTGCTGGGAATGGGGCTTCATGGTAGGGTTATAGGGATTTCCCAGCTATAGGTGTGGCACTCTACACCCTGAATGCCTGTCTTTTATTCAAGCTAGGTAACAGCTAGGAGTGGTTACAAACTGAAAGTCATATGTGTTCCAGACTTGAATCCAAGTATTGATGCAGTATAAATAGGGTTGTCATTTAAAAATGTCATTGGTGGGCTGAACCGAGCAGGTGGCTGGGTTGAATTCTGCTCGCTGAACAACTGTGGCGTGTTGCTTCACTTACCACAACATAGTGTTTAACATTGATGGGTAGCCTTGACAATGAAGTGTGTTTTAAATGGTTAAGAATTGAGGAAAAATGTTTTAACTTAAGTTTTACATTCTGCTTTTGGCTTGTTTGACCAGGAGTTGCAGTGTGTGGAATTGCACTGGTTACTGAGATGTGTCGGGTGAACCCTGAGACACTATCTCACTTCCGAAGGGTAAGTTTGTGTTCATCTTCAATTCAGGCAAAAGCCACTATGCAGAGTTACTGCCACACTCAGAAAAATGAACAATTAGAATGTCTTTGGAATGATAATTGTGTTATGGTTTACTGCTTTGCAGGTTAGTACATGCAGGCAAACAATGAAACCACAAATTAATCAACCTACAGCTTTTTATGATAAGTCATGTTATTTCTGATTGGCCTTGTATTCTTCTTCCTGACTCAACAACATCAGAGAATTAACTGATAAATTCCATGTTGCCATGCATCTATTCAGTAATAGATCACAGATGGTCTCAAAATGTGGTGAGAACAAAAAGAGGGGCACACAAGCCACAACCAGGTGTGTCACTGATGTTCTTATCACAGTTTTATGTCATCTGTGATCTGTTACTGAAAAGACCCATGGAAACAAGATATCTGTTTGATAATTCTGTGATGTCATGGCATAATTCAGCATATTATACATATGCTGGTGGTTTTCATACAGTCATGTATAGTAGTTGTCTGAGTATTACAGTTACAATTAGTTGTGCAGTTTTACAAAATTGCTCTTTTAGTTTATGTAACTGTAAATAATTATAAGTTGTATTTTTGTTTGATTACAGCATGTTCCCATTTTGGTGAAGACACTAAAGAATCTTGTTATGTCAGGATATTCTCCTGAGCACGATGTTTCTGGAATAAGCGATCCATTCATGCAGGTAGGATTACTGATTGATTTGTGGTCTTGTTTTTTATAAGGGTAAATTTATGGGCACTTACAGTATGTGTAATTGTCTCCTTCTGGGCACTTACAGTACAAGTAATTATCCTGCTGAGTGTGGACCACAACCAATTTTTGTGGTGATGTTTCATTTTGTTTTTTTGCAGGTAAAACTTCTGCGACTTTTGAGAATGCTTGGTAAAGATGAAGAGTCAGTCAGTGAACAGATGAATGATGTGCTGGCTCAGGTGTGTACATGAAATTACCAGTATTTATGTGCAATTTGTTAAACAGTGTGTCAACCCTTTTACTTCCAGTAGTGACCAAAACAGAATTTCTCTTTACAATATCAGTACAATGTCAAGCAGACTAGTGATGAGAATCAAGAAAGATGGAAATTAAATGGGTTATAATTTTAACGGGTAAAAAAATTCTCAGAACAAAAAATATGAGCAATGTAGGGAAGGCAGTATGTAGAATTACCAAAGAGATCTTGGGAGTGAAAGTGTAATGGCCAAATAACATAATTGTGTACATTTGTGAACATTACAACAACAGTATCATCAATGCAAATTACAGCGCAAGTGCTGGTAATCAAACAGTGCCTTTTTCATGTTGTGATCTTCCATGACCAAGCTTCTACACCCTTTGGATGTCGTTGTTGTATCATTATACACAATTTATGTGCATTAGATGGCTTATCATTAACTACAGCAACACAAAGTTGATGGGAACATTTTTTCTGTGGATACCTATTCCCAGGAATTGTGTGATTTTAGATGTGTTGATTTTCCTGTTATTTTTTACACATTACAGGTTGCAACAAACACTGAAACCAGTAAAAATGTTGGCAATGCCATCCTGTATGAAACAGTTCTGACCATAATGGATACAAAGTCAGAGAGTGGACTCAGGGTATGGTTTCTTGTATCATTTTTTTCTGTTGGGTTTTTTCTTTTGCTGTTTTCCCTTTTTTTTGTTTGCCAAAAAGAAAAATTTCATGATAGATATAACTGCTGTTCTTAAACCTTTTCACTCTGCTTCTTGCATGTACAAAATCAAAAAATGAAAATAAATAAATGAATAAATATATAGTAGCTTGCAACATGTAATTGTTCAGTGTAATCTTCCAGCCCCCTAGAGTGACTAGCATCTAATATCTATTTGCAATATCACCCCTGAATTAAACATTAAGGTCAAGAGAGAGAAGGAAATGATCACCAGCTAAAGAAGCTCTAGTTTTTTGAACAAATTCTCCTTGTCAGCACTGTAGGAAATTTATGGAGAACAGTATGGAGAATATGCATACTGATGTTAGGTTGGAAAGGGCTGGCAGTGTCTTTGGTGGTTCATTGTTTTGGTGGCGGTAATTTTACAGTGTAGGTTGCCCTTGTAAAAGTTAATAAAGATTTACCAATCTTTAATTGCAGTTTATATCTTTTTTTGTAGGTTTTAGCAATCAATATTTTAGGACGCTTTCTTTTAAACAATGACAAAAATATAAGGTGAGGTTGATTTTGAAAGTTTTTGTTTGGGGTTAAAAATGATTCAACTCAGCTACATAATACTGTGTTTGTACTCTATTAAATTTTTTGTACATCCTTTACACTTGGGCCACCAACATGCTTTCTGTGCATAGAAGTGGTTAAGGAAACAGTTTTCACTTGACTGCTGTGCAATTGATGACCATCTACAATATCAATAGTATTCTTTATCCAGTAGATGTTAATCACAATTTTTTTTTTTTTCACATAATTCAAAACTTCCTATTTAAGTTGAATATATGCTTTGCTGTATGCATTTGTAAAGTTGTCACAAAAATGCTGTCAGGGAACTTTTGAATTTAACATACAGGAATGAATTGATTCTCAAAACTACTTGACTTTGTATTTTGGTAATGTAGTCAAGAAAAATTTGCTTAGGCACCTTTTAGGAAGCTGAAAGTAATGTTTTTTCTTATCATATTTTTTTACTTGCTTGGAGTAGGAAATTATTTGTTCCAGTGTTAGAACTATTATTGTTGACCTTTTGATGGTGATTGTATTGCAGATATGTTGCACTGAACACACTCTTAAAGACAGTAACTGCAGACTACAATGCTGTCCAGAGACACCGGACCACAATCCTAGACTGTTTGAAGGATCCTGATATTTCCATCAGAAGGTAAGCACCTAATTTTTTTAACTCATCTCCTATTGATATAAGTAACTACCTTTGGTAAAAAATGTTTTTATTCAAAGTGTTTTAACACTTAGTCTCTAGATGAATAAACAGTTTCACTCAGGTACAGATGTTTGCAAAAGTTTTTGTGCCTTTTTTCTTAACTTTAAGATGGTTCTTTTGAAGTTGTGTAAGTGCTGTCTTAATTAGTACAAACAGTATCTGTTTTTTTGGTTGTTGTAAAAGTTAACTCTTTTACCCCTAAGAATGACAAGCATCTAATTTCTCCCAGCAATATCACCCCTGAATCAATCATTAAGGTCATGAAAGTATAGGAAATAATCACCAACTGAAAAAGCTCTTGATGGTTGAACAAATTCTCCTTGCCAACACCATAGGAAATGTATAGGGAACAGCATGGGGAATATGCCAACTAATGTTAGGTTGTAAAGGGTTACACAAGTAATGAATTAAGTTCATTTTGATAATTTTTCCCCTCTTGTTTTTAGGCGAGCAATGGAATTGTCCTTTGCTCTCATAAACTCAAGTAACATTCGCGGCATGGTGAAAGAACTCTTGACCTTCCTGGTCAAAGCTGATGTGGAGTTTAAGTCTTATGTCACCTCAAATATCTTCTTGGCAGCTGAAAAGTAAGAGTTTTGTTTACTCCACCCATCAAAAGGAGAAACATTGTTTTTGACATTTAAATTTTTCTTTGAATGGTGTATATACACTGTAATGATAATGCTAGCCATTTGTCCAGCTTTCAAAACTGCTTCCAACATGATGGTTACCATATTATGGAAAGTTAAAAGAGATAACAGCAAAATGGGATACAAAATGGTTTCATTAGAAAATATTGTACCATGGTGTTTGTGTAAAGACCACAAATGGATAGCCAGCATACAACAAACATATTTATGTAGATGTACCTGCTAGGCAGCATCTTTTGTAACCATTGGTACATACGTTGGTAAACATTACAGGCACTGTACAAGAATGATGACAGTTAAGAGAAATTGAACTTGTTCCAGGCATTCAAGTTTTAAATGGGGCAAAATAGCAAATGGCTAGATAGAAGTGGAGAAGTGAAAAAACAAGGGAGGTTTCCATTCTTTTTTTCACTCCTCCACTGCTGTAGTGTTTCTTAGAGTTGTGCTTCACTTTACGGATTGGAAGACAGCAAGACAAATAGCAAGATAATGACCAATTTGAAAATTTTAGGCTAATTGTTTTTCATGTTCAGGAATGAGATATTCATCATGTTTAAATTTGCTTTTGCTCCAGGCATTCTCCAAATAAAAGGTGGCATATTGACACAATGATGAAAGTTCTTACAACTGTGAGTATACTTTGTTACATTATGTGCTGGCTTGGTTCATCGTGCTCTGTAGTTAGCTAAATTAAAAAAAGAGTGGAGAAAAAAACCTGCAAAGTGAACATACTCATGTTAATAATGTGATAATGTGATTGTACTGCCATTGTGTGTAAACATGCCCAATGATTATCTATGTTGAACACTACTTAAGATTTAACTGAGGATAATGAATGATTATTACATTCTGCAATATGAGGGCTATTAACAATGGTTTTTGCTTCCCTGAGCAATAATAAAGACAACAATATCACTCTCGATAGGTTGTCATCTAAAGTGTACTTAACATTTGTAAAATCGACTGATTATGAGTTTTCAAATTAAGGCTGGAAATTATGTACGTGATGATGCAGTTCCAAGCCTGATTCACCTGGTGTCAACGTCCAGTGAACTTCAAGCCTATGCCGTGCAACGACTTTTTAAAGCTATGCAGAATGACATTAGCCAGGTAATTTTGTAGTCACAACTCTAGTAATATTTTTACAGGTTTAAGTACACGTTTCACACCTTTACTGACTGAAATTGTTTACTTAGGAAGTTATTAACGTTGTCAATGAATTAAAAGCAATGTGACCAAACCGGTCAGCTCTGTGTAGTCTAGTTGGAAGAGCTGGTAATTTAGTGTTAACAACTGGGTTGAAAACGTAAATTAGCCACCGTAAAGGGTAAAAGCTTTTTTTTCAGCTTTTTTACCCTTTACGGTGGCTAATTTACGTTTTCAACCCAGTTGTTAACACTAACTTACCTGCTATACTCTCCCACCGACGCAGCACCACAGTTTCTTTAGAAACTTACCCCTTTATATAGTTGGAAGAGCTGCCGACTGCAAAATCAATGGGCTGCCAGCATGCTCTCAATAGCACTTTTGCACGAAAATCTCGTAAGCTTCTTGTGAGGGCGGCAGGGTTTCTATGAGGGATCTGGCATAAACTTTCATGCCAGATCCTTCGCAGACCTCCCGCAAGAAAGTGAAACAACTCAGCTCAATCCTCGTAACTCTCGTTACTCGACTCCGTCTCCCTGGACTCAACTTCCACAAGGTAATCGTTTTGCAGCTCCAATAAGAATTTTATCATAGGCTGCAAAATCAAAGAATTGGAGAGTTGAATCTTGACTGCCGAAGCTTGGGTTGAAACTGTTTGGTTAATTAGAAAATTTTAAATCTTAAACTTGCGAAGCATCTGAAAAAAAATCTTTTGTGGCCCTCTTAACCCGGGCTAACTCAAATTACCCTGTGTCACTCGCAAATTACTGTATTTGGTAATCGAAAATGGGTTTTTCTTTTTAGCAACCGCTGGTCCAGGTTGGGTCTTGGTGCTGTGGGGAATACGGAGATCTGTTGTTTGTAGACAGTGAAGAAGATGAAGCTCCCGTTGTAAGTTGAATTCACACACACTTTATACTCTTTATAGTAAGTTTACTTTGATTAGTCTAAGGGTGTAGTTTCCTTTTTTTAATTTCTATTGTGGATGTAGCCACGAGTGGTTCTACGAGTAAACTATATGAAAGGCACACGGCAGCTTTAATCCTTCACACCCAAACATCAGTATGCATATTCTCCATACTGTTCTCGATACATTTCCTAACGTGCAGACAAGGAGAATTTGTTTACCAATCAAAAGCTTCTTTAGTTGGTGATCATTTCCTCTTTACTCGCGACGTTAATGGGTGTTTCAGGGGCGATATTGTAGGAGAAAATTAGATGCTAGTTACTCTTAAGGGTTATAAGGTTAACGCTCCTACTAGTTGGAAGTAGATTCATAGCCGATTCGGAACCTACATGTAAGGCATGAAAATGAATATTCACATCTATTGAGGCAGATTTACACGAGTTCGTGTTTACACATACATTGCAATGTACATTTACTGGCGTTAAGTGTTGCTGCACACAGTTTGCGTCTTAAACACGCTATTTCTGCAGCGCGCTTGTAATTCGTAATTCGCGTATTTTATTCGCGTGTTAATGTTGCACTACAGCTGAACGGTAAAATAACTGGCTGCTGTGATGGGAATTCCAGGAAATTAAACAGGTTTTTATTGAAAGTACTGCACGAGCTGATGTCATTCATTTACTGTGCTTTACTGTAGATTACAGAGAATGATGTTCTTGATGTATTGGAAAGTGTTCTGTACAGCTCCCACTCAACTTCGATCACCAGAGATTATGCATTAACTGCCGTCATGAAACTCAGCACACGTTTCACCGCGACAATGGAGTGAGTGAATCTAAATAAATTTGAATTAACCTTCGCGGTTGGCTTTCAACTTTAATGATGACACTTTGTTGAAAAATTTAACCACCAGCTGACTGACAAATTTATTTTTTTGTGTCTTTTCAGGCGGATCAAGAATGTAATAAACCAATTCGAAGTGAACATGGATGTTGAGCTGCAGCAGAGGGGCGTAGAGTTTGGTTCGCTCTTCAAAAATCATGACAGTATGAGGTAAATTGTTTTCATTTTAATCATGTTGAAAATCAATCAATGGCTTTCTGATTACAGACCAGTTTAGGTGCTGCTTTTTTTCTGATGATTGATGAACTAGTAGTGATGGCTGACCGTCGATTACTGCACCCGCCAAAAGCGCTTTGTAAGGAGATGCCCGACTTAGACTCAAACCGTTGAATCCGAACTACATCGATATAGCTTAGAAAATGATTTTCTTTTATCCTCTCCAGACCGGCTCTTTTGGAAAAGATGCCCGTCATGGAATCTAAGCCTGTATCCTCTGAGCCAGTAACAAATGGAGAAGTCACAACACAACCAGAAGAACCACAAACGACTCAAGAAGGTACATAGGAGCTTCTGTTCTTACGCATCAAGTTAACTCTGTCACCGACGTTTTCCACTGCCTGTACTCTTGCTTGTACATTGGACGACACATCACCCCTAATTTTACATTAATCCGTTGTTGCAGAATAATTTTGCTAACTCGCAGTTTCTCCCGCCTTTCTTTTGCATTACAGCTGTTACAGAAGAGAAACCTCCTAAGCAAGCGGTAAGCCGTGAAAACGCTTTTTTTTTTTTTGGCTCGAAGGAGCCAAACCAGTAATAAAAACGTCCAATCAGAGCGGAGGAAATATTTGAAGAAGCTAAACAGAATTGAAGAAGAAAGCAAACTGTGCGGTAAAACGCAAGCGAACGAGTCGTGATTGGTTTTTACTTGTGAATTTGATCGGTCGAAAGAGTGACGCGCGTTTTCTAAGCCAATCAGAGAGCACATTCCAGGATTAATTTTGGCACACAATTGAAAATTTCTTCATATCAAACTGAGAAAGAAAGTTATAGAATACATTTAATGAGTGTTGTACATGTAAAAATGCCAGACTCCGTGAGGATTCAAGCCGGAGCTAGATCCGATATTCAACCAACCGAGCTAAATGGAACCCATTGGCAGCCCAGGCTATATTTTAGGTCTGATTGTGAAAAGCGCCCTGCATACTACGAGAATCAGAAATGTCGGAGGCTTCTCACGTTTAGATAGTAGGCTTAAGTTGAACTTGGTCCGGACTGTCAAGTCAATTTTAGTCAGTTTGCTTTTAGAAAAGAGTGTTCGACGCGCAAATTGAAGGAAAAACGCTCCATTTGTTTCTGAATTTCTCCATATTTGACCAACCTGTGTTTTCTCTCGTCAGTCGGAGACTTTGTTGGATTTACTTAGTGGTGGCCCCACCCAGCCTGAACCTACTCCCGCTCCAGTCCAACCTCCAGCTCCTGCGTCTTCATCCGGTGGTGACCTCTTAGATTTGCTAGGAGGTCTGGACCTAGGCTCAACGAATGCAGGTTAGTTCAACCGCAAACGATGCGGTTTGAAAGCACCTTTCGATTGGTTGTCGTCAAACCAACACTTAAAATAATCACGATGCGTGAATGGAGCAGGGTTCGATAAGTATCACATGAAGCTAGTGACAACTCGAATAACCACGAAAAAACTGGCCTCGAAAGCGGGAAACTCTGAGTGACAAAGGCTCGGTTGTTTTTTCCTTGGCAACCATCATCTTAAGTTCAGTGTTGCTGGAAACCTTGTAATCAGGGTGTGAAATATTTTGAAAATATGTAACGACAGCTTGCAAAAATTTCAAGGAGATTTGAAAAAACGAACAGGTTTTTAAGAAGAATTTCATGTCCATTGAAACTTTTGTAAGGTTGCTTATGCAAGTATTCTAAGTCAAAAGTAAAGAGCGTAGTCCTTTATGATTTCAGCATATGCCCAGTTTCATCATACTAGTTCTACAACACGACCCCAAAACTTCTGTAAGACCTGATGGGATTAATGGATGGTGGCCAGATTTCTCAACCAATCTCAGATTGCACAGTCACGGATTACTTGAAAGTTTTCCAATTGAAATTTTTTCTAAGCAGCACCATACAGAATACCATACCAGGACAGAATTTCTCCTTACAATATCAATACAAAATCAAGCACAGAAGTGATGAGATTGAAGAAAATTATCAGTTGAGGGCTCATTGGCTGATCCATTATGAAATACTCTGAAGTAACATCATAAGAATTATATGGGAGACAGTAGGGAGTATTTCTACTTGGATCTTAGGATTGAAAGAGTTAAATCATAAGTGTCACTCCGGCCAATCAGTTGCTTGTTTTTTCCTTTGGTGCTAGGTCCCCCTCCGATGAACATAATGGCTCCTTCATCAGCTGTTCCTAACCTGTTGGATGGCGGTGGACTGCTGAATCCAGCACCATTAGGAGTACAGGCTCCAGTGCAGATGAACCATCAACCTGTCGCCCCACTGACTTCAAATTCTTCTTCAGGTTAGTTTATAGACCTTTGTTACAATGAGTGGCAAGCACTCCTCCCTATGGTAATCAGTCGATTACCTTCCACTCAACATGATTAACAGAAATCTTGTAATTAATCTCTAAAGAGTTATCTAAAAGTCGCTGCCCTCCCCCCCTCCATCCCCCTCCACGTTTACTACGTAGCCGGTGGTCCATGCTCAAGAGAGATGGAGAATGAAAGAAACGGGATGCGTTGCAAAGCTTCCCGTGAGGAATTCTTCCATCCCTGCTGCATAAAGCTCAAGCAAAACGGCGTCGGAGCTAAGACATCTTCTAATGTGAATTTTGTTTGCTAGGTTTCCCGCCCATAACAGCCTTCGAGAAAAATGGTTTAAAGATAATTTTTGCGTTCGAGAAGGTTCCTGGTAACCCGTCTAATGTGGTGTCCATCATGGTAACGGCCACGAACTCGCTCGCTTTCCCCATGACTGATTTTGTTTTCCAGGCAGCAGTACCTAAGGTATGCAATCAGTTCCTCTTCGGTTTATTTTAAGCGATTGTCTTTGTAGAAACATGGGTGTCAGTAACTTTTCCATAAGCGGCTGCCGGTACCGTTAGGCAAAAAATAGATATGACAGTCTGCTCGCAGGGTTAACAGACGGCGGTAAGAAGTCTTATAGGCGTAGGTAGATCGCTGGCAACTGGCTTTAAATGGAACTCCTGATAAGTGCAGCGAAAAAAGTGGTCAAATTTTAGCGAGTTGAGCATCTTTTTCTCTTGACAGTAACGTGAAGTGACAAGCACGCCCTGCAGTCAATGACTTGTTGTTTTGTTCTTCCACAGACTTTCCAGTTACAACTCCTAAGCCCGTCTGGTAATGTGATACCACCCAACAACTCAGGAACCATTACCCAAGAAGTGAAGGTGGCCAATCCACAACAGGTAAATCAGTCGGCTATTTGTATGCCTGCCCTGTTCCTAATAACATCTCTTCTTTCTCGGCCTGAACTGCCTATTTGATTCAACGCTTTAGGGAAGGATTCCTAATCACCCGAGTGAACTGTTGGCAATTTCTTTGACACGTGATCGCGATTTGCGACCCGCCGGATTGGTTAATTGAGCTGCACCCACGTGATCAATGTTTTCGTGTTTAATTTCTTTAGCAGTATGAATACTAATATAGCATAAGCCGTTCTTTGAAACTAACCTGTTAGCGTATGGACAACGAGACTTTTCTAGGTTACACTTTGTCGCGAACGAACATGCTCGAGACGAGGACGCGTGTTGATAATTTGGGCTCAGAGAGGCATTGTAATCCAGTAATTTTTCTCAACAGAGTTATTCCTTTTCCTTTTTTTGGAATGAAAAACTTACACGCACATTTAATGTCAAGATATCTGCTGCTAAAGTTTTTTCCTATTGCTCTTGCCTATGATTCAAAGAGGAAATTGCCTTAAAGCCGTTGCTCAACTTGTCTTTTCATTTACCAGCTAAATTTAGCCTTTGTGTGACAATGAAATCCACCGTTTGTTTCCTTTATCTAAGGGGGATTTAGAAGTGTGAGAAGGGCGTCAGCTTTATTGGATCATCAAAATGATAGACTGACACCCTTCCTTTCAGACGGTAAACATCGGAAGGCTCGCTTGTCAGTGCTAGCGACAAAACAACCTTGTACAGTTCTTTAAGAGAAACGTATACAGTCGGGGAGAAGTTAGCCGGGGGCATAACACGTGTTTGTTGTTTTCATTTCTGACTTCCCGTGCAGCTTACAGGATGTCGAATATGACAGTTTGAAGTGACTTCCACGCACGTGTTTCCAAAACCATTTTCAACGTGTTCTAGGGAGACGTTCTGTCGAACATATTCTTTTCCCACGTGTAGAGTTTTTTCCTCCATTTTTGGTAGCATCCGTGTTGTCTTTAACTCAAGCACTTCGTCTCTTCACTTGATTGATGTTTGTCCTTTGTATCTCTTGCTGTAGCTTCAGAGTTCTTTGTCTGTTTTGGCGGTGGTCTTGTTTTGTGGTTCTTTTGATGTTGACAGTTTGATTCCTGTGTTTTCGCTTGTCGGTCTTTTTTGCGGTTTTTAACAAATGTTTTGTTTCGCACGGCCTTAAAATAAACTTCCTCTAATGAACAAGTTATTGTTTTGTCTGTGATTTATGCAAAGTAGTAGTCAATTATGGCTGCCGCGCTGGTGGTAGGTGTTAGTAAGGTAAACTTTTCTAAGTCTTCGAACTAAAATTGATTCCGCTCTGCGAACAGGTTTCGGTAACTTTCATCCTTTTTTTGTTTGGGTTTTTTTGTGTTTTTTAAAGTCAACTAATTCATGGTCTCAGAGGACAATAAAGTCGCGTGTTAGGAAATAATGTAACGTGAACATCCTCTTGCTGAGTCAATGAGTTGTTCAGCCCTCAAGTGATTAAAAACGAAGTAATAAATCATAGTGATTTTTTTCAACTTAAAGTGTTTGCAAAAGGTTTAAATGCTTTCAAACACGAGGCGCTGTTTAATCTACGTGACAACTTTAAACAACAGCCACGAAGGAAACAGGGCGTGTAGTGCAACTTATTCTCTGTCACCACGTGCGGAATCGTGCGCGCAGTCTCGTCTTTGAGTGTTTTGAAGGTAAATTACTTGTTAATCACTTCTGACAAGTTCACGATTAATATGTTTGTTCTGTTGGCTTGAAGCAAGGCTCTCGGGAGTTGATTTATCCTTTACTAGCACGTTTAATATAAGCATTTCGACTGCCTTTTTTTTTTTGGACGCTTTCAGTCACAGTTCTGCCAATGGCAGTTCTGCATGCATCAGTGTGTATCGTAGCATTCGCCAAAACGCTTTCATGTTGACAGAACTCTATGTAGATGAAAAATTATTTTCCCAGTAGAAGGGGGAAGTACTTTTGCGCCAACCAAGACACATTTTCTTTCTAAAATTATCCATATGCAACTGCACGTAAATGAAGTTCATCGTACACTGAACTACGATACCAAAACGTAAAAATGGCTTTCGCCTCGTTTTCTGTCTGTTTGGATCAATATCAATATCTGGGCAACTGCCCACCTACCCCTCCCCTGACCCAACATTAACCTTCACTTGTTGTCAGTTGACTGTTGTTGGGTCAGGGGAGGGGTAGGTGGGCAGTTGCCCAGATACTGATACCGATCCGGTTTATTTTATAACAAAGCATTAAAAACACTTCACAGTGTACATTTTTTTCGAATAATATAGATTATTAGTATAATTATTATTATTATTATTATTATTATTATTATTATCATTATCATTTTGAGTTTTCCATCAGGCTTTCATTAATATTCTTTACAGTTCTTATCTGAGACAACAAGAAACTAATAATAAAGTAAATGTTTGCCTTCTCTTGCTATTCGACGTCAATTTAACATCAAAGGGTTGGGTGGTTTTCTGATCATGATATGCGTCTGAACGCAGTTATGCGTGTGAGATCCTACAATACCGTATGTAGAAATACCGTGTTTGAAATGTTGTTTAAGAAGCTTAACGGTCAAAAGGAAATTTGTGTACTGGTACACAGGCAGAGAATTTCGTACTCATAACTCCCAATTAGTGCGGTCTAAATGTTTCGGTTGCACATACGTAAACCGCAGAATTTGTAAAAGTGTGTCACTATTGTGGTAACCCTTTTCTTTCGTAGCAGTTTAAAAATGCTTATACAACCCTTAAAACTTTCGCTGATATACTACTCATTGTTTCTACAGCAACCGTTGCGCATGAGGCTAAAACTGTCGTACAAGGTGAATGGGGCCCCAGTCAACGAACAAGGGGAGGTGAACAGCTTTCCTCCGGGACTCTGACGTCCACGACATTGGGTCATTATATGTAGAAATTATATTTTGTATTGTAAAATGCTTATCGATGTGTATTCAGTAATCAGAGGCCTGGATGCTGTCTGTAGACTTGGGTTGCATACCGTTTAGAACATGGAATTGAAACTACAGTGGTACAGAAGACTTAGGTGGTCATAATTGAAGATTATTAAGGGGAATTTTTATATTGACACCAGAATGACTATTCTTTTTGTCTCCTCAAGTGTAGTGAGTCGATGGTAATCTCTAGCATTATGCGAGACATGTTTAAAATCATTTATCGTACTTCCATATTCTGTACTTCTGTAGTTCCAGGGTCCAGCCCAACCACACTATTTCAAAGCATTCACAGCTAGGTTGTGAGTTTTTGTGGTGCCTTCACTCAGGATTTCCCTTCCCCTATAGACAAAGATGGCTACGAGAGATTTCAGAACGGGGATTGGTTGAGGCAGGAGAGGGGGGAAGGGGTCAAAAATCAAACGGTTGCACAGCCCACACTGAAAATTGTTACTCTTCATTCTGGCCGTTACGGTTGTTTCCTCCAGTTAGCTGAAAAGTAGAGAGAAAGAAAAAATTAATAAATGAGACAATTATGAGGCAAACGAGAAAGATTGCTCCTCAAACACATGCTTGGAAAAAAAAAAAAACCTTCTACATGTAGATGGCTCTGAAATTGCGCAGTTACGTAATTTGTCATGTGGTTACGTTTTTGGCACTCATCATATATTTAGTTCTGCTCACCAGCACCCTCGACGGCTAGTAGCTTCACCATTCTGTTTTCTCTGTTTGTTGATGACGTTACCTTACGATTTACTTAAAATAGGATAACTAAAAGAACGTAAATTGAGTTTTAAAGATACACAGCAGACTAAGAAAGTGTCCAGATTTGTCTTTTTGTTCTTTTTTTTTTGGTTTGTTTTTGTCTTTTTTTTGTTTTTTGTATTTCACTCTGATCTTATGCGAGTCAAGTTAGGCGTTTCCATCATTCGAGAGCGTTTTTGCTGTCGAAGTTATTCGAAATTTGACAAAAAAAACTTATTTTCTGTTGAATTAATTGTCAAAATATTTAAAGTTTGCTGGAAACTGAACACTTGTGTACTTTTTACAGAATGGTCTGTTGTTGATCTGAAAGTAGAGGAGGATTTTTCTCGAAGTGGTCTTGCCAGGCAAGATCTAACCATGTTGAGATGGAGCAGTGTTCAAAGACTGTTTTAGTGTAGACATGATGAAATGTAGCCTTTTTAAAAAATGATGTTATATGTGTAACATCTGATTTGACAATAAAGCTCAGAGTTAACAAAATGATGTAAAAGATTGTCTTTCGTGTCTAAAAATATACTTGAAAAATAATGTAAATTAAAAGGCAATTGAGGAATGTGTTTTGTTTCGTGACTATGGAAGCACTAGGGATGAATTCTTTCGAGCCAAAAGATAGTAGCAAAGGTCACTTTCTGTCAAGATTCAATGCTAGGACTACGTCTAAAATGTCGTTCATACACAGGTAATGGCATCTGACCACGAATGAACAACCATGAACTTTATCATGGTATTTAACTTCTCTTTTCGACTATTCTTCCCAGTAAAGCATTATTTGATAAAAGATTAACTAAATAAGTCCAAGAGATGATCGTCAAACATAATCGTTGACACTTAAAAAAAAAAATGAGACGATAGTCATCGTGCGCGCGGGAACACAAACCCTTCGCGATTCCTCCCTCGCGCCTCCCATAAATTCAGATAAATTCGCAGCTTCTCATAAATTCAGCCAGCTTCCAAAAGTGATAAGGCGTAATAGTGTTCACTCTCCTTCCCGTGTAGTTGTGCATTTTAGTCAAAAACGAGAGTAATGGCGTAATGTCGATTTAAAACTGAATTCACCTTGAACTTATCGTTTTCGGGTGCTGTTCAATTTCTTCAGCTGGCATTCATTGCTAGAGAAAAATGACCTTTTGTGATTTGAAGCCATACATACCCAGACATACTGTTTTGTCTGCCAAGACTGAGTTAAAACAAACTTCTTTTTCTCAATGATGTCTGGCTTTTTTAATTTTAATCGATTTAAAATAAAGGCAATGAAAAGTTTATTTATGGGAGACACATGAGTTTAAAGTCCAATTTAAATTGATTTTAAAAAAATAATTGAATTTTACACCAAAGTAATTAAGATACCTCTTCATGGTCGTCTGGTCCCAATTATTTAACAAAAAAGTGTCTTTTCACTCTTCCTCTCCGCCCTTAGCCCCCTTAAACTATGACTTCCCTCAAGTAATCCATTTTATCGGTAAAATATTCCATCAAGTCCGCCTTTAGCTAGTTACCATTTATAACGATACATGTTTAATATTATGCCCACAGCATAGTGGTATCTATCTCAGATTAACGGAAACAGGCATTTGTTCTATTTGGCACCATTGAACTTTGGCTGACCGGATCAAAAATTGAACAGACACCTGACCGAGAACAGGTAAAAGGCTTGTGAAAGCAACTGTTGTGGTATCTCGCGTCCAATCAGTCTGTTGCTTTGATATGCGATGTTATTAATTCTAACACAAAGCGACTTCTTTACCCATCTATCAAATTAATATCAATGACAGAAACTGTTCAGGGCCTCTGCATACAAAAACCTAAAGGTGTCAGCTTTAGAATGAATACCCTCAAGCTTTTTTTCTCCTCTCTATAGCGAAATTTAACTTCGATAAGCACTGCTGGAAAAATAGGGCAACCTCCTTTAGTTGAAGCCCTTGAATTTGACGAAATACGTTATTCAAACACTTTTGTTTGGTGGTCTGAACTAACCACAAGTGCAAGCCACCATTAGAAGACCCTTATATTTCCCTTTGTCAACAGAAATAATTGATGGTGGCACAGGTTTGTGTAGACACAGCTCAACGCTAGGTCTGTATAGTGGATGTTAGCTGTATACCTTCGGCTTCGCATCCTTCGCTTTGCTTCCCATCGAGTTCAGAGAACTCAATTATCAAGAGGTTTACAGGTAATTTGGCGAGTTTGTTTCACACTCGATTTCTAGGTTTCTAGTTTAACAACAGGGAGATGCTGGAAATCAACAATAAACATCGCCAGACTTACATGAAATACCAAAGGCTACCTCTAATGGGTCTATGACCAATTTCTAATGTCGGGACCTTTCCCGGTGAAAAATGAAACCACTAACAAAATACCATCATGCTACCCTCTAAATAAATGGTTGATCCACCGGACCCCCACCCCCTTCCCCCATAACAATTCGTCAGGTCCCCTGACAAATGAGAATTGCTTATTTCCACGAGAAGCTGTCAGAGTGTGATGTATTCAGTGCCCGTGTCCACGGAATAGTAAAAGGATTCGTGGCGGAACAAAGCAAGGTGCGGTATCGCTTGTATTGGCATTAAAATTAAAATCTTCTATAGCAGCTGGAAGATTCATCACAACACAGATGCCACTGCTGAATGGAAGTCTGAGTTTTTAGCTCAAAGGATCAAAGCGCTTTTATGTTTTACACGCAAACAGATCAGCGCATCATTTTTAGGCGTTTACCTCTTGAGCATGGCTGCCGGAAATGCTCTTGCCCTTGTAAACTTCTAGAACAGATTTTTGGAAGTCGTAGAGAACCTTTATCTATATATTCCTGTTAGGAACGCAAGTACCGGAAATTTTTTAACCATGTGCACGTTTCCTGAATGACACTTTCCGCCGGCTCGTTGAATATTTTATCGGGCTTCGTTTTACACGATCTGAACAGTTCCTTTGTTTCCAGAGAAATGAGAAACATTGCTTTACACTTAGATGACCTTAAAACATTGATTAGGCCGCAAACGAAGATAAATCATGTGATTATAAGAAAAAAATTCCGGCTGCTGAAGAAGAAATTTGCTCAAAATTTCGTCTGACCTACCACTGGATTAAATCTCTTTCGATGTGTCCTCGAAAAAAGAGGAGTGTGTTGATTAATTGCGGTTTCCTCCATCTCAATCTGCCGGTGCCCCAACAAGGTATTCCCTAACTGATCTACTTTTAGCCGGGTATGGGCTGCAACTAGGTGTATTAGGTTTGTTTATCAGTGCGGCCTCCATTAACCGAGATTAATGGTGTCAGAAACAAATTCCATATATCAGAACGGCATGTAAATATCAATATCGCCTCACTCGAGAATTTCAAAATTTGGGCTGATCGACGGTTGGGAGTGAAAGTGCTGAACATTACCACGGCTAGGTGGTTGAGTGCCATAAACGGTTCCTCGACATTGAAGAGCGTTATCTAGCCATTCATAATAGACTATCTGCAAGCTTGCAATTTGCGATAGAAGACCATTTCTAAAGGTGCACTCCGGCGACGCTTACTACATAGGCATGTAATATTTTCTACCTCGCTGACGGGTTCTGGCCAAATCGGAACTCGATAGGGTTCAATACAAACAAGCGTTTTTTCTTTGACACACGTGCATGGGAAATGTTCAACATCTTTCTTCAAATGTAAAAATTTTTCATCGCCCAAATCCGCTTAAATTTTTTTTTTTCAGTGATTACATAATTCACATTTCGTCGCGCACAGACCAACATTTTACCATCTTCACATTTCGTTTTGAGGATGTGTATAAGATTTGATAATGAAGATGCGAATTGTAATAACTCCATTGAAGATTCGATATTCATGCAAAGTTCTCAGACTTTGGGAACTTCTCATACATGCGAGGGTCTCAGTCAAAAGGTAGCTAGGATGGCTGATAGTTATAGTTGCGAGTTTAAATATATCACTCTTGTGTGAAAACATTGCAATTCAAAAGCTAATATATCACAAAAATGAAGGCAAAAGAGAGTATGGCAACTCTAACCTAATATTTATCTGTCATTAGAAGTGAAATGTAATAATCTGACTAAAGCGACGGTAACGATACGGAATTCTGTAGCCAAAACAGTTTAGTCGCGGTCGAATTTTTGTAAACGGGCGGTCTCGGCGTCTCCAGAGTCTAAGATTTTATCATCCACCGCCCTTTTATGGACTGGCGCATTTCGGAGGTCAAATGCACACCCGGTACTGAGCATCGCAGAGATTTTACTCGCGGTTTACGTTTTTTGCAGCTAGACTTGTAAAAAAGTTTACTTTAAAGCGTGAGAGCATCGATAACACAAAACTACAAATTCCTAAAGAGCACAACCGAAATGTCTCAAAATACCTCACCAGAAACGCTGCCTACAGATGAACAGACAAATGCTAGAGAAGACAAGAGAAGAAGCGAGCAATCGAACGGAAATTAATTAAATGGCTTTGTACGTTCCGAAGGATCTCATAGACTCTTTCAGTTCGCTAAACTCAAGAAGCAACTTCGAGTTATCTTCAAAGTGGGAAATTTTGTTTCGCTAAGAACAAAGTAACTATTTGATGAAGTGTTCTCTAACATAGGGATTAGGTTCTCAAAGTGTTGCGATGCATTGTTCAAATTATGAATAAAAGCGACAATAGCAATTTGTTGACTGTCAAAGTGATGATTGACAATCACTTCTTGTGATTTTGAACAGGTTGAAACTGGCATTACATGACTGAAAGATGATCCAATTGCTCAGTCTCTTGAACAAACTAAAACGGAACATAGAGCAAATTTTCAAATCTGCAAATTAAATTATGTTAATACATTTATCTGGGATCTCTTATAAATCAGATTCAGAGATCAGTACGCGTTGTAATTGCATTACCCATTTTGACATCTGCCGAAACTAGGCCTGAGCAGCGGAAACATTGCATCAATCCTGGTTTTATAGGGTCTTTATACCAATGCTCTCAAAACAAGGTTTAAAGATCCTTCAGGCGATCTAAAAAAATCTTCTCTACTAATTATTCTGGTCACGTTTCGAGAAATCAAAATAAAATCTGTTCTGTGCCAATGT